TTTTTTTTACTTTTCTTTATTCTCATTTCTGTGGAATTTCCACCAGATGGCTGAGATGGAAGGACTTGAAAAAGAGGTCACTGAACTTAGAGGTCTTTCGCAGCGCCAAGCTGAACATATTGTCGCGTTGGAGAAAGCTCAAGACTGCAATGCTGTGGCGAAGGAGAAGGCGCTTAGTGAAGCGCAGTCTAAGGTAGATGATGTTGATGTTGTTCATGTTTTAAACAAGTGGTGATCCGCGCAGTACTCTCCAACACGGGTCCATCAATGCCATCACTAAGCTACGCTTATCCCATGCCTTCATTCATTTCTTCCAGATCTATTCGCAATGCACCCATCTTTGATCCACCCGCCTCTCTACTTGTTGACGATCCATTCCTGATGTATTCACCTAACTCGGATCCGTCTTCCTACAATCTTTAGACCCATCCACTCGTCCATCCACTTTGAAATACTTTATTTTTGCGTCTTACGTCCAAGTTTTTACTAGCCCTCCCCCCTCACTGCTTTTTTGTAATTATTAGGTAACTGAACTAGAATCGCAAATTGAAAGCCTTCGTCGGAACCCCGTAAGTTGACGGGCAATCTACTATTGAATGTGAACTCTTGGCTCCCCTCTGCATTACTCACTAACAGCATTTTATGCGAATGTTTTCTAGCTTTCAAACAAGGAGGAACTTGAAAAGGAGGTTAATGAACTGCGACATCTCTCAGACCAACAAGCTAAACAAATTGTCGCCTTGGAGACAACTCAGAATGGTAACCTTGTGGAGAAGGAGAAGGCCCTCACTGAGGCCCATTCGAAGGTAAATGACTCGTTGATTTTTTAGTACAATCTCTAAATGCAGTCCCATTGCATTTCACTACATTTCTCGCTTTGATTTCAGATTGCCGAATTGGAAGCACAAATCGAGGGCCTTCGCACAAACTCTGTAAGTTCACTATTGGTCTCTTGATTCACCTTGTTTGCCTAATTTTAATACTACAACAATAAATTTTCTGCCAGACTTTTAACTTAGAAGACCAGCATGTTAAGGTACTTGAAAGAGAGGTGACCGATTTGCGAGGTCTTTCAGAACGGCAGGCTGAACACATTGCTGCTTTGGAGAAATCTCTTGCCACTTCAAAAGTGAGTCTTCTTGACACCTCGTTTTCGTAAACCAACTTTTGACTCCTATCTTTACAATTGTGACATTTTTAGCGTAATGGAAGTACAAATTTACTTCCTCCTTGGTTTGTATAAAATTTGTAGGGTTGTGAAAAACGCGATGCGACAGTGGACGCGACTGTCCGATGTCGTGAAGTGGAGACCATAGCTTTGTGTCAAACGGAACGCAGCCTTGTCAAGTCGGAGGAGCTTCTTACCCAGCTTCGAACCGACCTTACCCAATCGAAGGTTAGCTTTTCTACCTTCGTTCCTTCCAACGACCATCGTGGTGGATTGAAATCTTCACCTTTTCCTCAATAGGCGAGCTATGCACAGTTGGAGGAGCGTTTTAAACAACTGACAGATCGTCTCGTAGCCAGTGATGAGGAGAAATCCCGCCTGGAGGGAGTCGTTGCCCAACTGGAAATGGAATCTTCCACCATCGACGAATACGTCACAATGTTTGCACATCGCCGGCAACTCCTGGTATGTACATACTACTTATATCTTATCGGCGCCTTATTGTTAGGTTATCATACGTGTAGTTTTTTTTTTACATATATAGCTCAAGAGAGCAAAGATAAGGGACGCGTTGTTATTACGATTGATTCGGGATAGAAATGAACTGCGCCAGCGGCTTCATTCACTCTCTGACGTGGCCAACGCCGTGATTGCCTCTTCTTCCTCTTCGTCTTCAAAATCTGAAGGCGGTAAGCTGCGCCCCTACCTGCCTATATTAAATGTCTGCTTTTGCTCTGTTACTTTTCTTTTTTTTTCTAGAGCAGAGCACTAATCCATCAATGACAGATTTTGAAAAAGCACTTTCCGATTTCCTTTCCCATTTGGCCACTTCCTCCACTGATTACTCTCTGGACCTCAATGCGGAGGACAATGAGGAAGACGATGTGAATAATGGCACTACTGGAAATGTAAAAGCGGCTGGGGATGAAAAAATTGAAGGCGCCTCGCTAGATGACCAGTTGCGCCGATACGTTTCTGCTGTTCACGACTGTCTGCATTGTGAATGCTGCTCCGGTTCCCTGATGGTCGTCTAGATCGACGTCTTTCAAGCTCCTTCCGCCTTTGGCCTTTTGTCAGCTGATATTGACTTACCACTCAGCTGTGTATTGGCTATTTTACTTGACCCCTATGAATTGAATAGAGAAGTTATTCATTTGTTTCGATTCGATGTCTCCATTCGGCTTCATGCTGTAAATGCAATTGTAAAACAGTCGAGAGGCGGCATTGACGAGGAACACGTAGAACAGCATCAAATGGAGCGGAGGCACAAATAAGGCGCTCGTCGCAGCGTCCAAAATCAATATTAACAAATTCAAATTGTAAACTCGGCCATCGTGGCTTCTGTGAAACCGGTGATTCTAGCTAATTGTTTCTTTGTGCTGTCAATCGGACGTCGGTGACTCTATTAGAGAAGTACCAGTTTGCAAAATAGAGGCGATAAAGTTGCTTTTGTTCGCTCCTCTAGATGGCGCGGAGACTCTTGAACTAACGCACGGAGAACCTCAAACTCTCGATAGACTTTACCGAGTTTAGTAGATAAGTTTGATTTTGGAAGCGGGTTAGTTCGCTTCAGTGTGACAAATTCTTAACTGTTTGGAGGACACATGCTGGATACGCGCTTTAAAAGTCAGTTTTTCCAAATAAAAGTAATTAAAATGTTGAAAAAATAGCGCATGAAGGAAATATGGTTGTTTCGAATGGGGCCTTGCTTAGTGACAAAAGAGTCTTATTGGTGTGATCATTGGGGAAATCCCTTGTAGAGAATTTGGATTTTAGTTTATTTGCCGCGTTCAACTTGTCTGTTCAAGTTACAATTTGAAGCTGATATTTGGTTTTTGCAAATTTTTGCTCTGTTTAGCAATTTAAAACCTTTCATTAAACATATTAATCATGTGAAATTTACTTCCTCGCAAGTAGTATTCACCAAAGTTATGCAAACATAATTAGTGTTAGAGACCAATTCACATCGCTGGAATAATTTTACCTAAAAAAGATGAGTACCGTCTATTCTAACGTAACTCTTACTTAACTAATCTCATTTCCAAAAGAAGGGCATCTAAGATAAACCAACTGCCAATTTGGCGTAATTTCTTACCTTAGACGTTTTACCATCACCTGTTCAACACGCAAGCAGAAAGTCGTACGGAGAAGAGAAGGGCAAATCAGACATTCTCGACACAATTTCTTACTTCATACTGTGGTAAATAGTTCCCAAAAAGGTGCAGGAACTCGAGCTTTTTTACTTTAAGTATTTTACCGCCAATTGATTGTAGTCACATGAGGTGCACTACCTTCCTGGGCATTCACTTAACGAAAACACTTATTAATAACCCATCCATTCCGAAGATTATACCTTAAGAGGAATCAGTGTAACATGTGCACCCAGAAGAATCTCCAGCTTGTTGTTTGATCCGACGATATTGTCTGCATCCCCAAGATGACTTCCTGTGACTCTTTAAACAATGAACTTACCAAAGAGAAACATTAGAATACAGCCTGGTCATCTTGTAGACAACAAACAAAGTGAGAGGACACACAAACAAATTTCTAACAAGAAGTATATTAATCGGGTAAGTATGAAGAGGAGCGAAAGCTGGGAGCACCGATGATACTCCCCCCTGGGGCATTCCGCTGACCAACAGCGCTACTTAAAATATTTCAGTACAATGCGTCGTTGTGAGCAAACTTCCAATGCACTTTTTTAATTATTTCTAACACAATAAAGTTCAAAAGACTGAAATGGTACCCATGATGTTTTCCCCCACTTCAAACATCAGAGCGACACCTATTCGACCCAAAGGCAGCAAAACACAACGATAAAAGAGGTAAATGTAATTATATTGCTACTGAAAGAAGCAACGAGTAGTTTGGTAAGCAATGAGAACGACTGATAGCGTAAGAATGAAATCACTTCCTGTTCACGTAGGCACGAAAGGCATGCAACGAACCTTTTCTATCCTCCTTCGAAACCAAATTGACTATCATATCGGCTGGCACGAAGTAGACAAAGCCAGGACCGAATTTTCTTTAAATAAAACGAAAAAAAAGTGATCTAAGTAGTTCAATTTAAGGAAGTATAAGACGGATGGAGGTGGGAACTCACGTTTCTTGTGAGCAGGCTTCGCCTGTGCCGGAGCATGTGATGGTGCCTTGACCATGAAGAAAGAGGAGAATACTCGCCGTGGGGACTGAAGGGAGGCTAAAGCCTCGGCTCTCCGCGTCGAACTGAAAGGAGGCGAAAGAGGCAAGAAAATTGTGTGCGAAATTAGGATGGATGAATGAACAGATCCAAGGTGGATGCTGAACGTGTAAAAATCACGAAAAAAGACCTTGAAAATTTCCATTAAAACCTTGAGAATTGTGAGTGGTTACAGTGAAGGTTATCTGGTTAGTTCTGAAGCCCTCAGAAGTGTATATGAATGGAATTAGAATAAAAAATATCAACCACAAACGGATTCTGGGTGAAGGATGGCCGATGCATTCGATCATTGCATGGGGTTATGGATAAATGGACGGATAGATTTCGGATGAACTGATTGATAAACCGGAGACTTAAAGATGCATTTAAGATGGATGAATGGATCAAGTATAGGGAGATCCGGTATGCAGATCCGATGAATGACTAGGAGATATAAAGCTGACTAGGTGCTTGATGGGAAGAGAGTCAATCCGTCTCACCTGAATCACATCGACTGCGAACTCAGACACCGGAGGTATAAATGACTTCAGAGAAATCCCCTCAGGCGTTGGGATCGGCTGAGTCGCACCGAGCCGTAGCGAATCTGTTAGTGGAGTGTAATCCAGCATCTCCAGTAACCTCTCCACGTCCTTGAACTTGGGCGTCAGACCCGCGCGCACCACGTTGTCCGAGTTGGCCATGCATTCTACACAGTCGCCGGAGAGGTAGGCGTGTGGTGTATTCGCCTGTTGGTTTTTTTCCCAAGAAATACTCATAGGTGAGTACAAATGAGTACACATTACACGATTACTCAGACATCTTTACCCTCCAAACCGGCAGAGCGATGAGCAAGACCTCAAGGCCTGACACTTCCTTGGGTTAAAAAGACTCAAGGCAGTAGTGGAAATGGAAATGGAAGACTAGAATGACTTTTCAAGCAGCTGCCATGGATTGAATATTTCACTTTTAGGCCAATGCGTCTGAGAATGAAAGCCAATGCCTTTGGAATATCGTTCAGTTAGGCCATGCTTCCCACATAGGTGCTTCAAATGAAATTAACAGAGATAAATCTCATACAAACTGACAAGATTCACCACTACGATGGGAAATGGCATTGAGAAAACCGATAGGGGAGAATGATTACGCAGAAGACATTCAAAATGAGGCGTGTCTTACAGCCCACTGTATGTTACGCGTGAATATAATATTACGTCAGTCTATCAACCCTTTCGTAGTTTAACAGCAAAGCTACCCTCAGGCTGGTTCGTCTTGTCGTCAGAGCTCTCACAAGGGCAAGAGGGGTATAACAAATACGTATGAATAGAGGATCATGGATGTAAGGATTTTGGGTAAGTATACTGGATGACCGTAAACAGACCTTTCGCCTTGGAAAACCACGCAAGAGGTCGGGTACAGCTGCCTTGACAGCTAACCACCCTACGCTATCGTATTTACCTTAGATGCAATCAGCCAAGTTTATTTGAAGAACGAAGATCAGGTCATGACAAAAGCGATATAAACAAACGCATGAAAAGGTAAACTTACTGCACTCGTAAATACAATGGTGGCTAGCTCAGGAGTTACCTTTTACATTTGATAATTCGGTGAAGTATGATTAGCATTCTGTATACTTATGATTGAGCTACATGCAGACTCGTATTCAGAAAAAGTGGAGTGGAAAGCGTTTTGATAACCGCTTATGGGATGAGTGGTAATACCTACCTTTAAGAAGATGGCTTCTCCCGATTTTAGCCTGATGTAGTTGAGAAAGAAAATACTGAGACAGCCAACATCACCAGGAAATGCCTGCGTTAGACGGAGGAAGAGATCAACCAACGCTTGGACATCTTCCTCCTGCGGATCCACACCTGGAATACTAAGGGGTGGATCACAGACCGACTTCAAACCAGTCGTAAAGCGATTCAAAAGGGATTTGATAGTCGATTCAACTTTCTCTGAAGAAGACCTCATCAGATTGGAGTAGAGTTGTTTGATGGAAGGAGGTTGCACATCTCTCTTTTCCTCTGGGGACGGTAGTTCCAGGGTAGTAAGTTCGGCCAACTCGGGAAAGGCTGCGTGAAGAAGGAATAGAGTGAGATTTGAAATTAACTGATATACTGAATCATCATCAGTTCAAAACCAACGATTAGATTTCAACTGGAATTGAGTGAGTTCTCAACCTATTGGAAAAGCAGTCCCATATTCAAAGAAATTCAACGCCTAAAAATCTGTTTTTATACCTGTTTTAAGGGCTTTCAACCGCATTCCGTAATACAGAGTAGATTCTGCTATGGTAATAGCTAAATGCGATTCAGACAGGTCAAAACATAAGTGAACTGTTTGATAGGGTAGGAAAAGAAACAAGATGGTGGGAGAACAGTTGTCGTTGAGGCACCCAAGGCACTAATCTTCTCTCCCAGATTTGCATGCCCTTTAGCATTTCCAGAGATCAGTCAGGGGTGACAATATAATTCGAAACCTGGCCCTTTACACTCACCTTGAATAAAGGCAAGAATTTGGTTGAGTGGACGGAATCCCAGCAACGCCTCAAAATCGGTCAGCGCAATTGCCATCTCGGGCTTGTGACTCCCGTCTTTGTAGAGGTCTGGCTGCTCTGCGTGCAAACGAACCGCCATTTTCTGGAAAACGGTATCAAACGATCACGATACAATATTTTGCTGTGGAACGGGGGGCGGCAGAACGAACCGAAGAAATTCATTCCGGTTATAAACAATCTGGTGGTAGGGTGTGATTAAAGCATAGAGCAAAATCAGCCAAAAGAGAAGGCCATCGCTGAAATTTACGGTTTATGGAAATTTCGAAATGGTACTTGGAAGTAACAGCAGCGAAAACAAAGCAAATTGTTATAATTTGTGTTAAAAACCAGTAGTGAGGTAAATTGTCCAGCCACTATTTGATAATTAAAAGTAGGGTGAGTCTGATAGTGATAAGTAATTCCAAAAGCAGAATTAAAATTTGAAAAAATGGAAATATTACATATTCCCCATGGTATAATGTTACACTATCAGGATAAAATCCTTTAGGTGGACTAGGATAGGCCAGCCATTATTGAGGAGGAGCAAAATCAGGGTTTGAATATTTTAAGACGATAACCAGCGAGTGAAGTCAAAGAGTATCGCGTAGCCGGATGTTTATTGAAAACATGAGGTAAGGAAAACTTTGAACTAAAACATCCAAGGGGTTATTAGTCGCGCAAAGAAGCAGAAAGCTACTCCTATAAAATTATTTACTTAATTCACAATTAGTAAAACTGCAACAGGATTCATCAAGTGAAATAGGTGTCCACTTTAGAAGAATTAAGCGAAAATTACACTCTCAGCCAGTAAAATCGCGGAACCACAATCCAATAGATGGAGCTAGAGGTATTCCAAAATTGTGGTCAAATAACTAAATGGCTGACAACTTTAAAATTATTACTTTTCAATAGAATTTTACAAAAGAATCTTATGCGCACCAGAATTAACCCTAACTAGATAATGCATAACTTGACAAAGTTTAACTGAATTGGTAACCAGAAAACTATTTCCATAAAGTTACTCCCAAAATTAAAATAAGAAATACTAAATCTACAAAAAGGAAAAACAAGGGGTAAAATTACAATGAAATCAGTCAAAAATGGAAGACAACCAAGCTCACCTTATCAGGATGTGCTTGAATAGAGAGTGCCTTAGCAACTGAAAGCACTTTGAAGAGGAAGGGCAAGCGTCGCCCAAAGTAGATCAAAGAGAGCTTTCCGAGAGAAGCAGGATTCTCCTGAATGTGGGTTGCCAAGGTAACATGCGGATTGTCCCAGAGACAGGAAGGCCCAGAGGGATGAGTACCCATCCACAGCTAAAATAAACAAACAAATCAAGAAGTCATGCGTCTTCGCCTTCCAGTAAAGCAGAAATAGCCATCTTAAGTACGTAGTTTTATTAAGAAGTGGTGTAGGAATGTACTCACTTCTGCGTAGGGTAAATCGACATGAAAGATGTCCGGATTTTCTGATGCGACCTGTAATTGGTAGACAATGCTGTTCATGCCCACCTTTCCCCAGTCATAGCGCTGCGAAGCACACTTAAGTCTAAGCATGATCTACAAAAACCAGCAGCCAAAATAGTCCATCAACAATAAATATGCAATGAAATAGCTGGTAAAATTCAAATAGGCACCTACGAAAAACGAGTAAACGACCCTAGTAGCCTCATACAAACCTAAAGAATCGGACATCACCTGAGTGAATATTATCAAGTGCTAAAACACTTAATTTGAAATTCTGGTAGCTGTTAATGATTAAAATTGATAACAAAGGCAGCCTAAAATAACTCAAAGAAGGAAAAAAAGCAGCGCTTAGAAATTGACATGCGGTGCACAGTATATGTTCTAATTTAACGAGGTGACATTTGCGATGCGATTTAAGTAAAGAACTTAGCACAACGACAGATGAACGACACCATTTCACATCCCCACCTATTTCTTAAATCACATCAGCATATGATTGGTCATCACGGCAAATATGACCTCGGCATCTAAGTGGATAAATAAGCATTTCCCTTCACACACTCAAAAGTGTAATACTTATGTTGTTTGAATTTGCCTTTCAGGGAGGAGGCAAGCAAAAAATTCAAACCTTGTAACAGGATCGCCCTCTCCCTTACCAAGTGACTGCGGCTCCCCTCCTTCTTGAATATTGTATTTTCCATATCCGTCTTGTCGTCTTTAATAAAGATGTCCAAAGCAAACCCACCGGGCTTGTCTAGGAACGCTAGGAATCGGGAAGCGGAGACCGATGAGTCTCGCTCCACAAAACACTGCGCCTTAAGTAATAATGTATTCCAAGTGCAACATTTTAAAGATTCTATAAATATTAAAAATTTTTAGTTTAGTGGCTAAAACGTGAGGTACTCTAAATCTAGGAAAAGCATGATTTTATGAAGAATTATTGTACACGTCGAGTGAAGACGGGCCATTTGCGCCATTCAGAATGCAGCGATTTGCACTCTCTATAACCACATTTTGCTACGTGGGTACCTGTATCACCGTGAGCTATGCTTACACTATGCGTCATTTACTTCGAGCGAAGCCAGGCGTATCCATCCCTTCTACGTGTTAATAGAATATGCACTTTCACGCTTCCTTGGACCATTACCACTTTAGAATGGTTAAACTTTCTGTGTAGTGCACCAGGATTTCACTATAGTCTTTATGCACGAACGTGCTGTGTAGAAACTTATATTCAGCAATTAATGTCACAGTAGCTCTTGGAATTCCTGCCAACCTTTAAATTAGTGTCTTGTCTCGTCCCCATTTACAACTTGTTCCACTTACGTGCAGCCGTTATTCGTTGCCTCCAATGAAACCACAAGAACCAACAAATGAGAAACAAATCAGTCAATAAAGGCTGCTTCATTCCAGGGTTTGAAATGTGAAGTAACCACTTCAAATCAATGCAAAATACCTATTAGACAGTCAAAACTCCCAAAAAATCACTAGTTAGCTGATGCATTCATGCCACTACTCCGGTGAACTGACATTCGAGGGCTGATAGTGGTGGAAAGGCTAGAAGACACCCTACTCGCTACAAAATCGAGTGTGGCGTGCGCCAAATCCCGACCAGCCCCAGAGCCAATGTTTAAACAAAAAAATCCAAACTCTCACTTTAACCAGCCGGTCAGAACATGCTAAAAATGATTAAAACGCACGACCTGAAGCTACCAGCATAAATCGATTTAACCAAATCAACTGACCACAGTGCCGTCTCTCAAACTGTTTTTAAACGAATGCATTCAACACGAAGATCAAAGGGGCGTCAAGAAGGAGACCGACCGACGTCAATGACGCCCGCAAGGTACCCACAGACCACTCGAGCCGATTTCCAACACGTCAGGCGACCCTAGGACCACAACAGCTACAGCGGAACGTTATGAACGCAGGCAAGCCAGAGCCCTACCAACCAGAACTACTTCAGTACGAGCCAATGACAACAGAATCAATCCCGGATAATAAAAAAAGAACCTGGAACCCCAAATTTGAAAACATACCCTGGACCCAATCCATGGTTTACCAATTTGCACCGCTGCAATGCACCGGGTATCCGAAGAAGCCAAAGTGAAGTTGGAAGCAATGTTTTGATAAAACAGCTAAACCGCATCCCTGGTGCCACTTTCCTCAGACTACTGATAGCAAGCCAGGTGGCTAAATCATCACGTTTATACACTACAATAAGTAAGCGATTTATCGCTACCAGCGGTGCAGAGGACTAAAAAAACATCCAAATCCCCATTTTCAACACCGATAAAGTACATCCAAGGCAAAAATACCAAGATGCCACAAAATCCATACGAAAATTTACTCCGCGTTTTCAACCAATATACATTACTCAGTGGCTTTGGCCAGGCGTGCTTTCATACGCTTGCCAGCAAAACGCTTGTTGGCACGATGCTGACGAATGGCGTGGAAAGCCGAATACCTCTTATCAGACTCCGTAATCTTCCGGGACTTTTCAAAGACACACTTCTGCCGGATCGATGGGAGCCCATTGCGTTGCTTCACCTTACCCTTCTCACCCTGGTGGCAAGGTACAGGCAGAATCTTGGCATTGTTAAAGAGGATAATCCTCGACATATATTTCCGGAGACGAGCTACGTTGCGCTGAAGACCCTCCACGGAGGAGTTGCGACGCCGATGGTCAACAGCAATGCCGATGGAGCGAGCGATTGGACGACTGATGCCAGCAGCTCTGAGCTCCTCTAGACTAAAACCGCGACCCGCACGAACCTTCATATTGTAACGCAGAGTAGGACAGTTGACGATGGGTCGAAGGGGTCCACAAGCAGGTTTGGGAGCGACACGACGGGCTTTGGCTTTGCGTGCCTCCCGACGACGATGCTTTCGAGCAGGCTGATTAAACCACGTCCTTACCATGAATTGCCACTTCTTGTGGAAGTGGTTCTTATGAATCAAATCATTACCGTGGGCCATAGTACGTTACTAAAGAAAAAACAGCAGTTGTCGAAAATGAGAGGTGAATGATACACACTTCCAACAGTAATGAAAAAACTCCTTAATAAAGTGGGAATACAATCAATATCGGAAGAACATAGACAAGAAAACGAAAGGTGTAGGTAATCCAATAAGAGTTGGCTAATATGAATTGGTACATTTAATGACTGCAGTATGACAAAAACAGCTAGCATCACGCTACCTTGATCTTACCAGTATAATTGAAAAGTGCTCCGTCGGTAGTTAAAACAAATGCGGGCACAAAAAAATCTTGTAAAATGTCTTAAAGCAAAATTTTGCTTTAAAAGAATAGCTTCTATCAACAAACTTTTTGGTGTTAATGGAAATTAGGGCGCAGGCTAAAGTTGCACAGTTTACTGGATCACTTTTTATAACTCTTGGTATGCAAAATCAGGGCCAATTCCCAGAGCCCTAAGGCCTTTCTGAGAACGAAATGCTCAAAGAGAATAGGTATTTGACATGCTGTAGGGCCTAGCCACTGGCATGACCCAGAGGCCATCCAACTCGGCGAAGGCAAATTGGCAGAGCACACATTTGGTGCCCTTGCTGAAATCGACATTTATACAAGCATGTCGCGTGGTATAATTTCTTGTCAATTTTTAACCCCCCTATATTTAGCTTAAAATTCTTTTTAATGTCCAAACACTGTGAGTGATTGTTTCATTCTTCTTCGAATAGTAGGCTTAATTGTCTTTAATAAATAGACTCATTAAATCCTGATTTTACGCCAAACATGTCATATCTTTTCGTGATTTCTTTAAAGTCTCAAGTAGCTGCATTGTCTTGTTAGTACTTTGGATACCGCGTTTGATTATTCTGGGTCGTTCTGATATCTTCGCCGTCCTTCTGCAGGCCAGTAATCCATTCCTCGCCATACTTCTATGACTATGGCTTACAACGACATTATGAAGTTTTCTGACTGTTGTAAGCTTGTGATAATATCCCAGGAAATATATGATAAATATACGGAAATTGGAGAGTGGTCTGCCATGGCCCATAGTCCCTGCTACCGGGTGAAAAGTACAATCCACAGAGGCCCAAGCGCCCATTAAATTAAATGCCAAGCTAGATAAATTAGCAGAGCACTATATCACCCCACCGTCCAAGTTTTCATTGTTACATTGTCTCTCAGCCTATTCCATTAAATTTCCAGCTAAACATTCAAGGGTAAAATAACCACCTGGCCCCAGCACCATTACGACTTCCTAAATCATGATGCCAATGAAACACTAGTTTACAGCATTTATTTTTTGCAACAAAAAAGTATTTTGTAACCAATCGTCAGTAATGATACCTTTCGGGCCTCTTCACGGTCCGCTTCGATCGGCGCGGTGCCTGCAGACCGGCCTCCGATTGCTCATCCTCTTCCGTTCCGAGGTAAGTTGAAGTGTCGTCTTCATCGGTTACCACAGGGGCCTCAGCACCGGTGCCTCCCTCATCGTCACTGCCTGCTGACGCAGACTCATCGCCACTATCCTCAACGTCTACCTCTTCCAAGTCTTCTAAGACCTCATTCCGGGTCACATAGGCAGAGGAGACACTGGAGAAGCAAACAAGGATCTACCTATAATTTTCTAATACAATGAATGCTATTGCACACAAGTTTCCCGAATTCTGAGTAAAGAAGGATTTCTATGACAACATTTCGAACCCTCAAAATAAGCACATTACCCCAATTGACTAAGAAAATTGGGTAACAAATCAAAACACCCTATTTAAGACGGCATGAAAAAGCCATATTCAAACTGAAAGGTCTGCAATAATTTGCAATAATTATTTTACAATTAAAAAATGTATAAGCAAAATAAACCTAGATTCGTGTTACTCAAATTTCAGGCTGAATCTAGGAAATGGAAAAGGAAACAGACGCACTCCTCAACCCTGGAAGCTGAGTTGAAACCGTAGGAGGTTTCAAACGAATCACCTTCCTCCATTTCGCCAGTCGGAGAGAGGGCACCCGAATCGGAAGATAGGAATTTGGTCATCAAGTAAGTGGCCGGTGAGGAGAAAGTGAAGTGAGTGGACGAGCACAACGCCTTGGCCACCTCGTCCATCGGTCCCGAACGACCCATTACCTGGAAGGTACAGTGGATTCATGAAGCACCTGGTGCGGTGAAGTAGAAATGGACGTGAATTACCGTTCGGTTGGGAGGTGAAAAGACAAACTTAGTGGAGGAGGGAGATACGATTGGGATCGACCCTGAAATTGCAGGATCGTCAGAAGTGGTTCTGGCTAGCGAGACCTTGTGATCTGGAAAGGAAGTAGGCATTAGTGTACGCAAGGAAATAAGTCAACCTACTCTACCATTTCAAATTTAACTACACCGATTCCTCCACCACACGAAAATGATGGACCGCCATCCACGGTTATAGCCTCCCAGATAAACTGCATGCTAACAATAAATCTCCTCAAATATTGGAATGACTCGGTGAGTTGCATCGGTGCCAGCTGTCAGGAAGGTCCATTCAAGTGAACAAGTGGAAGTCGAACTTGGACGTCAGGAAAGGAAGGCATTTGTTGTAAATGGTTGAATGTGCAAAAATTCATTATGGGGAGGCTATTGAAGTCATGTCCACATGTCATGAAAACGAAATGATCTGCCTTTTTTCAAACCAACAATCGTTTTGTTCGATGACCAACATATTCATGAAAAGGGGAGAAAAAGACAGGCCATACCTAATTGGAGGGTGTGTGGATTAATCGTGACCTCTGCATCGTCTTCGTCGACTTCGAGGGAAGGCGTGCCCTCTCGACAATCCTGAAATGAGCCATCTAACTCATCTGCTTTGTTGATGGACGGTGGTGTCTTTGCACCTTCTGGCAGTGGTGTGGAGCGGACCTAAAAGCAAACGTACATGTTGAGAGCCACTTTCCTCACTCGTTGAACAATGAACATCAATTTCCACAGCACAAACCTTCAAAATCGATGCAGCAGGAGCAGCAGTAGTAGAGACACTTGTGCGTCTGTTCAACTCTGCCTCGTGCATTTTCCCTAACTCAGTCCAAAAATCTAACCTCGGACGAAGAGAAGCATTCCCTGAGGTATCTGAACTGGTTCTAAGGAGGTTTTTGGAAACCGGAGGCGTCTGCTTGCGTGTTATCGGCAATGGACTCACAACTGAGGCGCAATAAAGTATTCTGGAAGGAAAAGTGGCACATATGGAAAAGGCAAATGACCTAATCGTGTGTTCCTGACCAAAGGTGCAGGTCACGATCCTAACCGATGACCGATGATACTAAACTCATGAAAACGATGGGCAAATCACGTTGGACAGCAGTCCAACCCCTTCTTAAGGCTAACAATAAACGTCTTCGGCGTCATACTTTATGCTGCATTGACAGATGAGACTGCTCTGTTAAAATAACTCCCACTGCCTAGAAGTAGCGGACGGGATCTAATTATTTTGCAGTGAGGAGGGGTGATCGGAGCAAAAGTTGTGGAAAAAAATTTGCGTTGATGTAAAAGTCTGCATGTCAAAAACCCATTCTATGGAAGATTTTTAACAAAAGGAAATTAAAACTCACTGGTGCAATTTTTGACTCAGCTTCCGAGCACTGTCGGTAATCCTCGGCCTTACTGGGGACCTCGTCTCAAAGGGACTTTCGCCCCGAAGCACACGCTGAGTCCTACAATTCAAGAAACAAAAGAAAAATTTAGAAGTCCTTAGATTGGTTGAGGAGGACACCCACATATCATAGTAGTTCCAAAATTCGGACGCCCGATTCCTGTCGACAGTGGAAGGTTGAATGGAGAGACAACGACCCTTAGGGGTTACGAACTGCCTGGGAAAACGTCTGGTCGACGATGTAGGAGAAACATGAGCGGAATCTACCTCCACACATTCAACGTGGACTTGGTTATTCGAGTTTTCTTCGGTGGAATTAGCATCAGTGCAAGAGGTGACTGGATCATCGAAGTGATTAGGGTTGACAAGGGTAGAAAAGGGGAAGTGATATTGAAGGTTTGGCAGACAGTAAGATATAGTGGACGACAAGGCACGGACGACTGGAGTTTTAGAAAGTTTTTGTGTGCTGTGTTGTGACATTTGTGAGACGACGTCTGCGTCAACCTCGGCGAGAAGGTCTTGTGCCTCCTGGATAAAGAGACGCGTGCCACAATAAGGAGGCAAAATGGGGAAGAAAATGGATTCACGGAAGGGACAAATCACCTTGTACTGTGCTCGAGCAACAAGACAGGCGTAGAGGAGACGATTTTCGCCTCTACGACGCATGTCAGAGAAGACGACGTCTGCCTCCCATGCTGTCAAACCGAGGTTGATGAAATCCAGGAATCGACCGTCTGTATAGGGAAAGAATAAACAGTTCCTCAGAAACCTTTGACAAATTCTCAAGACCGTATGCATGAAGAATGTTCAAGTCAAAACGTGACCTAATTTTGCGAGATTAGAATGGAAAGCACCTGTGGAAGCATCATGCGCAGTAGTAAATGACAAGCATGTCAGACGTCAAGATGACAAGCAGCAGTTGCATTGCGTGCATGGAACTACGCAGTGGCAAAATTCCTTGCGAACGGAGCCACAAAACCTGTGCGTACTTGTATCTAGATGGAATACTTGGCCCCGGTAAAACTTGTAAATCCCGTAAAAGCTTCAACAACAACTACACGCCGGTTAGTTCCTTCTGAATGAGGTAAATCTTAGCCCACAGCAAAGCAGCAATTCGGATGAACATTCAGTCGGCGCGTAGAACGTCTTTTTGCGGTAACTGTGAACACAGCCACTTAAGCACATTCAAAAGTTCTAAAAGTTCAGGAATGCACCAACGCCGAAGTGAAGCAGGTGTCCTAGGATGATTCAGCCACACTAACGGGCCTTTTCATGGTAAAGCTGATGTTAACGATCTAGCTGTAGGTCTTACGCTTTCTAAAAGCGTCGGCCACCTCCAGAAGCACTTTGGCTGCAGATTCATGATCATTCTTTTGGAAGTAGAGCCGTCGAGCTTGGTAGAGGGCGGGCAGGACACTCCCGCATGACCCGATGTTGCCAACATGCAGCAGAGATAGGGGCGATGACGACAAGGAGTCGTAAGATGGTGCAAAAAGATCGGCCAACTTGGTCGCGCCACAACGGGAACAGTATTCCGCCACTACCTTAGCCTGATCGGGAAAAATCTCGGGTAGTTGACTCAATGAAGTCACTTGGCCCGTGGCCACAGGACTTAGACGGGAACAGAGGGCATCCTATTACACAAAAGAGTGTTCGGTTTGAGCCCGGCATACGATTATGTGAGGATATTAGTGGAAAGTTTAACTTACGGAAAAGCGAAAACGGTCAATTAGCCAGAGCGTTCGGACTGTGGAGACATAATTTTCGAAGCCAGGAAACTCAATGACAATCTGGTTCACGATATATTCTTGCTAAACACGGTGGAAAAAAGAGTTAATGTTCAAAAAACAAAACTTTACTTAATAGCTGAAGGGTGTTCGATTTTGGTGGACATGACTTTGACAGTGCCATCCTAGTAGCTCGAAACGCTTAGCAAAAGGCTTCGCCAACAATTTAATTGCTTTTAATGCGCAGAAATAACTCTTGGAAGGGTAGATTTAATTTTAAATTAGCAGGGACCGAAAAAATGGGGCGAAAATCAAGCTCAGATGCCACGCTCACCAGCCTGACAGCTCGAGCCACCGGTCCCAAACAGGAGGTACCTGTCTCTTTGACTGTCTCCGTGGCAAGACGTACTCGTCTGACAACGTGTGTGTCCTGACCTTCTGTGGTGTCATCGCTTCTCTCCTTATCCTCGTTCACCTTGCCTCCATGGAGGGCGTTGACAGCGACGGTGTCAAAGAGGAGGAAGGTGAAGAGCGCTAAGTGGATGAGTGGCGGTTGCGGTCTCGATCCGAGGCACTGCCACAAGGCGCACATCGACTGGAGTTGGCGCGGCGGGTAGGTGGTGGTCACCTCCGACTCAACGGCCGCCAATACCTCTTTGGCCGATTCGGCCGTAGACAATAGGTTGCGGAGGTGATCCATGATACAACCAGTAATGAACGGTGGAGCTGGAGGGTTGGGCGGCGACCCGTGCGCCGATTGCAGTTTGGCGAGGAAATCACTGAGTTCAGTGGGGTTGTAGGGCGACAAGAGAGCTTCACTGCAGGGCAACAGTCATGAAAATAGTAATCGCCAAGGTTTTCTTTGCTCCAAATTACGCGTATATCTATTCTTAAATGTTTACTGTCAGTTTCAGACTATGTTAAGCGTAAGGAAGCGTCTTTTCACAGAAATGGAATCGCCAACGTTAACAGCGACCACCATGATCAAGGCTATAGAGGACTTCGGACTAGAGGTGCACACCTTCGACCTCAGCTTAAATTGAATGTTCTCATTGCCATCATACATGAGGTTAATATCTAGTTTCGTAGTTAATAAATAAAGTGGTGGAAATGAACGATTTCAAACTGGTGGAGCGTAGAAGTGCCCCAAAAACACGAGTAAAAACTCCTTAATATCAAGAACCTTTGCTAAGGTTTCCATGGTCAATGCAAAAATGCATTGAGACGCAACAACAGTTTGTGTTCCTCTAAGTGTAGAGAAATAATCATATAATTTCCACTTATGTCGATAAGTTTCTTCATTTACGCACCATTAAGATTCCCCTTGGAATCTGCGTGTTCAGGCTAAGTGAAACCTCATAAGAATAAGTTTAACTTATGGCAAACAAAGGGTGGACGGTGGTTTCTGCGGACTTTAAAATGACAAGACAGAAAGGAGAGTGGACGAACCTCGATGCCCTCAACCGATAAGCATGGTTAGAGGCCTGGGGCAGTAGACCGCATCGCAGAAGTAGACACACCGGGTGGGTGTACTCCGCGAGCATTCGAATGACCTTGAATTTCGCCTCAGCTGAGACCGCCTCACCGCCATGACCATCACAATCAGTCACAGGCATCACCACCTCAGCAATATCAGCCAAAGCTCGAAGCTGTGATTGAAAAATGCCACAATATTTGGTCATCACGCAAGCAAAAGGAGGGACAGAGACCAGCACTCACGGAGTTAATACACAGGCTCAGGTCTTTGAGCCCTTCCACGCTGACTGATGAACCATCCTCATCATTACCAAAGACAGGGGTAAGGAGGTCTTCCAGACAGCTCTTCCTGCCCAACCATCGAAGCCACAGCCACCGACGCATAAAAGCACGTGCATTGAAATCCCCATTCACTACTGCGGCAGCAGAAGCGACGATCAAACCTTCCAGCGCTTTTACCTCTTTGAACATTCCATGCTCAAAGAGACAGTTGGCTATGATGACCCATGTAGGGGAGAGGTACTTCGATGCGCGTCTTTGTTGATCTTTACGAGGTCTCTTGGAAGACCTCCCACTAACACTGTTATCAGCTAGCATTCTACGATTCCTATCTCCGCGCGGAGATAGTGGAACGATGGCACCTTCAAAGTAGTCTACACCTTCCTTCTCTTCCTCCGCATCCATCATCTCCAGCTGTTCCAGGAGACCTGGAGGTGGGGTTTCGAGTCCAATCGCTTGACGCGTGATCCACTCACCATCTTCGGCTTCCTTTAGAGTCCGAGGTATGGCAAATTCAGAGTCATCCAATTCTTGGATCAAACCGCAAGCCACGGCCTCTGTGATCCAGTCGGTTGGATTAAAAGAGACGGAGGAAGAGGGTGAGTCAATGGCAGCAGAGATTTCTCGAAGTACTAACTCCTGACGAGAAACGAACTTCAGCGACGCACAGGCCACAACAAGATCTAGGCAAAAACAGATGAGAAGAATGAGTCTTGCCTTTGATGAAAGGCACCAGCGCCTTGAAAGCATGTGTGGATGGACGCAGATGGGATTCAGGAAGGGGATTGCGAAGACCTTGGCAGCGGCGGAGGGTGGAATTCTTGGTGGCAGTGAGATCACCGCAGAGCCTTAAAGCGTAAAGCTCGCGACGAGAGACGACCGCCCAGAAGGCGAATATGGTGTGAGGCAGGATATGAGCGGTCTAGATAAGGGAAAAAAATGCACGTAGGAGAGTAAGATATGAAGGTAATAAGAACGCACCAGTGGATGGGCTCGAGGGGAGTTCAAACTCGCGTCGTAGACCGCAAAGAAAGAGTTGTCTGATCTAAAGAAGAAGCAGGGAAGTCGGCTTGATGATAAGTAATAAATTAAGGATGTTTCAAATTGTTGATCAGTCAGTAGATGGATCAGGAGTCGATAGATGTAAGGTTCAAGGACGGGACAATGGAGAAAAATGCGAAGATCATGAATGCATAAATGGAATCAAATAAGAAAAATAGAACAAAGATGGATGAATGGAATAATAGACGTGGAGATAGAAGATCGAGTTGCTGCACGGATATATCAGGAATGAATACATAGATCCTATGGAGACCAACGGGGTAGGGGTTTAATTAATGAGGAAAGGCAAAACGGAAGGCATGATACGTAGATGGTTGGAAGCACAGACTAAGGGTGAGTGGACAGACAGATAGAGAGATGAGTTGAACTACTTTTAAATCTCATAATAGATGGAGAATAGATGGAAAGATGAATGTGAAATATCCAAATGAACTGGGAGACGGACTTAAAGATAGATCGAAGGGCAATAAACACAGAGGTCAAGGATAAACAGCCTTGAAACGGGAGTAAATGAATCCGAAGCAGGAAGATGGACGGCCGAGCAGATGAGTGGCTCCAGGAAAGGTATGGGAACAAAATGACTATACAGATTAGGGAACAAATAGATAAGTAGGTACACGAAGGACCTATGGGCTCATGCGTGATTGAATAGATGGACGATTTTTCTGATTGGCGGACATCCAGTAAATTGGGGGATAGATTAGAGGCGGACAGACAGCTGAATGGTTTATTGGCAAATGGACAGACGTATATGAAATAAGTGGGTAGATTAACAGCGTATTTATGATCCGGAATATTGATGGCTGGGTGGATGGACCCGGGATCCATGAACTTGAAATCCAACAGCGCATGAACTATGAAGCCGTCAGTCGATGCACGAATGGTCGGGGATGGATGGATTAAAGGGGAATGAATTCAAGACAGATTTGTGATTGAAAAGATCGAGATTCCCACGATAAATAAGTGAAAGGACACACGAAGAACACATGGATCCGTGACAAATGGAAGGATGAATTCGGAATTGGCAGTTGGATAAAACCATGCAGTACAAGTAGATGAATGAGGCAACGATGTATGCGTGCAGAATAGATGAGGGAGATGAAAAGATGAAGCAAAAGTGGATGAGCTTGAGTTCTGCGGATGATTAAGAAATCGCTGAATAACAGATGGGTAGTCGGATGGATCTAGGATGGATGAAAGGGAGAGAGATGGATTCGAGAAAAATGAGTGTGTGGGCCCTGAGTAGGTAAGTAATTAAATAACAATTTTTGAATTAACTAACAAATAGCTGGATGGAAATACCTGATGGAAGAGGGCATCTGAGCATGGTACCACCGGTCCAAATCAAATAACCCAATTCGTACAATATGAGGAGCAGCACGCCACACTAGAGCCGTGAGGCGGTTTGACCTAAGGCCATAATTGTTGGAGTAGTTGGTGCCCAGTGACTGGATAGAGGTGAGGAGGGCTCCATTTGCTGACCAATGGGATGCCTCGTGGTCCGTGGAGGCTGTTATAGGGGTCAGGGAGGCTGAGAGGCGTTTGGAGGCGCCGTAGAAATCCTGTGGTCGCACAGACAAAAAGTGTACAAAATACAAACCCATTAGAAAACCTGGTAAAAGAGAAATGAATGTTTGCATTCACAGAAATAGCGTACCTCATATTCGTACAGAGTATCCTCGGTATTTGGTTGAGTGTGTTCGATGCGTTTTCGAAAGCCCAGTTGAAACAGGACAACTTTTGGGCTGAAAAACAGGTGAAGCAGCATTTGGAAGTTTAAATTACCATTAATAATAAATTGGGAACAAATTATCAGCCAGGACAATAAATAACGGAGTCGATGAGTTTGAACGTAAAAAATTCCTTAAACCGACATTTTTACCTTTCCTCTTGGCTGTCTTTGGTATTTTACTAGAATCCTATTAAAACAGATATATGGTATCCTACATTTTAAAGTATCAAGACCTACTTTCCTGAAAATATGGACCAAAATACCCAAATCAATGGGGTACAAATAACTGAAAGCACCACAGAACAGATTGGTGACCACTGGACTAAAAAAGTCATAAGTCGGTCGGTAGCACGAGAGTTTCTGTTTCAATGGGTGATTTTATTCTTGAAAATTAAGAAGCCATTTGAACTGAAACCTGAGCGGCGAGAAATGACAAACTTAATGCAGCTCAAATGAATATTGCATGGCTGAGTGCGTTCATCTGGATCCACAAAGTGAGGGAGTGATGGAGGGACAGTAATTCCGAAAACTCCCATCTAAAGGTAGATGCTGTGAAATAAAAACAAGTGACCCACGAAATGACCGGTCATTGATTCCAATAGTTACCCATTAAAATGTAATAGCAATTGTTTCACGAAATCACCGCAGACCTGATATCATTACGATCATTTTCACGATAAATGAGCAATCCACATTTGTCAATAGGTGCATTCTTTTTACAAGACACCGATGATCAAACTAGCATTCACAGGGTTAGAAATTAGCAATGATGTTATCCAGCCATCAATTCTTTGAAAAACTAGATGATAAAAAATGGCCCTTGAACTAACTAAAAAGCTTCCTTAACATCACTAGTGTCAAGGATCTCAATAGCCAAGAATTGCTGCTTGATTTACAAGTTTATATAGCATAGTTAGCAACAAACAGATGGAAACGAATAACTCACTTGATCGCACTGCAAGAAGAAGGGGAGGGCTCGGTGGAGGGTGACCTCTTTAAGCCCTGCCAGCCAATCCAGAGGAAGCAGCAATAGCGAGGGTCGTCAGAGGGCTCGGAGAAGGCACAGCTCACTGTAGCAACGGGTGTAGAGGATAACTCGCGGTAAGTGTAGCTAGGTTGACAAGAGGGAATAAGTTGGCGGTCAAACTTTATGCTTAAGCGCATCCACAACCGCAACCACAGAGTATATGTATCAAAGTGTGAACTTGGGATCATCAACGCCCAATCAAGTAGCAGAATCGTAGCAATAGAAATGTAAACACGTTATGATGAGAAAGAGAAACGAGCAGGAAAAGGCAATTTTAAGCTAACACGCTATCAAATGATGAGTTGAAGTAGTTCATAGAAGGAAAAACGTCCAGGACATTTATTGGTCAAGTCTTAAAAATTCATTTAAAATCGCAATGTTGGCAGTAGAAAGTGACAGACTATTCATTCAAGATCTGTCAGATGGGCAAAAAAGTCTGTGCGGTTTTGGTACGCATGACTGAAATGACTTCCAACTTGCCTTCATTATAAAAAAGGATACGAAATTAACGCGTCGTGAACTGTCAGGGATGCTAACGTGAGAAATGAAAAGTAATCACCTAAAAAGTCGTGGAGTACAGAATCTTTCTTAAACGTAGATCGTGGTAAAAAATCCGGAGGTAAGAGCTACACATGACATCTCCAACATCTTGCGTCAGGACAGGACATCATAAATCGGAAATGGGACAAATTACTAAGTCGATAAATGACTACGCTAGATTGTATTCTGACCACAGTGACAAAGAGAAACTCAAATCCTATTTCGCAATTAGCTCACATAAGCTGAAGTTTTGTCAGACTCCACATCTGCCATCCACCGAAGCTGAAACCGACGATAAGGCTTTTGATTTGTTGGACGTAATGCAAAAGGGTGACTCCCACGGAAGCTGCAAGTTAAAGTTATAAAGGAGAGAGGTGTGTGGATATCGGGTCAAGGGTCCTAGTTACTCACTGGATGGAAGCTTGGCAATGGTTTCGCCACGAGGTGTCTGGTAGTAGAAACTGTTTAAAGAGATTCGTGATTCTGAAGGGCAGAAACAAGCAAATTTACTCAGCTATCGACGTCTGCTAATTTAGCGTTATTACTAGGATCAGCCTTCATAACAATTGTACAGGACTACTAGGTACTATGAGGTAATTTACACCGCCTACACATTCGGCAGTAACTTAGACATCCCAACTTACTAATTCAGGGTTAATAGTTCGGACATTTACTCAACTACTACGACTTTCGACTTAGCCTTCAACACCTAGCCCTGGCTAAATTCTCAACTAACAACCGTGGATTCATACTGCCATGAATTGCCTTGAAATCGTCAGTTGTGCATGCTCTCAATCTCCCACACTTCCGTTCCACTACACCAAAATTGATAGGAAAGTAACTAGAATGGCAGAATTTGAATAACCATAGACTAGAACACGTATAGTAAGTTAAAAGCCTTTTTCCTTGATAATGCTCGAGACGCGACAGCCGATAGTTTAACGTTAAACTGAGATCATGCTTAACTCCAAAAATGCTCCACAATTCACAGCATTAAGTTTTTGTAGAAAGTAGTCTTAGGGTCTTTCAATTACCATAACCCACCATTAATACGCCATTAGATTAGCAGAAAAGTTTTTGTTGATGCCGGAAGTAAGTGATTTAGAATTACAGGAATGGAACGTACCATTGAGATTGACTAGAGAATGCTCAAACGACTGAGAAAAGGGGGATATTAATTCTTCCTTCAAAAATGCCTCAAGACACTGTTTAATTGAGACACAGACGCTAGGTTCCACACGCGGCCTATCTGGCTTCCAATCTAGACAAAGATCTGAAAAACAAGGACATTCGGAAAGTTTATTAAATCCATAGACAGTCAATGAAAATTAGGATAGAAGAAATTACCCAGTAAAGTTAAAAGACCACGCTCAAAAGCAACAGCTACCATGCCATCGAAAGGAGGAATTGATTTATGATTCACGGCTACCGCGTGAATAGCTTCAGCCCTTCCACGAAGAGAGATAAAACGAGTAAACTTGACTGATTTTCCATCACTGAGGTTCAAAAGGCACACAAGCGACCGTTTTGGCCTGGCGTCATGAGAAGGCACAAAAAGAGCAGCCATAATTGAAGTAGAGGGCAGAAAAGCGGCTTCAGCGATGATCCAGGACCGAGGAGCATCGTTTGGCCAGTTTTCCAATGAGGAAAATAAGACGTCAGCATTGGATGGGGTCCATGAAAACTGTTTACCATTAGCAAACTGACAGTGAAGACGATTAGAAGAGTAAGCACAGATAATGGAACCAGTTGGAGTGAAAATGAAGTGGGGTAGCTTGGTGCTTTGATCGAATAAGTCAGCAGGGCGGATCGAACCATGTTTTAGAACAAGATCATCACAGTCGAATGATGTCGTGCATACTGAAGATTCCACTGACTGCATGACGATTGATTACTAGAATTACACGGAAAAAAATTTTAGAAAGCACGCATGGTGAGCGCTGCTCTCAAAGAATGGTTACCAAATAGATTCATAAGAATGATAAATAATTGCTAAAGCGAAGTCGATGAGAGTTCTTAATGCACCTTAAAACCCGCAGCTGCCTGAACGTTTATGAAGTATATGAGAAAATATGCCATTACACACACATCGTGACTACTTGCCTACGATTGGCTCATTTGGAATACCGGTTAGGATTCGAATTATACAATAGATTCGAAAAAAAAATAAAACCTAAATAAGACTTTATTTTAGCAAAAAAGAAATAATAAGATGCGTTTCGAAATAGCGACGCAAGTTTCGCTTATCTTTTGTATCTTAGCCCTAATTCCCTTGGAATGAGCAGGTTGACTACATGATAGGGGCAAGCATAATAGTTAGTTGTAATGCGATGGTGATTTGTCCCTCGGTATTGGTCAGGCGCCACTTTTGTGCTTTTGAACTAGCTCTTTTGTACTTTGCTGTGTGGGCTGGCCCTTAAGCCATGCCAGTAGCCCAAACACCTCTGTGCTGAATATATATTCTGCCCGAGTATTGTGTCTTCTTTCGTCTTCGGTGAAGACTCGGGACGCTTCATAATGTTAAGAACAAGGTACCTTGACCAAAGTTATGCTTGCTTAGCATGCACTTTTTTCATTGTTTTTTTCGTCGGGACATTCATGTTTAATGAACGTTTCAATGCTAAATGTTGTTTTTCTTCAAGCATGCCTACTAAATTGTCATATAACAAAGACGAAAAGTTGTTCAGGCCAACTATTATTATCAAAAAGCTGATGCACTAGAACTAAACTACTTCCATGAAGTGAAAAAATCCTCGAACTATACGCTTATAAATCAGTGTCACTAGTGGACACTAGAGAATTCGTAATACTTCCGGCCTGACCCCTGGGGCATTCTGCCAAACTTGTGTGCAGAGGTTGAGCAATGAGTTCTTTCATCGCTTAAAAAGAAGGCTTGGTAAATTATCATAGCATCATAAAGGCTTCCTCATCTTGTGAGATTCGTCCCCATGATTCCCATTGATCAACCTCCAGCATAGTGCATCACTCTGTGGTCGGTGCCGTAAGAATGTACTCGCAAATTGCAAGCACTAGTTCCCAAATATGCATGCAACCAAAAAGATCTTCGAATAGAATATCTCAAGGCTCTAATGAAAATTCTACTAGATCTATAGTTTCGCCCTGTTTAGGAAATTTATTGGATAAGGGAGATTTTGAAGATCATCACATATGTGCATCACTACTCCTAAGAGCACTTGCGTAAGAGTAGGGCCATTTGATTAGAGAATAAATGTGGAATTTCTTCATGAGAATAAGGTTACGCATCTTTTCCTTCTCGCCACCTTGTTATCGTTTTCGTGCTGCCCAGCCATAAGCCTCTACCTTCGCTCCAACCGATAAGGAAGAAAATTAAGTAGGTTTTGCCTGATACCGCCGACAGCTGCATGCCGAACCTCTTTGGCCTTTTCAGGACTATGGCTTCTTAAGTTGCTAATAGACATCTTAAAGAACATGAGACTGAGATAGTTGCCGTGTGCATTCTATATTGCAAATCTTTAACTAGAAGTCGGACCAGGTTTTCTTTCTGTAGTATAAGTTTATTTCGTCAAATTATTATTTGAGATTCATAAATGATATTTAGGCGAGTTGTTCTTTACGATCAGGTTTACTTATCGCTGCTACCATCGTGACGCCCCGAGTCATACTTTAGGACAAAAGAAGGCTTTTTACTATGGAGGACTATTTATTGCCGAGGTAAATAGGAGGTAGAGAGCTTCCGGATAAATCCAAAGGTCATCCCGCACAATAAAAGTACAAAAGCGGGGCCGCTGATGCCCACCAAACCAAAGTTAAATATTTAATTGATGTACCACATGTGTCTATGCTAGATATTTAGTCTACACAAATTGTAGGCTGGCTTAGCGAAAAGGCTTCCTTTTCATAATAATGGCCTCCAAACCCGATGCAAAATCTTACCAAATTCCTTTCTTTTTAAATTTGAGGGAGTGTTCTGAATCTGGCGGCTAATTGACGGTCCTTTGTAATACTTATGTTGTTTTAATGTGCCTTTCAGGGAGGAGGCAAGCAGGAAATTCAAACCTTGTAACTGGATCGTCCTCTCACTTACCTAGTGACTGCGGCTCCCCTCCTTCTTGAATATTGTATTTTCCATATCCGTCTTGTCGTCTTTAATAAAGATGTCCAAAGCAAACCAACCGGGCTTGTCTAGGAACGCTAGGAATCGAAAAGCGGAGACCGAGGAGCCTCGCTCCACACCTTTACTGATCAAGAATTACTTTAAGAGTAGAACTGCTTCAGAATTGGTTAGAGATTTTATACGTTCACACTTTACTAAAAATGATGTAAAACATTTTAAAAATCTTGTAGTAAAAAATCAGAGAACCTATTGAAGGTGTGATAATACTAACAAAAGAACAAAACAACTGGTTTTTTCCACTCGAGGACAAACTTTACGAAATAGTATTATAAGCGGACTACGGTGATTAGGGTTGTGCGTGTTCAAAGTACATTCCCTCCCCCTCCTGGGAAAAAATTACGCTTGTTCCATGAGAGTTTTTAGCTGAAAATAAATTTTGAACGAGTATTCTTTATGATGTGTTTTCTGAAATGCGTCTTTTGTTTCGGTTGCAAGATATTCAACATTATTTGTGTGCGGCACTTAAGGATATCCTAACCTTCCTTTAAAATAACTATTTGCTTTCTCTAAGATATTTAAAGTCTTTCATCTGTTAGTAATTTATATTACGATTACATTTTTATGTCTTTGATATGTCCTACCTTCGAGTCTTGGCACTACATTTAACTCACCATGAGCGCGTCTGAGAAGTATGCAATATCTCGTGTAAAGTCGGAGAAGGTTGTCACATACGTTACACCCCAAGGGAAAGGTGTACGTGTTACCAGAGAAGTTTACTTGCGTAAAAATATGCCTTGTCGCACACAGTCGTGCCCCGACAATGAGTGTCATCTTGGTAATAATTTGGTTGAATTTATGTTTTTTAAAGGTTTTTCTCTTCCCTCAGATCTCAAAAATATTGTAATTGTTGATGGCTTCTATGCGCTCTACTTTTGGGAAGTCTTCGAGTCTGTGGAAATTCGGGGCATTGTTGTCACTCTATCCTCGCTCTGCTACGTAAGCTCTTGATATCACAAAACTTCCTACCACCTTAATAACCATGTGTAAATAAGACAGCTGCATTGTTTTTACCAGACTCAGCAACAAGCGTCATCAAGGGCTGTGTATAACCGTATTCGAGCATGTCTATCTGACCCGGTTCAATGTTGTGTCTTGTTTGATAACGAATTCCATGAAGACTGCTTTCGACAGTCTTATCCTGGTGAATCCACTTTGGACTACACCACTCGTCTCAATTGGACCGCTGCTCAGTGGTACCAGAGTCACTTAATGGGAAAAGTTAATGTCATTTTCCTTACGGATAATACTGAAGTCGCTCTTGAGTTGGCTAGAAGAAACCCATCTAAAGATGGCGTCCTGGTGATGGATCTGGCCACGTATCTTCAAACCCATCACCCAAACTTGACCACAGTTCGACAGCTCTATGATTCCCTCTGTGCCTCACTGATGTCGAGCCAAAGTGTACAGAATGAATCAGCGTCCACCATAGCTGCAGCAACCACAACTTCCAGTCTACCACAACAACCTGCATATGGAGACGTCTACCCTGCCCACCTTCCGGAATCTGCTCTCATTGCCGGCGTCCGATCGGGTCAGTTCCTTCAGGGTGTCCTGCGAGTGTCGCGTTTCCGCTCCTCAACGGACGCAGTTGTCGTGCTCACCGAGTAAGCTGGCAGTTTAAATTTAAAACTTTCTGCTTTCCTTTGTACGGTAGAATTGCTGGTTTGAGTTGGACTAATGCCTAGCCTATCTCCCTCATTTTGTGTAGTGCTAGTGCTCTGAAACACCAAGCAGATACCCAAGACACCGAGTTCGCATCACGCTCCGAGCTAGCGATAAACGGAATGGCACATCGAAATCGCGCAGTTGATGGGGATATTGTGGTGGTTCGGCTGCTGCCGCGACATCTGTGGACCATGGTTTCAAGTAATCTGATGCCTTCCGAAGCAGGTATCTTTTTGGCCATATGTTATTGGATCTTGACTTTGTGCAACGCTTCTTGGGATCTGCAAATATTTTCAGATCGTGCTTTATTTTTTAGCAGTGTACGCTTAAAGTACTTATTTCATCTTAAAGATATCGCTAAGGCGATGGCATAAAATTTTCATCTTTAGCTGTCATTATTTGACGCCTAACTCCTTGCTAATGTATCACTTTTACTCGACATTTTTGAGTAGCGGATTTTGGAGGTATTTTTTTAACAAATGGGTGTTTGAACAAACTAGACATGCCGTGCTCATCCTCCACTGATTTTCCTTCTCAGGTATCGCGGAGGCAATGGTTTCAGGCCTTGACAATGCCGGCGCAGCGGACGAAAGTGGTGAGGCCGAATCTAAAGTCGGTGGTGTTGGCGGAGATATCGCTGCTCAACCTGTTCCTACCTCCGGTCTACCCTGTGCTTTTGTGGTCGGCGTGTTGACCCGCAATTGGCGCGACTACGTTTGCTCCTACGTGCCACGGGAGATGCAGGAGGACAAAAGTGCTTCCCTCTCCTCCACTCCCGGTTGGATTGTCGCAACTCCCTGGGACAGACGCATCCCCCGCGTCCGCATCTTCACCACCGAACCGTCCAAACTGGCTGGAATCAGGTGTGTTTGAGTAGTTACGTTGATTACACTATAAAAACAGTGTTGATTCCAACTCTTATACAATTATCTAGCGCCTGGCTAACCTTGAGTGAATGGTTATGCGTAGAGCTGAAGGACGCTGTCGCATTTCAGGAGTCATCCTTGAAAATCTTATATGGTATCCGAATCTTGAGTGGGATTTGTCATGTCCTCATGCAGAAGATTTGGGAGGCCTGTTGTATAGTGCCCTCCTTCTGGACATCGTTTCTGTTAATCTTGAGTTACGAACGTTATGCTGCGTTTTTCACATCATTACCGGGAAGACATTATGGATGGGGATACACATTGAAAGTGCTATGCCTTGGCGATTTCAACCGATTCATCAATTGTAATCTCTGTAAAATGTGTTGCAATGGCTTTTGCTTGGGCAATGCTATACCGCTAGCCTGTTTCACATATCTCAAACAGTTTTAATGGGAGTTTGACCAAAAAAATGTGCTCGTTTAATGCATTCGAAACTACCTCTATTTTAAAATTCTGACTATTTTTTGAAACTACAACCTTTTTCGCACCACAATCGCTTCATTGGGTAAACTGGCATTTCGCACCTCATTGTTTTGACTGTCTTTTGGGTTGTTCAACTTCCATAATAAATTTTTTTGCTATCCACGACTACTTTTTGGCATTCAGAGCCATTCAAAGGTTTCACATTTTTCTGTCTTTGGACCGAAGCGGTAGGTGTCCTCGCCTCTAAAGGCTAGTCTTCTCTCAGGTTTGTTTGAGATTGCAAGTAATCGAGAGTTCACTTAGTTCAGTAAACGGAAGCAATCAACAATGGGCGCCTTCGAAGCACTCGTATGTTCGTGTTCATATCTATGTAACATGGAGCAGATTCATGGAGTTGTCCCGCTTACTCATCCTGGAGTATTCAAATATACACAAACTAATGTCGCTCTATTACAGATTTGTTGTCCGAATGGATCGTTGGGACGCCAATTCCAACTATCCTAGTGGCCACTTCGTCCAATCCCTTGGTCCAATAGGCGATCTGGAGACCGAGACGCAGACTATCCTCGTGGAACACGGACTGGCATACCGGCCCTTCACAGACGTCCAGTTGGACGAGTTGAAACACCTCGCTGCCGCTCGCGGCGCCTGGCAGGTTGATCCCACGGAGGTCGCACGACGACGTGATCTCCGTTCTCCATCCGTCTCTGGCAATCCCCTCTCCGAGGACACTCTTGTCTTCTCCATCGATCCACCGGGTTGTGAAGACGTCGATGATGCTCTCTCCGTTCGTTGGCTTGGAAGTGAGGTTGAAGATGTCTCTAACAGGCGTATCCAACTCGGCGTTCACATTGCTGATGTGACTCACTTCGTCAAGCCGAATGGCAATCTCGATGCGGAGGCAAGGAGACGTTCTACCTCGGTGTATCTCGCTGATCGTCGTTATGACATGTTGCCAGGCATTCTGAGTGGTGATGTTTGTTCGCTCTGGAGTGGAGTCGATCGGTAAGTTAATAAACACTTCCTCACCATGAGGTATGTGTAGCACATATCATGATTTCCTATCAAAACGGCCAGATCTCGCTTCCACCAAGGCAAGGAGACGGCAATCCACAGCATGGGTTTGGTGGATCTGGGTTAATGTTTTCTTTATGGATTACATTGTGGAATGTTTTTAAATAGTTTATATCCAGTTCTATTTCATCATTACTGGTCGGATTGCAGAACACAAGGTTTGGTGGGTTGCAAATATCGACGTAGCTTCAACAGCCCCTCTATTATGGATCTTCGTAGATCACGTCGTTAGCATTAGTTACCTTTCTTCTACAATACTTACGCATCCTATCTTGTTCACGAAAACCAAATTGTTTTGTGTTTCGAGTCACTTACTATTGCAAATAGTGCAGCGCTCTAAGTCATTCCCGAATGTCATATTAGCCATACTGGCATGGAAGAATGTCTATTGCCAAAACTCGGGTTGATGGAAAAACCATAGCCACTAACAGGGCTCCGCAACGTCAAGACAGTAACCGCGGAGCCTCAAGAGCTCACTTACTTAAATGTAATGCGTTTCGCTTATTTTGTTGTTCAGGTACGCTGTGAGTGTGATATGGGAGCTAGATCCAGTTAGTCTGGAAGTACTGGACGTCTGGTATGGTCGCACTGTCATCCGCTCTGCCTACAAAATGACTTACCAGGCCGCACAGACTATTGCAGATCTTAAAAATGTCGGCACAGAAGTCGAACCTGATGCTGAGAAAATCTTTTCCGGCTTAGGGGGCTTGAAGGACATCGGTGAACTCGTTCCAGAACTCGCGAACAAATCGAAAGCTGAAGTTCTTCCTCGCCTAGCAAGGCTCTACTCAGCCATATGCATGCTCGTTCGTATTGCCTCACAGATTCGTCATCTGAGGGTCGATCGAGGTGGCCTTGAACTGGATTCTGTCGAAGTTTCTGTAAAATTTGAGAACCCAAAAGAGAGGACGGGAGCCCTGGAAGACATTGTACCAAAGGCGACACTGGAAATGCATTCCACAGTGGCGGAAATGATGATTTTCGCTAATCATTGGGTTGCAAGGCAGTGTCTTAAGTTCTTTCCTGAGCGATCATGCTTACGACGGCATCCACCGCCACGGCCAGAATTTTTTGACGATCTAAAACGCTGTGCTGCTTCGCGTGGCTTTCGTTTAGAGGTGGGATCCAACAAGGCTTTGTCTGCATCACTGGCCATGTGTGTGGACCCCGTGGATCCCGAAGTGAACAGCATGCTACGACAATTGGCGACAAGGGCAATGACAAACGCATTGTACTTCTCAACTGGATCGGAGGAGTTAACAAGGGATCTATTTGGTCACTACGGTTTGGCGTTGAATCTCTACACCCACTTCACTTCACCTATTCGACGCTATGCAGATGTTATTGTAAGTGCAAAAATGGCCTACTGATAATTTAAAAGTAGGGTGTTTGCTACTTTTAAATGTTGACTAAAATGTTTAGACAGTTGAACATGCTGCAGTGACCGATGGAATTCTCGTTGCGTGTTAAATACGGATCTCAATGCGCGAGTTTGTCAGCTTTCAGCACATTCTTTTCATTTTTTATCGTGGCTCTCGTACCTAGAGGATGAGGAAATTGATTGTCGTGCATACTACTGATGGAATCGATAGAAGCATTTTGTCTTCAAAATGTTGTTGGACTTTTGAGTTTATTTGGTGTCTCTACTCCTCGAACGTTTGCCTAGTGTTAACAGAATCAAGCGTGCTATTACTTGTTAACTTGGGGAGTTTTAAAACGCTAATTATTAGCTAATCAAATTCATCATTTACATCTCAGTATTTGTCAATGCTCTTCTCGTTGTAACTTGAAAACACGCTGCCTTTTTACGGATTTGAATGCGTTTAAAATAGAAGAAAATGTGGTGAATGTTGTCTTACTACGTAGATGTATCAACTGAGTGAATTATGAATGTATGAATGAATGCCTACTTACGAAGTGAAATGGTACTGTTTTAAATTGGCCGTAGACATTACTTGTTGGTGATACAATTATTAGTCTTGACGATGCCTACTTACGTGGTTATTATATGACAGTTTTCTTTACCGCTTGTATTTTTTATGTTCTAACAAAGGTCCATCGCGTTCTGCTGGCAGCCGTTGAGCAGTCCACCACCGTGACAGATACACCGACGTCTCCCAAGGGACTCTATGAACACGATGAATTGGTGGTCATATGCCGACACATGAATGAGCGTCACTGGGCAGCCCAGCAGGCACAGCGTAGTTCTATTGAACTCTTCCAAGCTCTCTTCTTCCGAGACAAACCGGTGGATGATGCTTGTCGCTATGCAGACGCCGTCATTTATCAACTACGGGGCTCTAATGGCTTCTCTGTTATGGTGCCAAGGTGGTTTGCTACTGTTTCCCTTTTCATTGCTTTTAGTGAATCAGATCAGTCTGTCGTTCGTTTTATGTTGCATAAAAGAGCTTCCAAAACTGTCTTATTTGAGCGTCTCTCTAGTTCATTCAATTTCCTGAGTTTAAAGCTGGTATAATTTGCGATACAGAGACTAACGCTGTCCTATCATTTCTTATTCCTTGTTCTTCAGTCTGCTCTTTGTGGTCATGAACGTTTGGAGCCCTCTATACATCCACCCTTATCCTTAGCTTTTTATCCATCTGTAAATGGTTTTGTAAAAGGCAATTTTGTTGCTGTTTTTTTATATACTTTAGTGCAGATTACTGTACTTCAATATTCTCTATAAGAATGTACAAACCAATTACTAATAGGTAACACTAGTTCAAGTTCATTGTTCTCGTAAAATCGTGCAAGTATGTAAATCTGATGGATTCAAAATCGGAATCTTTCTGTTTGATAGACCGCCTAATTCGTCGTGTCTCTAAAGTCCAGTCTGGCTACTTTATGATTTGACGTATGCGGTTCTATAGATACGGTCTTCGAGGTAATGTGTGTCTCAAACAAGCGGATGGTCGAATTGCCTGGGTGTCTGATGCCAAGACAGGTCGCATCATCTGGCTACCAGCGGACGTACCTTGCGAGGTATTCACCCCCTTCCTTTTTCACGAAATCCGTAACCTAAATATCCGCTGGTTTTTCAGATCGTGCGTAGCCCAATTTCCACGCAGATGGGACCACATGGACTGCCACCATGCGATCAGCTAGAGGTGGTTAAACCCGATGGAGCGCGTCAAAGCTACCGCATCTTCGATTACGTTACCGTGTATATTACAATAGCCGAGTCCACTGCACACAGTCTGGGTCTTCGACTGGAGCTGTACGCAAAGGAGCCCAAGGGAAGAAAAAAAGGAAAAGTAAACCAGCCTCAACCAATTACCACAGGGGACGACGGCTTCAAAATGCACGCAGATGCAGAGGTGGTTGAGGTTTGTTTGAACCATCCATCCCTCCATTTGTCAGTTCAAGATCCACCCCCACATTGCCGACCTATCTGTCTCTCCTTCTTCTATACCTTTACTGAACTAAATCTATTCATTTGCTTCAGAGTGTTCGGACGATGAATATGGAGAAGAGGAGGAAACGAAAGAAGGAGGGCGAGTCGGAGGGAGGGGGGATGGAAGAGGGCGATTTTGATGAACCAGAGAAGGTGAACGAGCATAAGGCGGTAATTGCACAGTTGCATACCCCTTCCTCGTTTTATCACCAATTCCGGAAGCTCCTGCGTCAAGGAGGCGCCGGCCGTGAAGGCAGTGATAGTATTGCATGAATGGTATTTGTATCATTTCATATAAATTTGACACTTTCTGTAATTCCTTGTTATCTGGATTGTGAGTAGTAGGAGCTGTGGATGAATTCGGTCAACCGGGGGTCTGCTTGCAACCCAGGAAAGTGGTGGGGACGGTAACCGGGTTGAGTCGGACTGACGTGATGGCGTGGCGCATGCCTATTCAGTACTGGGGGCTGTGGCTCCGCCTCCAGAGCACAGCTCTGGGGTTGGCGCATAGTGATTTTGGCCCTCTTTTAAGATGTGCATGCCCTATATGCTGCTGTAGCCTTAGGAAGTGTAGAATATTGGGTCATTACTTGTGGGAAGGACAAGTGACTAAGTTTCAAGAAATTACAAATTCTGCACTTGTAGTGTAGTTGCGAGGTCTTTAGCAAATAATATTAAAAAAAATTCAAGTTAAGTTTTTGCTAACTTTATTCAACATTTTTTGGTCGAGGCCACTAGTCATGGGTAACCTTGAATGCTGTTCGGTGTGTTTATAAATCTCGAAAGCTTGTGGTAATTCAAAGTGAGCGTGCGAGCAGCACTTTGTAATGGAAGGACCTGAACCAGATAGCATTAATCCAAATAAAAGTTTGCCCACTGTAACTGAACCTGTAGGGTGGGCAATGTCGACACATCAGGATAATGAAGTAAGTTGCCGTTGCTTACTACACTATTTCGATTCTAATATTCTTGAATTTCACTTAAGGGTGGTATACTAAACTCTGCTTCAGCATGTTTTAAGTAGTGGTAGCATTTTTAGTCTGATCATAGCTGTAATTCTTAAATGCACGACAGTTTTTATTTCATTTTAGTTCGGTTTAAAATTACATAGACTTTGCTTGCCAGGTCTTTTATATAAGACCTCTGGTACATATGTTGACCCTTTTCATATCAATTTTTACATATTTACCCAAATGAAAGAGTAAAACGTCGTCATTTGTATATTTTACTACTTTAGAATCAAAAGTAATTTTGCAAAGCTGATTTTTTAGTTCTTTTGCTAGTGGTTGAAGCGAACTCATACCTTTTCCAAATGCGCAATAAAAACTCCTGCAAATTCTTTGTTTCTTACTCTGTGAAATTTTTGAAATATCCATGTTTATAATTAATAGCTGTCATCAAATTTTGCTGTAAGCAATCGCCAAGTTTTTGAATTGTAGGCATAGAACGACTACCCATCTGTCCTAATATTGACATATTGCCTTTTGAAATATCAACAATGAAGTTTTAAGCCTAGTCCGTTTCCAACTTTAGCTTGAACATGAGTTAAATCTTTACTTTCATTTTGCTACCAACACGTTCCCTGGCATCGTGGTCATTACCAGTGGCGAAATATTCATATGCTTTTAGGCCCTTTATTTTTCCGTTTTGGTAAAGGAAGTATTCTCAACACAAAAGGTGTGGTTGCACCTATTTGACCTTTGAACTCTAAGGAGCACTTTTTGTATCGATTGATAAGCCTATTGTGGTTAAATGTTACAGTGATCTTATGATGAAATGAATATATCGTAATGAAATTCTCCTCGATTTATCAGTTTATTTCAAATGAATTGCTCTTTTTTGTCAAGACATCGGGCCAACCTAGGTCTCTCAATAATTCAAACATAACGAGAGGGATGCCGATGCACACTATTTTCTCAGGAGAAGGTCTGGAATGTTTACTCGGTGTAGAGGAAGTGTGGATACATCAGAAGGTTGAGGTACTTGAAGGTAAGATGCGCCCCTTTGAATCTGCGGTTTGCTCTAATTTGAAAGCGAAATTTCACTCTCTATACCTGTCGAATAAGAATGTTGGAATACTCTTTATGGCAATTTTAGAAAGAGTTTTAGTGCATAAATATTTTGAAAATACCTTTTTTGATTGGCTAGAGGGGATGGGTACCCAGAATCATCAACGAAGGATTAAGTAGTTTTAAGCAAACATTATCAAGCTGCAGAAGAAAAAAGGAATTTGCCTTATTTGGAAGACTGAAAATCCTCTTTTCGTTAATGCTGATATTTAACATTGTCAAAAAGGTAAAAAGAAGTGCGAAAATTTGCGCGAAACTCAATGAGGGCTGGTAGATCCTCCTCTCCAAACATCGATAGTAAATATTTTTCCCAAATGTTACTGCCACGTGCTGCAATGTTGTTACCACCGCAGATTTTATAATCGGATATATCGAAAGAATCCATTGAAAACGGGGTAAATATCTATGACCGATGTTAACTACGGGCTCTCTAGTTACACCAACGCACTGCTAGAGAATGTCTGTCAATTTAATCTTCATGGCAGGTCAAGTGTGGTTGGAGGTCAACTGTTTTTGTCTATTTTTATAACTGACCGCCTTGATGAAGTTAAGTAAAGTGTGGTAGGTTGAATGGCATCAAGCATCTCCTTGACTTCCCACTCCTTTGCACCGATACATCCCTCGTAATTTGAATTCAAAATTCGTCTCTTTTAAAGTGTTCGGCCAACATTTGCTATGAAATGTGCAGTAGCTCACCGAAAAATGGAAGGACTGAATGTAAATGCTCAAAAGAAAGCATAGTCGCCGTGGGGTTAGTCAATTTGTGTGCTATAGGTGAGAGGAGAACACTCTCCAATCGAAAGAAAGTAGTGAACTCTCTGCGAACTCAATGTGATTGAAGTAATCTTCCCTTCTTGCACTACAAGTCACATGAAGATGTCATTTGGCTATGCAATGCTAAATACTTTTTCTGTCATGGTGATTTTTCTGTGGGTGAATGGGTGGGAGGTCAAATGAAGAGTTTTACCGTCACACTTAAATATATTTTACGTTTCAAGGTCCAATATTATAATTTCTGTTGAAGACAGCCGAAAACACAACTCGAAGTGAACAGCCAGGGGATTGCAAGGTAATCCAGCAGATCTATAGAGTCTTTTTTGCAATAAAGTAAAATATGAGTTTGGCCCTTTCCTTGAGCAATGAAGCAAGGGTGAATCAGTGGATGTTCGACTATTCTAAAATCACCTTCCGGTCTATGGTGGCAAAGATAATGAAATATGGTGCCAATAGAACTTTCCCCCACAAGACAATAAGACACGTAAGTAGTGGTTTCGCTGAGTCATTCAAAGAACCCTTCATGTCAGGCGTCACTTCACCTTTAGAAGACTGCTATTTTGGCCTGTGTCGCAATACAGGAGAAATAGATAACCCCCTGATCTTTTTCGCCGGAGGCCAAACCACAACCGCGGTTGCGATCTATCCACCTGATAAGGTATGACTTGAAAAGACGCAAGAAAAACCGCTTCTTCATAAACAGATTAAATTAGTCAACTAGGAGGGAAGAAAATCACAAAACTTTCTGCCTCGAATTGTGCAATCGACTCCTCATTTTGAAATGAGATGGAGGTTGTCGGGGAGAGAATGCGCTATTCCCTTGTTTGCCGGATGATATTACTCCAATCTTTGGCAATGGTCCAACTCCCATCCCTTCATGAAGACGTTAACACCGATAGTCAGGCGTTCCCTCGCAGCCCACGCCTGAGTGGGTATCTGGAGGTTAAATGTTGAGCCCGGCGGCTGCAATAAATGAAGCTTTGTATTTCACCAACGCCCTTTTTAGCCACATCTTCGATCTGAGTTGGTTTTTTTGTTTTTATCCCTTTAAAAACAACTCGGCGACAGACCTTCTTATAGTAACCTCATTTTAAGTGCCAAAAGAATTTCGGTAAACGGACAATTTATCAGAAAAGAGAAACCTGCGGTCATAAAAGTTGCGTCAGGAAGGTTTGTGTTTGAAGGAAATTTGTTAGTAAGGCACTCATTATGAGTGTCCCAGAGTAAAGTACAAACCGCATAGTTCAACACACAGTCAAGCAAAGTGTCAAGCGACTATATGGCCCTTCGTCCCTTTTGATCGTCGTCCTTGGCCATTCACCTGGTTAATCTCCCGTATCGAACATCACAATGTGATCGGCGCTTTAAAACCACCGCATTAGTCTTCAACTTTCCTCTCATGTGAAGAGTCTCTTGATCCAAACGCCACATATGCATCCCAACAGTTTCACTTCATTTGGAAATCCGCCCCGCTTGTGGACTATAATGAGGAAGTAGAAGTGCGCTGCCTCCGTTCAGCTTAAGTCTGGACAGTGCTCTTCAGCATGAATATTTCTTATGCAAAGCTCTAGCAGTAGGGAAACTGACATAGGTGTAGAAGCATATAATAGAAGACACGATCTAAAATAGCTTTCATTCATCCCTCCTTGTTACTTCGCCTTAGTTGCAGTGCTAGCCAGCTGCCTGCCGTCTGGGTCCCATTCAGCTAGTAGAGACGTGTAGGCGCCGTAGATAAATGGTTCAAGTCCGGCATCGCTTTGGTTGTTGACATCCTTCCAGGTGAACACGGGATTGGGGTGGCTGCCAAATGCCGATGTCGTCTGCAACCCTTCATCGTAGCACTCATGCCCTTCTGCCGTGACCTCAAGGGCTAGTATCCAGCCATGAAAATCGGAATGGTTGCGCTTTTGGCGCGGACTCGCTTGCTGCTGCTGCTGTTGTTGCGGCCTTCTGAACCCTCAACCTAGTCGTGAAAAGCCAAAGGATTATGGGGAAAATTATAGTACCAAAGTGCAGAAATGTTCTCTTTTCCAATTTACGATGTTTCTGCTGACTTTTCCTGGGGCATAAATAGTACAAGTCTTAACAAGGGCTTTTTAATTAATAGCGAGACCAACAAAATCTGGTCTTTCGGAATTGGTGGATCCTGAAGTCATTGCCATGAAATACACATTAAGTTGTCTGCCCTCCACCCACTATGGAGCAGCTTGCCTTGACCGTGCAAATAAACCACCCATTTCTTCGACTAGTTGACGAGCATCTGCTGAGGCTGATCAACTTGATAATTGACAGGCTGGGAGAACTCAAAAGGCGCTAAAAAGACCCCCACAATCATCCTCTGCGATGGCTTTGGACTAGCTAACGTACGAGTCCATTTTTGCCTTCAAATGACGGTTCTGTGATAGGATAGACAGATGAACAAATGAGTCGGGTCTTGTTCTTTCCCCTTTCTGCCGCATTCTTGTATGATGACTGACAGCTTCACACATACCAAGAGTTTCTTTTTTGCCGCCACCTTGACTTTAACCGTCATCAGGCATGGTTAGGAGTGTGGGCTTCGTTTTAGTCAATGTACAACTTCTAATTGAGATTAGTCCCAAAAAAGTTGACATTTGGAGACGATTTTACCAAAGCTTTATCATATTCCCAGTCTAAGTGGATACATGGTAAGGAAATGGTTATCTCTTGCTGAGTAAAACGATGAAACGGCAAAAGCGACTGGAGATTCTAAGCATACCACATGATTCAAGCGAATTAATTAGGAAATGTTCCTCACCTCTGTGATTATAAATGCCCCAAGAGATACAAGAAATGATTAAAAAAATCCTTATTGGTGGAGGAAATCCTCGCTCTCTCATTATATTTTTTGTGTTAAAACTTGTTTTCTTGGACCAAAATTTGTAAATCACGCTGCCACTGATAGCAAACATGAACGGAAACCCCTCAGGAGTAAAAGCAATTGGCAGTGAGGTCTTTGTAAATCCCTAAAAGTGGGGATAGAAAGTTTCATTTATGAGGATTCGTTGAAGGTCAATGTTGCTTTTTATTCCTTCTGCACAGAAGTGCAAAATGATGCTTATTTTATTTGAATTTTAGCAATTGTAAATTGGGAGACCTCTAATAGGTATGTCATCAAAGGACCTACAGGTCATCCATTATTCGACGTCTCTGAAGGTGAGCTCCCCCCCCCTCCTCCTTTTCAATACTTAATTTCTATACTGTCAAAAGAATGCAAACATATTTTAGTTAAGAAGCATCATTTATTAAAAAAAACGAATCCGTAGTGCGAATAAATTTCTGAGTATCAATTTCCCTACAAATTTGACGGAAGATTTCTATTGGCTACTGTGCTCCAATGCTATTGATTGTTTTGCTCAATTTCTATTGGTGGTTTAAAAGTGCGGGACTTATATAAAAGATTTCAGAAATGAGATGTGTGCTTGGCAAGATTAATAAGGGTAATTTTTTTTAAAAGAAGAAACAAGAATAATTTTTAAAGAATTGACAGTGGCAGAACAGTGAATGAGTGAGCATGCAGTTGAAAAACACCCGCTAAAGCATTCACCTCCTGCTGACTTCCCCCGTTGCTAGGAGACGTATTTCTTGGGTTTTACAAAAGCTAGAAAAGGAATATCGTGTTTACAGTGGTAGGCAAGGAATTCGGCCATGTATATACAACTCCCCTATTGTGCGTTTCCATACTTGGATTTGCTCTCCGACCAACGTCATTAAGACTGTTATTTGTTTGGCGTGGGTTTACTTGTTCCCGGTGCTAATAAAAAGCATTTTCAAGCATGTCAACATGAGCTAGGGGCATATAGACATGAGTATTCTACCATAGCACCCTATGGTCACCCTGGCGTGACTATAAAAACCACCGAAAGAAGAGCATACGTCGGTTTCCAAGACGACCGAGAAGGCATTCCCATGATTCAGTGGATTCCACAATTTTGACCTTTCCGTAAGATGCATTGCTGTGATGTACACAATTTGGCCCCATGATTTTTAACGGGCAAATTTCATAAATGAAGCAGAGCCATTCGGCAATTTTGTCCATCTTGACCAGGCAGTGTCCAGGTCCTCCATAAAGACTTCATTCGGTACATGAGCCTGGACATAGCCTAGTTATAAACGCGGGGACGAGGGATTTCCGACGTATGAAATGAGTAGAACGTCATGTCGCTGAGACGGTAATCGAGACCACGGCGACGTAATAGTCAATCGGCTTGTATATTCCATTTCAACAGATGTAGTTCTTTGAGATGAAGTATGCCTTAATGGTAAGAAGCTCGACTTCAAACACCTTGTAGTCATTTATTACATGGATTATTAAAACAAAAGCTTTTGTTTTCAGGAAGGGAGAGGGAATATGTGTAAGAACCACGGCCTCAATCATTTTGGAGGTAATTTGTCCCCCATGTAAGATAACAAGGCGAACAGGGATTTCACGTTCTACTTAAGTACATTCTCACGTTCTCCTCTAACACTTTACACCATGATGTGAGATTTTTCGTGTTGTGCTCACTAGGATAAAAAAATTTAAGTTGTAAAAATATTACGTACTCGCGTTTGTTTGTGCCAGCATAGATGGCATCGAATAATGAAGGAGCAGGACTTACAGGCAAACGAGGCCTTTTGTGCCGACAAGTAAGTACACCAAGAATACGGTACCCGCGTGAGTGCTCAAGGCCTTGAATGCTGGCTCCCGGGTTGCGGTCCTGTCCTCACGTATTTGCAATGTTTTGATTGGCTATGGCAATTTGGGACCTATTGGCCAATCAGGGCGAAGTCATTAAAGTAGCCACCTGCAGATTGCCTCATAATTTTCCAGGAAGGAAACATGTCGGAGACTTTAGAACTTGGGTTCTGGAGTCAAGGGGATCTTCAACAAAAAAGCAATAAGTCGTTTATCCCTTTGCGTGTAACGTTCGCGGATTCGGTAATTTGGAGTTTGTAGTGCTATTTTTTTGGTGGTATACTAATCAAGTCATTTTTCTTTAACAAAGGCAAATGTGATGCGAAATTAATTCAGTGATGTTTGGATATGCGAAAACAATCAAATCAAGTCGCTGATTTTCTTTTTTCGTGTAAAATTTCCCACTTTATTAGGTTCTTACAGAGGGTTTGGCTTTGAATCGAATAAAGTAGGATTCAAACACAAATTTGAAAACCACCTCCCATTGAAACATTGCCAAATCTATTAAATATTTCAGAATCGAGATCCTTTAAAATTTTTATACATATTGAAAACACAAATTGGAGACGCCTACGCCTTCCAGAAAGTGTGCCTTAGACCTGAGAATTATCACGTGCCTAGGGATCACGCGCGGATAACCACGGTAATGCCAAAATACCAGAGCTAGAATGGACCGAACCTTTGTCTTCGGCCGTCAGCCTGTGATCACGTAGGCACTCTCCGTAGTCCCCATCTCACCCACACAACATTGGTGTCCATCACACACAAACACAAACGCCGAATCATGACATAAAACGGAACGCATAACAAAACTGACGTCTTTGGCGTCAACTGTTTACTTAAAGTAGGGTCATGTGGGAGGCAGTCAGAAGTCACGATGTGAGAGGGCCAAATGCTAGTGCGGTTTCCTGTCCAGGTCCTTGTAATGACCTGTTCTTACTTGCAGGCAGGCCAGAAATGACATGGACTGAATTCGTTATAAGGCAGAGATTTGCACCAGTCTATTTCCCTCACATGTTGAATCCGTGTTTCATAAGGTGTTGATTGAACCCGCTCAGAAATGGTTTGAATAAAGATTTGGATTCTGGTGAGGAAGCACGTGTCACTATTGCTCAAACGAGTTGGAGATTCAGGTGACAGGATCCTTCCATAATCCATTTAACTTATCAGGCTTTATAGTGACCTTGGCGATAACTGAGGCGTTGGATTGACAACTCCAATGGCGGCGTGGGCGTTAACAATGGTAAGCAATAATCCCGATTTCGTCTGCTGAGTTCCGAGTCAAAACTTAAACAGGGAAGATACCTATTGCGGACGACTGAAATAGTTGAGACTCTCAAACTACGTCAAACTTCAGAGGTCTAGAGGGTTTCACTTCCTGAAACTTACCCCTTCGTTTAATGATCTGAAAAAGCCTGCCCACATTCATCTGAACAAGAGTCTAAAAAATAGTAGATTATATTCCAGACAAATTAGCTCTCGTAAAATCATTGTTATTCAGTATTAGCCTCTGTGTCTGTATTTGTGTTAGAGTCGGGAATATGTTCCCGGCAATGCTGCGGCCGCATTCGCTCCTTCTGCCTCCACGTGGTTGGACCACGAGGCATCGAGGTGGTACGGATGCGCAGACGCTTTCATTGCGGTGCCTGCATGCCCTCCTGCCATGTCTGCTGTTGCTGCTTCTGGAATTGCGAGCCCACTACCTGCAAATCGGAAGGTGGCAGCTGTTGCTTTCGTTTCCTCCGATGCTTTATGCAAGACATCGTTTTGGAGACACCCACAGGCGAAGTCATCGGTAAAGTTCAAGAGGAGTAAGTACTCTCTCATGTAATAAGGCATTCCTTTTAGTTATTTGATGCAAGTCGACGGTATAGTTACTTGTACCTTTTCTTTATTTGTTTAGCTGGCCAATGAGAGACTGAATTTTATACAACCCACCAATTGGATGCGAGAATTACTTAGATTGTAGGTGAACCAACCAAACACGTGTATTAGTCACATTTGAAATTACTTGGATCGCTTAAGCGTTTACTCAGATATCCTTTGCCATATCCTTTTGGAATAAGGGTTGAACTTATCACAAGTGACATATTTCTTTAAGCTCAAGTCCTTAATCTCATTGACTGAGATGAAGAACTCCCACTTTAGACAGTGAATATGGCTAAAATGCCACCGTATGCCATGTCAAAACGGTTGGTTACATCGGTTGTTTTAATCTACCTTTTTCGAATTACCTCCATTTCTCCGCACGTGATCTGTCAAGAGGGTCAAATTAGCAGCCTCGGTGGGTAATAAATAGATGAAATGTTCAAGACAATTTCTCAATGGTATTAGTCGCCTCCATCCCTCCTACAATTCGTCTTTTCTTCCCGGTGCAATCGCTTGAGACTAATGCTTAACGCCAATCCTCACATGGGGTGCGCCAGAGCAGACTTATTTGGCAGGGTTAGCAACTGTTATGAAGGAGATTGCATTTGCCAAAAATTTTCACCAGCGAACAATTGAGTCACAAAGGTACATTGGATCCTGACACCGTAACCAACTAAGACGAGCGCCCAGTGCTGAAACCTACTTTTTTGGGAGTGCCGAAATGCCGCACTTTGGAGCACAGATTGACAATAAGTATTGGTGGTTGGTGAAAAAATGTAATGCGGGCTGTGGAAGCGACATGGATACCTTGTAATCCACTTTTTCTTCAAGCCGATGTTAAGGTGGTCTCTATCACTAAAACTCATGGCGGTTTCTTCGAATGTGCCGAGGCTGCGTATCACAAGCTTCATCGCAATGTTGAAGGAGACAACTCAATTGATAAGTCAAGCATACATCATCAACACCAAATCCGCATATCTTGTCAAAAAAGTCAGCTTAAAAATACGACCCGCACAGTTTCATTCCAAGATTTCCCACACATCATCGGGTGACTAAGACAAAATATGATTCGCAAAACGATGGATGGAGACTAATTTGTCTAAATAGATGGATAAATGAATACGGGATGGACGAATGGGTGAATAAATGCATGGTGAATGGAAGTAAGATGTAGGATGGATGGACGAATGGATGGATGGATATAGGATGGATACGAGATATATGGATGGACGGATGGATAGGAGATAGGTGGATGAACACTAAATAGGCGGATGGATAGATGGATATAGCATGGATGGGTTGACACAAAATGGATTGGATGGGTACAGGATAGATGGATGGTTGAACGAACACGGAATGAATGGATAGAAGAATATGGAATAGATGGATGGACGGATGGATACGGAATAGGTTGATGGACAAACGAATATTGGGTGAATGGCTAGATGGATGAATACGGAATGGATTTGATGGAAGAACGTATATTGGATGAATGAATGGACGGACGAGTACAAGAAGGATGGGTTGATCCAAGACGGATGGATGGATACGGGCAGATGGAAATATGGATGAATACGGGATGGATGGATAGATGGATACAGGATTGATGGATTGTTACAAGATAGGTGAATGGGTGGACGATTGAAAGGGGGATGGATGAATAGATGCATATGGGACAGGCGGATGGATTGATGAATGCACACGGGATGGATATAAGTATGGCTATTTGGATGAACAGGGGATGGATAAACGGGCGGATGAATGCGGGATGGATAAAAGGATGAATGAAGGAATGGATACAGGATGGATGGATGATCATGCGGCTGATAGAGGCATCTGGTAATATATACCCTCAAATCCATCCAATTTAACTGGAAAAATTTTATGTTCCCTCCCAAATTTCAACACTGTTATTTTTAAGGCAAAAGCTTGAGGCCTCCTTGATCTACTCTTTAAATTGGATTGAGGAATATCCTACACTTGTCTCAAGGCAATGACAAGTAATCCTACCGATGGATGTATTCGATGAAAAGTGATTGAAATCATCAACTGAGTGAAGAACAGGATTTTAACTTTTTCTTGCCCTAATTTGCCAGTCTTCAATCCACATCGGCCGTCGCATATGTGGTCGGCTTTGAGACCCTTTTTATGCCAAATATGATGATCAACGCAAATTGTGCTTCTCCTTAATGCCTCATGAGCGAGATAAAAATTTTTCACTTCCCCCCGATTAGGATGCAGATCTGAAATTTTTACCGATTTCTAATAACTTTTTACAAATGTTTGACTGAGCAATTTAATATACGCAATTATTTTGACAAAATCACAGACCGACCTGGGCAGTGCCGACATGGAGTATTTTGGACGCCGATGGACATTTGATACTGCGGATAACTGGACCGCCTCCATGGTACTTCATCTGTCTTCCCACGGCTTTCGGCCTGTGCAGAGATAGCCTGCAGTTCAAGGTCACTTAAGTTTCCTCCTTCTCGTCATCTTGCATTATTAACGTTCGGTTTTAATCAAAAACTCTAAATATTTGCTCTGGAAAGTGAAAGACTCAACCTCTTTCCCCAAGTTCACATTTTTAAAGTCAAATTAGGTTAGAATTTAGTCGCTCATCGAAGCTGTGTAAAAGTCCAGTTGTCAAGATAGCAGTGTGGACTTGGGGATCAACCACACAACCGATTTTTGAACATCCAAAACTCACAGCTGAAGGTATTACAGTAAGGCCTCACAGTGAAGTCGATTGCTTTCTGATGGATGCAAACCTTAAGACTGGCATAGAAGCTCAAAAAGCACATTAAGATGAGGAATATCTTCATGGATTAATTATGTGGAAGGTATTCGTTTCATCAGAAGTTGACCTTCAACGGCAACTTTTTTGACAAAGTTATTAAAAGATTAAGTCTATTGATGAATCACTGCATCGTAAGGGCTATTAAATGAAGCTGAAATGTTCAACAAACTGGTTGGATCTAGAAGGAGACATTTGTCGCATGTCTCGTAGCAGCATGCGCCCATTTTATAGACCTAGCAAACAGCTTCCGATGGTAACGTAGGTCCACCGTTTAGGCAGTTATACTCACTTCTTTTGCCATGTAAATTCAGTTAATGTCGGCCGACGGTACATTCCAACTTGGCAAAATTCGCAAGGAGTGGTCCGGTTTCGCCCGCGAATTGCTCACCGACGCTGATACTTTTTCAGTAACATGTAAGTTTTGAGAGTAAAAAAATACCGGATTTTGTAGAGGTTGTGCATGCACGCTCATTGATCCTTATTTCCACCTTTTTCTTCTTCTAGTCCCTCCAGATCTAGATTCAAGAGCGAAAATGTTGGTTTTGTGCGCCACGTTCCTCTTGGTATGGACCACTATTTTTTAAGCATGCTTTTAACAGTCTAACAAGAGTGGGATTAATTGTTTTGATTTGAGTTTTTTAATATTCGCGCGAAGGCAGATTAGGACAAGTTGCAAAGACAAATTATGAAAAATGTTGTAAATAGTAAGGAAAATTGTATTTTATAACTCCACGGGAAATCTTGCTTTGATGAATGCAAATTAGACAATGAACTTTGAGGATGTCATAGTAACCGCGAGGTTATGTGTTCCACAGCGGCTGGAGAAATACCAGCATAGACGGAGTGTCTGTTAATTTAGTCAGTCCACCAAGTATACCGGTTTTTCGACCAGATTATTTACTAGTTTTGCTTAAGTTTGTAGTGCAAACCATACGAGATACGAAAGAAACATTTGTTTTTCATTTCAGGACTTTATGTACTTTGAAAATAACCGAAGACATTCTTCGTAGAATCTGATAAAGCTGGGATTTTTCCTTCTATGACAAAAGAGCTCTATACGTTTTTCTTAAATATTACTTTACAGTTGTAGTCCGCTGCTTAAATTTTGTCAATCAACATTATTAATTAAAAACCCTTTATTTTATGTACGAGTCCTTGGTTAGACAACTTTCCTGGGTTCATCCTGGACTAACATCCTGCAAGCGATCTAAGCGACCGGTTTTTATGCTAATAAGACCAACTAGGGGTGTCTGTAAGGATTTTATTTGTTGTCGGTCCCCTCAAATCGGCGTCAAGTGTTCGTCAATGTCGACTACTTTTTGGGATTTATTATCCCCTCTAGTTGGGTCTAAAAATGGTAAACAACAATCATTTAGCCCATGAACAGATATTATAGATGGGATCTGTCGTTAATTCTACAGCTACAACTTGTATTTCGTACACTTTATCAGTTAGCATTACCAACTTTTCATATCGGAAATAAGCCATATTAAAAGAGTCGCGAAACGGACTAACTAACCTTTAGTTGTTGGTTATTCCTCTTGAGGAATTGAATTTCATCCTGATGTTTCTTCTCCTCCACCTGTCGCTGTTCGGCTGCACGTTTTTCAATTTGTTCACATTTGGCTTTCAATTCAGTCACCTGCCTTTCCAACTCCCGTTTGTACGCCTCCAATTCGAGAATCTGCGTTGGCGAATAAGCATGTTACCATGGTAATGAAATTGTAGGGTTTGGGTGGAACCATTTGTATACCTGTTACACCTAGTATTTGGGATAAATCGCCGCACTTTTGCATATGCAAATTTCATATAATCATGAGACTCAGCAGTTGCCATTTTCAAAGTATTTTTGGACTTGAGGTCATCCACCTAAATTGGCATGTCACGCCACGTAGAGCGGCGGGGATGAGCAACCCCATGCACGCCCTAGTTTAACAAAGTCGCAAAGTAAATGCTGTAGAAATTTGAATTTTCAAACTTCGTTTGTATGAAGTGAGGTGCGACGCATTATGCCTCAGTCAGAAGTGATCCAATAACTTGAGGATATTTTGTTTTAGTAACATTTTTATGCAAATAATTTTGGGTGGCACAATAATTTTGAAATATTACCGCCTATTTTTTAAAAAGGGTTGCAAAATATTCCGCAACAGCCTATGGCGCATGTTTAAGCCCTTAAAAGTAACAGCAAACGCGCACTTTCTAACGGATTTACCAGCAAAATTTAGATTTGGTTGCCAATGTGACAATAATCTTGTCGAGGTCTTAAAACATCAACATTGTTAAGTATTTCTCAAGGTATTTGAGAGCATAAGAAGAACCTTAGAATAACAGAAATTAGACAGGTATTTTATCTAATCTCTGTTAAATCTCATTACAAAGTGGCAGAACCTTACTTTCTTATCAAGTTCTGCTCTTCCCTGTTCAGCTTGCAAAGCTTTTCGCATACCAAACGCAACACTAGATTCATATAGCGTTTGATATGCAGCAATAGTCATTCTTATCTCATCCCTTACTCGCAGAAGTAACAAACCCCTTTCGGTACAATTTATAGTTACTTGGCGAATAAGTTCGTCGAACACTTGTGAGTATAGTTCACGCCGAACGGGACAGATGCCAGTTTCTCGGGCTTGACGTTGCTGAAGGCGTCTGTCTAATTCCTCTTGGAGGTTAACAACGTCAAGTCGAGTCGCTGGTGTACTGGATACTTGTTGAATCCATAACTGATTATTATCTGTCCACTCCCTTATTATATTAGGGACTTCAAAATATTTCTACCTTGGAGGGAGGATCGAATTTAATATCTCATCAGTCTGTTGAGTATTTCTGGTGTCACACGGAGGTTTAGTACAAGGCTTGATTCCGGATGAAGGCACTGGACCGGCATCTTGCACAGCCATTCGAGTACTCTTAATAGGTGGTCCCTAAATACTTAAAGCACAAACAAATATCTAACATTTGGGTTTTTGTTGTCCTGTTTTTTACTTATGAGTACAGGAACATCATATTTTACTAAGGACACATTTGGTGGCAGCATTATTTCATAAAATCAGTCGATTGGGTAACCAACACATTTCTCAGGCGTGGTTATATAAAACAACCTGAGGATGAATAAAATATTAAAAACAATTTCTCTAAACAACAGTACTGCCAAAAACATTGGAGTACTATTAGTTGCAAAGCGCTCTTGTCAAATACCAGGATTTTTAAACTAAAATGAGCACATTAAATTGTTTAACACTGCAATACCTTAAAACTTGTTACCTCGCAATTTCCAAAACTCATTTGCGATAATTCATTCAAAATTACATATAATGATAGAAGTTATTTGACAGATTCCCTGCAACACAGATTTTAATTTAAAACACAAGCTTAGTATCCCTCTTGTAGCGCCTTAAGACTTCTCTGAAGAAGAAAGAAGACAATATACTTGGGCGGAATACATATATTTGTGGCTCTCGAGACTTCCTTAGGGACCAAAGAAGGCATAATTCCCAGGTAGATTACACATATTCAACACAGAGAAGGTATTGGTGCTACTGGCATGGTCGGGAAGCCAGCCTAAACGGTGGAGGCAAAGCAGCCAAGGCAAAAAACTGGGTCCCTAATAAGAACTTGGGGTTATGCAAACGATAAGAGTATTGTATATATATTCGACAAACAGAAGTGCTTAGGACTACTAGCATGGTCCGAACGCCAGTCCACACTGCGAAGGTGCAATGGCGGTGCACACTGGTAGCCACTTTGCCAAGACCGAGAGGAACACATACTACTGTCGTGCCACACACTGTAAAAATAAGCCTTAAAACATGCTTTTTTGAATTATAGTGCAGGTCTTTAAATTTATTACACCAGAAGAGTAGTTTTACCCACATTTCTGACCCAAAACCTAACTTTTAAGCCAAATATATCCATAGTAGCCTTTTTAGTGGTGGCTTTTTATTAAAAGAGAATGGTTAAGGGGGAAGTGAGCATAAGTGCAAATCCAGTGTATTGTATTGCTTCTATTTGTTTGATAATAGTATGCTTCATACATAAATTAAGCTTCAATGAATAAACAAAATATTTTTGCATTTAAATGATACAGTTTTGGTCATACTAGAACATAGACTTGTGCAGGACCTCAACTTTCCCCCATTTCGCTGTAAAATTGTTACCACTTGCTGCACCTCTTTGTAATGGCGTGAATTGCAGCTCAAAACGGATTTTGGCAAACTATTTTCCTATTCTTCTAGTTTAACCATTAAATTCCACTTTCGGCTGTGTCTCTTTTTACGGGGTTAATTTAAGTATTTTTGTCTAATTCCTGCTCGCGGTTGGTTGATTCCTCACCGTCTTTAGCCTACCGCTACACCACGTGTGGAAATGCAAGACGTAACGTTGGGTTACATGTAGGTGCCTGTCATTCTTATTATTTTCCAGTCTGTGTTGTAAATGTGGAACCTCAATTCTTTCAAACCCCACGAATATGTGTGAGGCTTGTCTGGCCTCAGAATGCGATATCACTGCGAGCATACCTAAGCAGCACACCATCACCTTCTGTCCTAAATGCGATCGGTAAAGAGCTTTTTTCCCACTAATCTGTCAGGTTTTTTAATCCGCCCTCACAATGGGTACCAGCGGCTTTAGAATCACCAGAATTACTCTCTATTTGTTTAAAAAGAGTTAAATGCCTTGGGAAGGGTAACAAATTGAAGGAGGCCTCTTTCATGTATACCGAGTCTCACTCAAGAAAACTTATTATCCAAATTGTACTCCGGGGTGAGGTTGGCGCTAATACGATGGTGGAACAAAAGGCCTATTTGTACTATACAATGCATCCCCAACAATGCCCTGATTGCACGAGACATGAGGCTAAGGATTATTGGAATGCTTGTGTACAAATCCGACAAAGGGTCGATCATAAACGAACGCTTTACTATCTAGAGCAGCTTCTGTTACGCAGAAGTGCTCCTCGCAAGTACAACGGTGTGAAGTCTGTGCGAGGTCAGTTTGTTTTCTTTTTAAGTGCTTCAAATGTCGACTTTCTTACTAAACATACGCTAGTAATAAATGGTACGTATATACCTTGGTGTCCCAGAGCTATTAATTCCTCACTCTGGATCAATTTTGAACGGCACGTGCAAGGCTCCCATCCCAATATGACTATTTTTTAGGCATTTCTTGTGTTTTCCGGATTTGGGTGGGATTCGTTTACTGAGTATGCTATTGGATGAAGTGAAACTACTAATTTCCGCACCATGGTTTTCTCCTAGTTATTCGAAATAATGCGTTTGGACGTTTTAAATTCCTCAACTTCGACTAATCATTGTCGTCAATGCGCAGTGAAACAGTAATGCAGATTATATGGAGGGACTTTATCGTATTAGCAGTGATGAGGCTTCTCCATTGGTACCTTCTGGACGATTTGCTACGGTGGAAATATTGTTCTTTTTGTTGCATATTGGCCACTTACAGAAAGGAAGTTTCGTAATGTGATTTTAAAATATGAATTTTTCGATTATCATCTTTGAGCTATTAGCCTATTCCAACGTGATATCAGGCGACTTGATGTAGTCTGTGAAGACGTGTCAAGTCCATATGACGTAGGGCATTGATGTGTTCTCCACTGTCTTATTTGGTACCCTAACCTTATAGGATGTCGTTTAAAACTAATTCGATTTTAATTTTCCCTTTAAAGCTACAAAAGCTTACTGCACAGGACTTGGAGGAGAGGTGGACGTGGAAAATACCGACCAGAAATAGTTTAAGATCTGATTTACTTTCACAAAGGCTCTTTTCACGATAATGAATTAGGACGTGTCGTTGTTGAGGTTCACTTGAAACTAACTTATTAAGATCCTTTAGTAGTGCTTAGTGTATATGGGTCATGTCGTTCGGATCCCCTCTCGATTCGTTATGTGTCGTGATACAAAAGATGACATGATACCTTTGCCAAGAATTGGAACAATCTTGATGCCCCTCCTGTTGCAACTTTCTGCAAATTACTTTCGTAAACTGTAACTTTTTTGTGATAGCTCCCAGTCAACAAAAAGTAAAACTTCTCTTTGAATGGGTGCGTGTGTTGTTATCGGTTTAATGTTCGAAATAGCGCTGAAATGGCTGTCGTAGTGTTCTGGAAGTAAGGCTTATTATTTGCTTACAAGGGGGCTGGGTTACCGATTATGCAAGTAACACGAGCAGAGCGTGACGTCTTAGTCGCAGCGGATGGGGAAGATCTGCTTATCATTGCTTTCACTCAAAGCGTCGATCATTGTGCCACCTTTTTAATCATGATCTTTAGGTACTTATGTATTAGTTAATTAAAATAGCCCATGTTAATTAAACTGACTTAATGGTTGTCATTCCTTTCAGGTGGCTTGGACTTTTTCTTTTCTCTACGTTCAGACGCCGTCGCTTTCGTAGAATACGTCAGTAAGCTCGTCCCTTGCCGGGTGCTGACGTCTCAACAACTTAAGTCCCATGATGTACACAGCAATACCTATAATTACAAATTTACCTTCTGCCTTGATGTCGTCCCCGTCTGCAAGAATGATGTGGTCTGCCTCCCGAAACAGTTCTCCAGCCGTTTGGGTCTGGCTAACCAAATCCTCCTGGTGAATAGAATCACAGACAAGATTCGACTGTTAGATCCCGTCTCCTGCGTCACTAAGGATGTGGATGCCCAGACCTACTATGCAAATCCCTTCACAGCGATATCAAATCCCCGAAATGTGACGGAGTTCTTCGTGATGGATGTAGAGGGTGAGATTCACGGTAAGACCAAGCCATCGACGTCAGGTGCTGGTGTAGAACAGTTCAGCTTGAAACCCACTGGCGTTTGGGTAGTTCCGTCGGCCTACTTGGGGATGGAGGGGGAGGATGGCGACCAAGTCTATGCCCGTACTCACCTCGGCCATGTAATCAAAATTGGGGATTTGGTTATTGGGTAAGTTCTTTAAGCAGGGCTTCCTATGTGGTTTCAAACGAGAGGGGTTATAGGTGTGTCCCATAATAGCGAAAATTACAGGTCGTCCACTTCTGTCTTGTACAGGCATGGTATTCTCTTACGTTTACTAATTCATCTCTGATTATGAGAAATGTACAGGATGTATTACAAGTTGACGGAGATCTTGTGAGCAAACGCAACATAACATTTTCTTCAGTTCATTTAAAGCAATCTTTGGGGCCTCATAAGCCTTCTTAATTATAGTCTGTAGCAAGTAATTATTCCCTTCTTTAGACTGGATCTGAGGAACGCAAACGTAAATCATGTGGAATTTGAGAAAATTCCAGAAGACAAACGACCACAAGTGGTTCTAATTCAGCGTCTCTGCCCTTCCTCCGACCGGCAACGATGTCGACGGCACCGAAGACGCATACTTTCGAACGGAGAGAGTGTTGTTGAGACGGTTACTACTGCCACCACTGAGGCCGATGCCTTTTCGGCAACGGAGATTGAAGACGGTGATGATGATGATGAGGTGGCCTCAGAATACTCGGACGATGAATACATGGATGCTGAAGAAGGTAACGCATTCGAGTGATGAGGTTTGGGTCACTCATGAATCATGTAATTGGCCCCCCTATTTGTGAAAAGCTGTAACTACCCTTTTTGATTTTTGTATATGCTTTCCATGTACTGATTTTAGGGGTAGCGGTGGACGCATTAATGGAAACAGGCCAGTGACTGGGTGTGTTCATTTGTCGTATCCTATCTCCAGCAATATATCTCCTGAGAGTTGCTACAGACGCACTTGCGTTCTTTTCGTGCGTTAGGGGTGATTTCTCGGGTTCGTTCCATCGCGGTAGCGTTGGTGAGGTGCGGTACGGGGTTGGGGTCGATTATGTGTCGGGGGTAGCCCTATAAGTGGGCGAGGGAGTCACGCTAAGATGTGACTCCGCCAACCAAGTGAAGGGCTGAATTACAGGTTTTGTTAAGTGTAGAGCAATCTGTGCGGTCACTGTGTGGAATGTGTGGAATACTAGTGCGTTTGTAGCAGACATAATATGTATATAAGGTTTTGCAGAATTAGCTACTTTTATTAGGTATAAGGCAAACGTCTATACACACTTTTTAAGTCTGCCCGGAATGCAGGCGCCACTTTGAAATAGTGTGTGTCTACTTACTCTTCAGAGTATTGTTTCGGTATAATGATGTCAAGCCATGTCATCATCAATGAAGCCTCAGAAACTATTACATCTGATGTGGAAACAAGCCCGGTGTGCTATTCTTAGTAATACATGGACCTTATTCTTCGTGTTGCCGGTTATCCACTTTTAGTCTATATATATTTTGTTCTTACTTTATTTTTTATTGTTATGGTGTTAACTCATTTCGTTCTTTCAGGCGCTTGTTTTGCGAAGCCACACAGGAAACCTGGTGGATGGGCAATCCCAACACGGAAGTGGAAGTGAAGATCGTCGAGGTGTAATTCACTGGGCTCCAGGCACAATTGACAATGAGTATATGGGGAAAAAGAAATCAAAATGTTGTTGTATTTATGAAAAGCCACGCAATTGGGATGATCCTTCTTCTAGTTCTTCCTCCGACTCGGACGATAACGATGGTGATTCTCCTAATCCTAGAAGATGCACGGAACACTGCCGTGGCCATACCAAACATTGCTTTACAAAAAAAGCCGCCTCTAAACAGGGAGAAATGCAAGCAAACCCTTCTCAGGTTGAAGAAGAACAGGAACAACAGAATGCACCCGTACCTTCACCAAATCCCCAAAGCGAGAACTCGTGAACCCAATTCCCCCATCCACGCAAACGCGCATATCCACAGATGCTCTTTTTTGTGTCCAATCCATTCGTTGCGGCATCGCCTCCCAACTTTTCTTTGCTGTAAATGGAAACCGGTTACTCACCTTCACTTTTTTGAGAGGAGAACCCCCTTTTCTTCCCCAAATATCAGGAAGCCTACCGCGCAACCATCAAAAAGCCGCTTACACTGCGGACCCAACTATTGAAAGATATGAGCAGTTTAGCTCATTTTAAAGAAAAGTCAGTTAATTTTGCGAGACGATTTACTTTTAAGGGATGTATAAAGCTCCACGGGAGATGATAATAGTGCTTGTACAAAAATATAAAATACACGGACGGTATTTACAAATGGATAGGGCGCCGATTATAGCCGATCCTCTAGGTGCCATTCATCCGAAGAATTGCCTGTATCGTCTCGGGGGTTACGCCTTCCCCACCGTGCTCCACCTTCAAATGATGATAAAAGGTTGTTTAAAATCGGCTCCAATCAATACCGGATAAAACGGCGGTGCCTTACATGGTATCGAGCACCACTGGGGGTTGTGATGAGACAAACAGTTGGCGAAATATTCGAAACGTATATCTGTTGTGGAGCTGATTCAGTACCAGTAAGAGAAGCCACGGCGACGGTGTCTGACAAATTATTGTTGGCTTCGCCGCCGCTCGCGTCTGATTCCGTTGAGAGAGAAACTAGCTGACCCGTTGGACGGTGGAAAATCCGTCCGGTACCTGCCTCCATTGCCAAATCACTTAATGCTCCCGACTCAAAAATAACGGGGATAAACGCGCCACTCGTAATCCAGTCATCGGGTATGGGGTGTCCTACTCCCTCAGCTTGAAGGTAGAACTGAGGTAGGAAAAGCAAATGTAGATAAATGATATTTAACCGTGCAAAATCTAAGACAAAACCTAATTCAAGCTCACATTCTGCTCCGCTGGGATATTTGGTTCCGAATCGCGCTTCTCCTCCTCTGTGGGATCGGGAGCTAAAATAGGCTCTGAATCTTCTTCCTCTTCATTACGTCGAGTATTCTCAAAAATCGTCTGAGCTGGTTGGACCTGTTCGCCAGTGGTGATTAACGCTCGTTTTGGGAGAGGATCTGACCGACGTAAAGGCTTTTTTGGAGTTGAAGGGACTGATGCTGATTGTTCTCGCTGTACTGATCCGTATCGGCGTGGAAGGTAGTCTTTAGAGAGAGGGGAGACTGGTTTATATCGGCCAGTCTCTACACCCAGAACAGATGCTGCTGACTGATCATTTACCTGAACGAAAGCGCGCTATATTCATTTTGATGGATAGATGACAGCAAAATATGTAGTAGACAACTCACTTGAATACAGCCGTCCTGATAGACTAATTTCGTCAATTCGAATTTGGAGGGGTTTTCAGTCACAATGGATTTGGCTGGAGAGGTGTTAGACGTTGTCACAGACTCTGGCTCCTGACTGTTAGCGTCACAGCTTACTGCTTCTGAAGACGAAAAGAACAGGACGCCATTCCCAGAACTCTTTAGAGTCGAGCCAAATAACATTTCTAATTTTGACCTACCTGCCAATTTTCTTCGTTTTTTCATTCGCAGATATCGCCGGCGCTTTACAGAGGCTGGCGCCGGCCTACCACACATAATTACAGCCTCTTCCTCATCCGTTTCCAATTCTTCTGGGACTCTTTTTACATCAACGCAGGTAACTCCGGCTACCTCTACATGCTTGCCGAAAAACTCTCGGAATCGATCAACGAATCCGAGGTATTCCGTAAGGACGGAGGGTATTTCCGGAGGTGAAGGGGATGTTCTAGAACGACCTTCAGGAGGAGACGAGGAGATTGTGGCTTCAGTTCGAAGGAATAGATAGTCCCACAGAGACACCGCTTTTGCCACCTTTGGAGCTGCAATATCGGCAATATCTTCAGGAGTAGCCTTTTCCAACGCCTTTAAGAGACAAGAAGAGAGTAGCTACAAAAGTCTGCATTACCGGTTTGTAACGCATAAATGGTAGTAAAGGGAGACAAACCTCTTTGAGGCGGTTGCGCCGGCGAAGGGCGGAGAGGGCGGGATCAGACCAGGGACCGACGCGTTTTACGTCACCATTCGGATTGTGTTTAAGCATTTTGTGTCGAGAGAGACCGGCTCGTGTGGAAAATGACTTTTCGCATTTATCACAATCGAATCCCAATGACGCTGAAATGCGGACGAAAAAAGGTAACAATCAATTTGCACCAACCAACCGAGTAGAGGCGCTCAATGTAATTAAAGCTTACTAATTTTTTTATTGTCCCCACTATCTCTATCCGAGTTCGAATCCATTCCACCGTCATAGTCGGAGTAACCGACGTTAGAATCGTCGTCCGAGGGATCATTCATGCCATTTCCACCGTCCCGCATTTCCTCCTCGTTGTCCTTCAAATCTTCCAACCGCAGATGCTTGTAGTCCTTAATCTATTTGAAGCCCAATGCAACACAGCAAGGAATGAATTGCAGACACCACATTACCTTGCAAATATGCCTTGGAACAAGCGGTCGGTTACAAGCTTGAACAGACGCTTAGGTTTTTACTTTTAGTCCTATTAATATCTTGATCATGAGCACGATAGGAAATTCGATGCTATGGACCAAAAACTTCGGCAAGGTGCGTTGCTATTGCATGGCGATCACCTCATACCTCTACCTATTAGTCAAGTAATCAGAAATGATTTTGAGTCAATTTAGAATTGCAGCACAAATGTAAATCTTTTTAGTGAATTCATAAGTTGAATTTAAAAACCAAACTACAGCTAAGAAAAATTCAACTTTGTGAAGGCATGGGTAATGGTTTCAAAGAAAGGAAAAACTTGTCTTCAATGGGCCCCCACGATACGGAAAATGAATACAAACTCGCGGCAGGTGATATGGTAGCAGGTAAATCCAGTTCAAACAAGCGATAACTCAGGCCTACGACCACAATCGGCAAGATAGTTGAAGTCAATAGAAAAATCCCAAACAAATAAGGTGTACAAATTTCCTGTAAAGTGAAGGAAAAGTAGCGGTATCTAGAAATACTCATGAAAAGACTTTAAAAATGAAAAAGGCAAAGCAAAACAATGTCAGCCACCCAAATGCAAAGCGAATGAGGCTAATTAAAGCTGCTCTTTATAACCCTTCGAGAGTAAAATGAAAAAACCAAATAAATAGGTGTTCAAAAAGTAAAAAGAAGATTACCAGATACTTGGGTGGTTTGGAGACCCTCCCGGCGGCAAGTTGGTCATTATTGGAGGTAACAATGGGAGCCTTTTTCCGAATGATGGGAAAAGGCAAAACCTCTTCAATGGGTAGATCGGGCTCAAAATCAGGATCCTCCTCCTCTGCAGTCTTGTTCTTCCGACCCGGACGACGCCCACGCCGACGCTTTGCAATGCCGTCTTGTGAGGGAGCCAAACTAGAATGGCTACCAGCCTCACTGTATGCTTTCTCAGACTGGTCTCGCTGCCGATTTTGCTGAGACTTCGTATGCGCGTGTTCAAGTCGAAGAACAATTCGTCTATTCGCATTCCGATTGTGAAAGCAAAACACACTGGGGCCGTCCTTGCTCTGCTCTACGAGAGCATCATTGGCCAGAATCTCAATAATTTGATGGAGACTGGAATCCTTAATCTTCTGTGTCGTAATGAACCGATCGCCCTGCTGAATGAGCCGGAGAGGATTTTTGTTCGAACAAACAGGCGCCTTTGGGTTTGAAGGAACCATTCTGTCATTAATCTTCCGAACAGCGTCCAAGTCAACTGCCTCCAAATCGTTGGTTTCAAGCAACACTATCTGCTGCTGATATTGTTGCGGCTGCTGCTGCTGGGTAACTTCGAAGGAAGAGGAGGAGGGGTCCACGTATTCATAGGTTGGTGGTACATAATCCGAAGTTTGGTACATTATCTATAAAAGACTACTTTGGGATCATATTCAATAATCCACCAAAGACAACTAAACTAGAGGAGGTGGACAATAAAACGGACAGGGAAAGAGATTGTTTGCTTAAAAGTTGATTGTGCAGATTCAAAGGCAATAGCGCGAGTAAGATTCATCGCTAATTTGAATTAAATACCGCTTCACCATGAAAAGGCATCCTGTTAATATGCAGATAGGACAATATCAAATGCTGGAATATTCATCTAGATAATTATCAATAAGTGTGCGAAACCAGAACAAAGTGCATTTGGGGACTGAAAATAAACACGTAGGGAGGACACCAAAAGATAAGCATCAAATGCCCACCTGCCACTAAAATAATAAAATCACGAAAAGTAACCTCGAGTGAAGCACAAGGCGAACTCGCATAACAAAACTCGCTCAACGACAAATTTCGAGATGTCTGCTATGAAGAGACGCAGTTAAACAAATTTTCAAACCCGTAAAATGAATAAAAAAGTAAAATCCGTAGCTTGTTTTTTTATTATTGAAACAAAAAAACTAAAACACACGAGGTGAAATACACTGCAGAAACCACTAACTTCAGAACAACAGAACCCTACCTCAGTTCTGGCCATATGAACTCAAAAGGGGAGCTATTACTCCCCCTCTCCCATCTCAGAGGCCAGAACTTCCAATTGCTAGACCCTCCATCAACCCACCCGTCAGCGCAACCTCCGCCAGACCCGACCCCCACAACACTGCGGGCAATAACTCGGAAAGCCTCACATGACCCCAGATACATTATAACTAGTCATGCAAATCACTCCATACAAAACAATCAAAATAGAACAAATGTTAGGGAGCGCCACGTGAAATCACACTCCCAGCCATCATGTCGATCGAGTTTCCATTTGGATGAAGAACGATCTCTTCATTATTTTCACTCAAGACGCGCAGATACCCGAATCCATCAACGCCAACCACAGTGCACTTGATCTCCCGACCGTCCTCAAAAACCTTCAGCTGCTGATCCCTACATTCACCAAAAAAGAATGAAAATGAGTTACCCCCTATTACAATCGACCCATTATTTCACAACTCTAAACACTCACTTGTGCATCCAAGCCGATGTATACAATTCCTCTATCTCCTTCGAACCACAGCATTCGAAGCGGTTGATGAGATTCTCAAGGTGATATAACGTCCGACCAACCACTGTAGCCACTGACGGGAGCACCGCATTCGAGTCCCCACTGCCGACTTTTATTAAATCATGCAAACAGGTGGTCGGCTTCGAATTGGCCACATTCACACCGATGCCTAGTTCAAATTAGTACAATAAACCCTCCACCTTACCTACCAGGCATCGCACCTCGCCTGGATCTGTGCACGTGGCACTAGCGAGAACTCCTGAAATCTTCGTACAGGTGTTTGAAGTCTTGTCGACAGCATACACATCATTTGGCCATTTGACTCGCACTTCCAGATTAGACGATTTATTAGCCTAAAACAATAACCATAGGTCAATGCAGTTATAAGAAAAAAACACAAAAAGTACGGTATGATGGCTTTTGAGCCATTCACCATAAATGACAACTGACATTATCGACAGTTTTACCATGCCAAAGATAGTCCTTCTGCACCCATAAGTTGGAAAGCAGCTCAGAGAAAGGATTGCTGCGAAGAATGCTAAAATGGCTAGGCTTCAAGGATATTCTACTCCTCAAAAAATGGAATAATCAAACCTTATCCACCCCCAAATCCATCTACTTTCCTATAGTCCCGATATCGAGTCAACCATATGGCTAAAAAATGTTTGAGACCAAGAAAAATATCACAATTAAGTATATCTTCAACTTCTCGGGCTCTTCACTTTCCGCGCCTTCGGTTGTCGTCTTCATACTATGGCGTTCTGCCCATACCCACAGCCTTCAGACCTCCATACACTGTTCATTTATCATCTTTCCTACCGCTACATTGATGGAAGGGGTAAGCACATCCAAACTTGACTCCATCTCCTAGACAGCTAATATAAGCCTCTAAGTCTATGAAGATTCACAATGCAGGGGTCACTGAAGCCATACCCACTTCCTACATTCAATCAACCTCTTCCGCTTCTTTTTCATTGCCAATAAGGAAGGTGACAACGACAGGAGCGACTTCGGCCTTACATTGTTTGAAAACCCCGTTATGGATGTGTTGGTGGTATTTACAAGTAGGCAAGAAAGCGGTGCCGCTCCCACCTACCTCATAGCGGGAACAAGGCAGCCAGAATATTTCGCTAATTGACATGACCCGATGGGGCCACTTTTGTAGTGCGTGCTTTATTAAATGCCGCTACTTTTAGTTAAATGCTTCTGCTAATAAGCTATTGGCAATATGAAATGCAGCCGGTGTGGAGCATCGACACGCATCCAGCAAAACATGTATCAACAGCTCAGACATTGACGATTCAACTACTACTGCTATTAGTTAAGAAAGATTCCAAAGTCTCATACTTACTCTAGATTCTTCAAGGAGTTCATTTAAAGCTAGGAAAACGGCAAGAGCAGGCAGATGCTGAATCCACGAAAGTAGATGCGGTAGATAAAAGGACTGCCTTTCCCTGGAGAACGGTAAGTCAAGATGGGCTGTGAATAAGGCCGCACCACGAGGAGACAACCACTGATTGCCTCTTCGACCTATGGAAAACACAGTACTCATTCGGGCAAGATATCAGAGGTTACCAACTCCTGCCGTTTGCATCGCTGAGACAAGCACCAAGCCGGAGTGTTTCGGCAACTTTGACAGAATTCTGAATTAGTCAGTGATTAGAGTAACGAATTACTTTTGAGAGATGGAGAAGTTCGAGGACATTTCTTCACTCCAGAAAGGATGACGACCTAAGCGAGAAGTTTCCTTGAGGGAGGCGAAGTAGTCGGCAAACGAGAAAGCCACCTTGTTCGCATCTGCGGAAATAACCTCCACTTTCGAGGCAGTTGCATTTGCCAGAAGGCTGATGAGGCATTCGAGAATCTGAAGGCCGAAAATACCACCGTTAATAACCGCGTTTAAATAATGGCACACTCAGCAACATTCCAAACTGCCTAAACCTACACGCTCGAAGATTAATCGGGAATGCTATGCTTATCAAATTAAAAAATCTTCAAGAAGTTCTCCAACATTTAATCTTTTCAATTCTGCATACACATAACAGTGCCAATCTGACACATTTTCATTCTCCACTTATAACGATATTTCGGTATAACTAAACCATGCAAGAATGTCCTTTTCCCTTCACATTAGTGTCGATACGCAACACCTTCAACTCACTAGAGATCAACACCTACCCATTTGCCGCTCATGGCAACGCTTAAGAGTAAGCAATTATTAAATGAATTTCAACAACCTCCTATGTGTACAAAAAGTCAAAATGAAAGTAATCAAAGGGTCGGCACTCCCTATCGCTTGATATAGGTGATTAAGTCAATGAGACTCCTTTCGAATTCACTCAATGGAGAAGAGAATAAAACCAGACGAATCAACCCTAATGAAGGTAGCCCCAGTAACCAATTAGGAAGCAAAGGCAGCAGCCATAGGACTATTGAGGACGAAGCTCAACTAGTGATCGAATGAGAACCAACCTCAGCGTCCGGTGAACCAGTTGGCTTGCAGGTATAGAGGGTAGTAGCTGAAGCAAGACTACTCTTTTCCGTATTTTGTGCACAGGAAATCCCGAGAAGGGCCAAAGCAGATGTGACCTCGTAGCGATCCCTCTAAAGACAGCACCACAATCGTCAAGCAGTCAGTCATCGAATTAAAAAAAAAACTAAGAATAGCCATAAAGGCAAATGGCTGCTAGAAGAAGAAGTTAGTGGTACCACACCACTATGCATATCACGCTAGCAGTTCAGTATCCGTTAGTAATTCACATTTTTCAGGTCACCATATCTATTCTAGACTGCATTATATAGATTGGGATATCAGTCCTTCAAAATCTTCCCTGTTTCAATTATGTCAAGCTATGAGTGAGTAAGCTGATCGTATGTATACGAATGACTACAACTAAGGAACAGCCCAGTACTGCAACAAAAACATCAGAGCTTGGAAGGGATGGCTGTTGGGGAGATTAAAGGAACTGTAGCACAAACGACCAGGTGAATCTCAAATTATTCACAAAAAAATCATAAAATTTGGCTCGATCTCCCGAAAACCAACATCCACATATTCAATGTATTCACTCAGCCTTGAAAAGTGTATTATTCCAGTCAGTTATGCGATAAGTTACATATTAGGGATAATCCAACTTCGAAGTAACCGAACCATATTTTACAATGCATGAAGAAAACACGAAACCCAACCTTAACAACGATCATTACAGGTGTTGCCTGTGCATTCAGCAAACACAGAAAACCATCCACGACTTTCCAAATCCACCCATTTGTTTCAGCCAAAAAATCGGGTGTTCTCGATGCAGATGAAATACTTTGCGGGCCGGGAGAATGACCACAATCATCGTTTAGAACAAGTAAAACCTTTCCACGGTGTTCAACGAGGTAATCATTAACCTACACAAAACAGCAATCATAAGAAAGATACAAATAAATAAATAAATTGACTGGATAGCCCTCATGCTGTATAAACATCCCACATAAAAGATTTCAAACATTAAACGCAAGATGTAACAAAATTAGATCACTTACCTTTGCGATTTCATCCCTTTCATTTCCGACAGATGACTTGTTCAAAATGATTAGGAGTTTAGTCGAATTTTGCCAGACATTAGACATCCAATCATTGTCACACAGAGCATACAGTGTATAGAGAGACGGATCCACAATAAACTTAAAGTTGTCAATTGCCTGTTTGTCAAAATTGCGACAAAAGATGTTCGGTGGCTTGATAAACAATCTTGAAGAGGGGTGAATGCTTTTGATAGAGTCCTTTTTCCAAGGGAAATCCTTTGTATCCAGGCATCGCCAACAACAACGCAATGTTTCTGCCATTCTACCTCTTTTCCAAGTTGTTACTAAGCCTCTAAAAGCACATCGAGCAGCCACCTTGTTATACTTGTAAAAAAAGGACAGTGAAAATCGCAGTGACAAGCACAAAGGTAAATTGCAGATTCAACACAAACTTGCTCAACAGATCGAACTTAATTAATAAAGTTACCGTATTAACTCACCGAAAAGCATGCTTTTACATTTAACAAATGGAATAATATGGTCAGGTTTTCAGAATAACTAACGGCAAATACCCAGCTGGAAGTCTAGCAGCCATGTGCGCCTTCAAATAACCACGGAGACCTTGACCTGATCTCCAGGCCCAGCTTTCAAAGTCCGCTCGTCCACTGGGATATCCCAGCTCCCATCAGCCTCTTCGGAAAATTAAAACTACTTAACTTATATCAATTTTAGCCATGAAAAGGTTTTTTGTCAAAATATCTAACATAAAACGAAAGTGGTTCATTTGCACAGAATTGAATGGAATTAAAGTGGCTTCTATCAAAACCCGCAAATAAGAGGAAGTACAGAGACCACACCAACCAAACTGACATAAAGTTAAAATATGCTCTCTAACCTTGTCTGACTGCTCCAAACAAAAAACGGTGCTAATTTCAGAGTTTTAATGTTTTCTTGGTAGAAATTGTATTGAACTCCATTCACCAACCAGTGCAAACACATTCTAAGTAAATATGCGCTAAAACGTAAACACGTACTTAAATCGTGAACCTACGTAATTTAATAATGTGGTTCAAGGAAATTCCTTCTTTTATTTGCTCTGAAAATCTACCGAACTGTTCAATGTGTGGCTGCCTACTTTAGCTATTTGCTCTCATCCAGCTTACCATCTCATTCCACGGCCCTAGTGTCGCCATAAGCCAAAGTATACTGCTGGCACATTTAGTACTAACGGAGAAAAGCTGGAAAGTCACTAGTATAATCCGAAGGATATGCCGCTGGGTGCAAATGCAATCTGTGCGGACTGAAGATTTCTTTTTACTAAACACATATTTAGGCAAAGCACCAGACTACCATACTTACGGTAAATAGCAAGCAGTCTAAACTAATTATGCATTAAGCTATAACTCTTCAACTAGCCCTTGTTAAAATCATTACGACATATCATTCAAGAAGAAGAGTTCATTATGAATTTGCAGAGTAAGTGACAAGCTGTAATTTTGGGCTGGTGCCTATAACACTTGTCAGTGCCATAACTGCCAGTGACAGAAGACCTTGAGGAGTTTAAATTGCATACAAGCCAATGCTGCTGTAAAACACAGTCTCCTTTGCCTTGGATGGTTATCCCCACCCCTTCTTCCGTTACCTTACTCTTTTCATTTTCACAAGGTAGTCGATATCTTTAAGTGTCTCTCATGAGTCAGGAACTGTTTCAACGGAATTTTATAAAGGATACGAGTCGATTGTTTCTGAAGTCAGCGGTCTGATACGCATATATAATCAGGACAAACGTTACATCGCTCGTTTTCAGAGAATTCTCGAGTTGCTACAATATTTTATCAGACGAATCGTATCTGGACAGGCGATGGTGAACTATGTGGAAGTGTTGATGCAGGTGTTCATCACAGATGGTCTGTTGGCCTAAAAAAATATTGCAATTTTTGAACGCATCAATTCCATTTTTCGCATTTTACATTTCCCAAACCCAATAGGAAATGCACTCGCATTTCGTCTTAACTACGTCAAACAAGCACCTGATTGTAAACATGAATACCTCTGTTCTTCTAACATTACTTCCACAGCATGAAATAAATGATGGGAAAGCCTTTTTGACCGTACTTTAACAATATAGACGATTAGACCATCAGCACCAGCACCCTGGTTAGTGCACTTTCCTGAAAATGGAGCAATATCTCACTACTGAAATCAAACACATTTTTAATATCTTTGGTCCTCTAAAATGGCTAAATTCTGACTGAAATTTACTGCAGTGAGGTTCTATTCGGCTTTTGCTTTTTTAGTCCCAAAAGGACCAAAAACGGTTTTTAAAAATACAGCAAATTATAACTTGCAAGCCCTATTACCTTGCAGAATTTTATTCCAAACAAACTATTTCAAAATTTGACGACAATTTTAACTTACGATTCTCCAAATTCATCGATTTTTCGACTCCGCGAGGCATCAAATTCAGCTATTTTCACGCTCATGGACACGCACATGCACGCACGCACATTAGAGCCAACCAATGAGAGGAGAGCTCTATGCTTAACATTGCCTACCAATCGGAGCACGAGCAAAATCAATGCCGCTTCAAAACACGCTGGTGGACGAGTGAGCGAACAAGCGAAAAATGTGGACAAAATTTTCGTCCAAGTAAGGGATGAAAGAGGGACTCGCGACTTCTCAAACAGCCACACGACGGTACCCCAAGTATATGAGAGAGGAGATTGTGAGTTGGGCGAGAGAGGGCAAGAATTGGTCCCAAAGAGCGAAAGAACTCGGTATTAGGCACCAGTCCGCCTACTATTGGGTTTCCTCTGCTCACAAAAGGCCACCACAGGAGACAAAGCCAAAGCCCAAAAAGCCACGAGGACGATCCACATCGAGCCAGGTGAATTCCAAGGTGGTAGAGTTTGTGTGTAGTCTCTACGAGGCGGATCCGAAGATGACACCGGCTCAGATATGTCTGCGGCTGCAAGGCGAGATGTCTGTGACAGTCGCCCAGTCAACTGCTCACAAGTATCTGCGGGGAATGGTGTTCACACGCAGCAGAATACCTCCACCCGACCACACCTCTCTGGAAGCTAGGGAGGAGACACGAAAATACATCTCTGCTATCTCAAGCTATATGGAACAGGGAAAAGAAATTATTTGGCTTGGTGAGCAGTCTTTTTGACATTTTACAAAAAAATTTGAGCAATAGCTTTCGCAGACAGCAATATTTAGACTCTTCTCACGGCATCCCACTTATTTATTTTAAAATAAAATAAGAACAAGTAGCATTGGTTTGATGGATTAGCCAAAGCTCATGTCGAATGGGTTCCTCTAAGCTGAAGCTATAAAGTGATTTGTTGAAGAGATGTAAACGCTCTCTAGGTAGAACAATATTCAACCTCCACACACGTAAATCCGTCTCGCGGTTGCAGGAACTGCACATTCACAGTCTGGCAGCAATTTCATCCAACCTCGGTCTCCTCCACGCCTCCTTTAAACGCGGTCCTTACACCAAGCACGACCAGGAGATCTGGATCCACCAGCATCTGCAACCCGAGCTACTGTCAGATGCAGTACTTGTTTCAGACGCCTTCGAAAACACTGATGCCCCCACCACGGCATCAGTGCCGAGACGCCTGCAACTAGCACCCCTCCATACCGAGCGTCTTAACCCCTGCGAGGCCTACTGGACCAAGGTCACGGAGAAGGTGAAGACCCGTCTGCTCTCTGGGGAAGCTCATCTACCCGCTGACAGTGCAACGGATGAGAACCAGCGACTGGGATGTCTAGAGCGTCTTCTCACTGACGCCATGGCAACCGTAGCTGTTTGTAATACCATCTACGAAGAGGATGGCGAGGGAGAGGAGGAGGATGTATGTGACAAGGCTGTTCGTGACTCCATTGAATGCCTTACCGACGTCCTTCAACTTGTCACGGGGCTTAAAGCTGAACAATCTTGACTCCTTGCTCTAAATGTCATGTACATACATCATTTATACTTCATTAATTCACAAAAGTTCATATAAATCTACCTGTTTTTTCGTTTGGTTTAAAATATTTTTCCTAGGGAAGGGTCACTCATTAGCACTCCAGTACATAAATGCAGGACTGCGACAATAGCAGTCCCTTTCCACATGTCATCAAAATGACAAGTAGAGCCAAAATAGTCGGCTTGTTGTTGCTAGCTTCATTTACTGGGGTGATTTGGACCGTTAGTGAGTGACTTAATAGCGAGACCAAAGATTTTCCTTATGATTGGTGTCAGAAACAGGATTGAGTCGGATTGTGCCTTGAAAGATTGCATACCCTTTATACTTCTCTGTCCCATTCAGTTATCATATTTAATATCTCCTCTTTTCTTTTCGCGGTTCCTGAAAAATCTGTCTCACCGTGGAGGAGAGAGTAGATTTACCGAGCGGAGTTCCGCCGACGATTGAGTGGGCCGCATTCGTCAGTGTGTAGATGCAGCAGCACATGAAATTCCCAAATTACGTCTCTCTTCTAATAATCCGTGGTGAAACCTAGGACTCACAGTTACAGATGACACCAGTATTTGATTGTGATTTCCACACAGTGACATGGAATTTCATTTGTCTGACTTGGGGATGCGGAGGGAGGCTGTTTGCTTTCCACCTTAAAATGGTATGCCACACAACCACTTCAAGCACTCCACATGGTTTGCATGGAGACACAGGGGGAATATGTGACCCTACTGGTCATAATCTCCACCCAATGCTTCAGCCCAGGTAAGTTTAAATTTACTCCCGCAATTCAACCCTGCCACGAAATAACGTCTGTACCTTAGCCTGCATCCTGTCGAGTAATCGGGGAACAAGAACCTCAACACAGGCTTCTTCAGTTGGCCGTCAGTATGATTAAGCTGAATTTGCGGTTCGTCCACACATGACTGTTAGCTGACTACTGAATTTAGGGTATTTTGATTGACGTTGGCTTTACATGATAACATTGCACATTTGAAGTCGGTGGCAAGTGGTATTGGCCAATCAGGAGGTAAAGCGTGAGAGCGCAAATTTCGAAACTTTCCAGACCGCTCAAGACTTCGGTATTAAAAAATGAGGCAAAAAATTAATTAAGATGACGATAGTACTTGCGAGGATACTACTGATATCACCCAGTACCGTATCTTTGTCCTGTACTTTGAGAAGATATTTCTCACTTGTCACTTGTTGATGATCTTGTGTAGTTAGCTGTCTGGGTGCTGCCTTCCTGCTCTGACTACAATCTGAGTGATGTGATTTCCTCTCTTTTTCCTAACAGAAGACAAAACTTAGTCCCATGAAACAAATTCTTGCGCCTCACCATCTCCTATGCACATCCCTTTTCACTCACCCTTTGTACAATTTCCTAGAGAACTAGTTTTCTTTAATCTAAGCTTCTTTCTAACAGACGACCTATTTTTAACACTGTATAATTGCATCTTTGGAGCAGGGCATGATTTGCATGTGTTGAACTATTGTAAGAAAAGGAGTTTTTTGATCGTGAAAAGGAATAAATATGATGGCTAGATTGGCAAGGAAGGGCCAATAGGGTTCGAAAAAAACATCCAAATAGTTTAGTTAAGTTGCATTGATTAACGTCTACTGACCATTCAATTGCAACACTCAGTTGGTTGCTTGACAATAGGTTTTAGTAAGGGAACACTTGCGGGCTCCACCATTGTACCTCTATCGGATGGCCTGGCATCCGGGCCATGCCAATACGTCGACAACAAATATTCTATCAGAGTATTGTGTCTTGTTCCGTCTTTAGGGAAGTCTCGGAATGGAATTCCCAAATGGTCCATGACCAAACAACCAATTAAATTTTAAACAGCCCCTCGCCTTCTTTAAGCGTCGGACCTGACGCTCTCCTTGGTCAACCTCCCGCGTCAGCCGTCCGAATGTAATAGCCAGTCATCAAATTTTCACACAGTTGAGGTGATACGTGGCCACAACGTCGCTGATCCCTCTTAGCAATTCTACTGCATCTGGAGTTTCGTCTTCTATGACAAGTATATTGGGAAAAGTGGGACGAGGAATAGTGCTGACCATCAAGCGTCTCCATCGCTAGATGTACGAACACTGACCCAAGAGTGGAGCCGTGTAACATAGGTCGAGTTTAAGCCCAGTTATTTTAGGGATAATATTTCACGTTTATTTCTTCTTGCCACTTTATTCTCATTTCAGTGCTGCCTACCCGTATATTTATCTAGTTTCCATCCTGCTGGTAGATAAGTGGAGGAGGTATGGCGTGTTCATATAATTAACACCTACATGCAGGTACGGTAGCCAGCTCCGTGACCAACTTTTCCAGGTGATTCACGGCTACTGTCACTTGGGTTAGTAATAGCTTTCTCTTAAGTGTTGTCACAGGTTCCTCCACCCGCAGCGCAAGCAATTGTTTCCGTAGCGTTACGAGTTACCATCAAGCAGTAGAAATCAGAAGTGTTGTCTTTAAAAAAGGGTTTACTTTCCACTGCCACCAATTCAGGGCCTTAAAACTTCCCCAATGCCGAAAGAAGGAATGATACTCTGGCATGATATCTACTGTCGACATGCAAAAGGGCTTGGGACTATTAACGTGGAATGGAGGCAAGTCTGCCCCTGCAGAAGTACAGTAGCGGAGCGCCTCAGTAACCCACTACCTTAACTGATCGAAGGTTAAACAATTTGCCAAAATATTGCGCTCATACTAGCAAATTGGCTACTTTTGATTTGGCAAATAGAAAGAAGCATTCCATGTATGAATAACCACTACGTTTATACCTTTGGCCGTATCTGGTGAGAAATGATGCAAACTGATCCCACATGATTGACCAAAAAGCACCCTTTGCTTAAACCGAAATAGCTGTCACTCCATCACTGGAATCAGTAAAATAAAGGAATGAAAGCTGGGATACCAATTATAATTCTACTTCTAAATTATTCTAAGGAGGTGGAAATGCACTGCCTTTCTACTTCGCAAAATCAAACGATAACCAGCAACGATGGCATTTTGTAGGCCATCCTCCCGTCGCAAGGAAGCTAACCTAAAAGCGGAGCCATTGAATAAAACAAGGGATAAAAAATTATTTTTCGGTGACTCGCATAAGAAAATGTGAATTTGGGGTGATGCAAGGTATAATCAACAATGCGTCAGAAACGTAGAGAATTGAATGGACATGCTTTGAATGGTCGGGCAAAGATTTTTTGCTGTCACTACTACTGTTTGAAAGTAGCGCTGCAGACAATTCAATGAGCTACTGCGAGCACATTTCGTAAGCCAACCCTTTTGACAGGAGTAATCACCTAATAGCGAAAAGCGAAGATACTGCACCTTCAAATCGTAATCTTGACTTACTGGCTTTAGAGGAGCTGCATTGCAGATTGCTCTTCGCAGTTGATTTAGATCACGAAAATCTAGTCGAAATGGAAGAGTATGCCAAGGTTCGAGATGACTCTAGAAGGCCCTTCATTGGATCTAGCCGCCCATAGTCAGTGGCATCCCTCCGTGACTTTTTGACGAAGTTATTGGCCGTCATGCAAATGACTTAGTTATTGCGTTTGAGAAGTAAGTCGAGGGGACTGACAACGGCGTTTGAGGTCACCAGTAGGAGACTGATGTTAAACCGCAATAAACACCACTCCATTTCTGTTTTGTCCAAATGAATGAAACATTGAGCAAATGTTTCCTATCCTTATGCTTTTAATCAACTGGTGCCTCGTTGGTGCTATCTTTATGCATCTGTAAGAATAACATCTGGTGAGGCGATGCTGGCAACCCAGTGGAATGGCTTTTACTGGCAATCCAAAGTATCCGCAAAAGTCTAGGCAACTAACTGAGTAGCATCGATGCGGTAAAGAAGCGAAAACTGAGGAAATATGCTTCAGAACTGGCCTGTCATACGCAAATTTTCCTAAAATTATGTATGACATGAAAGTTTCTATCGTTGACAAAGCAGGACATTGGTCAACCCTCACCCTTGCATCAAGTCCAGTGTCAGGATCTCCTAAAAATCGGACACCCTAGAAACAAAAGCTATTCATTTTCCGCCACTTAAAGACCATCCAACATCTTTTTATATCCGCGACACGCGAATCAGTGCAGCCATTAATCAAAAAATGAAAAAAAAAACACAACTGTCACATATGTGTGACGCTAGGGATAAACCCAGTAATCCAGTCCACTTTAACTCTAATTTCGATTTAAATATTTTATTTAATTTGCAAAATTGTAGCATATTATTTTTTCTTAGGATTATATAGCTACTTGATCGACTTCTGTCTTTTAGGTGGCGTGAAGTGCCCAGACTACTGTATTGGCGCGACTACTCCTGCACGTTGACAGCACGGCGACAGTGTTGCACCTTGACACCTGATTTAATTATGCATAACACTAGGCACCATTTTGCAGCCACCTTAATGCTGGTATCCCAAGTCTGGTCATGTCACCTCTGCCTGCTGTTGCCCAGAGCCTCAGTATTTGCATAACCAACTCGTCTAATTTATAAACACAAAAACGCAATTTGAAGTAACCAAGGTCCTTTAGTATAATAAATTGTTACTTAAAGACGTCACTGAGCAACTAAATTATTTTATGCCGATAATTCTTAGACAATATAGACTGTGAACACTTGGAAACGTTAGTGCTTCTCAGCGTAGTGATAGCTTCGTTGGACGGATCGTTGTAGCCATCTTCCATTCAGCCTACATACTGGTGGCATGTAAGCTCTGTCGTCCACACTATCGAGGCCGTGAATCTGATAGTCTTTGTGCCCCCTTGTGATACAAGTGTGTATAGAATTGCAGGCCTTACAGCGCCTTTGAGAAGTACCGGAGGGCAGGGCGGGGAGAAGAGGAGTGAGAAGGTCTTCAATATCCACTGAATTTCACTTTTCTTTTTTAACAAAATAGTGTTTCCGTATGTACACAAGTACGTGAAGCAGAATGGGTAAAATCGTTTTCCATGTAAATCAGGAATGATAAATGCATTTATTTACATTGAGGTGGAGGACCACGCATACCTCACTCCTCCTCCTCCTCCTCCTCCTTCTCCTCTTTTCCCTCCTCACAGTCCCGATTTGGTCACTTTTATGGAGACAATCCTTAAATCGCCAAAGCCAACACAATGGCTGTGCTTTGACCTTGTACACCAGTCCAGTGCCGATGGAGGCTAGTGGACAGACGCGGAGTTGGATGGTTTTGGGAGGGCGAATGGAGGTTCCACTGTCTTGCTGTCGGTAGGAGTGGAATTCGATCCCTCCTGCTTTTGACAAAAACCTACTAATTTGAGGTAAAGTGTTGAGCGTAGGAAGCGTCGATACGGATCCTTTTCCATCAGAGCTTCGATGCGTTTCTGACTTGCGTCAAATAAGTCCGGTTCGGCTTGTGATAGACGCAACTCTGTTTGCAATCGGGTCTCACAGTCAAGATTTACCTTGGGAAAAATAATGAAATTCAACATGCAAAACCCGCTTTAAAAGGTAGCTTTTTAAAAAACCTGCTGTGGCATTTAGATCGAGAATTACTCTAAAATCTCAAAATAGTCTTGCATCTGACTACGACAGTCAAATTATCTTGGAATCAATTCCGGTGGCCTCCTTCGAGGTGCATTTTGAAAAGTACGCTTATGTGGTCAAAGTAACTACAGAAATGATTGCATTTTAGTAGTCGGGTTCTCGTCAAGTTCTACTTTGACCTTTTAAGTAGCATCCAACACTTATTATATGCATGAGTGCAAAAGGGCACCTGTGGGAGGAATTCAGTCAGAAAGGAGGAAAAAAGAAGGTTAGGAGCCAAAACAACTTGTGCAAGGGAAAAATTGCACTAAAACAAAAACAGATCAAGCAGGGATAAATGCCTTTTTGATAGGCTTAAATGAATCAGTTAAAATTTTTTCTCTTTATCAGCAGTAAATGCATTTGTTTACACAGATAACATCCCGACAACTAGAAAAAATAAGACGCTTATCACTAGAATGGGCATTTTCTCCATAAATGAGAAAATCAGGCCATACTGGTATGCCAATCTGACATGCGTTACATTTATCCTGCTTCTCTTAATAAAGGATTTTAATTTTTGCCGATGTGGAAGGAGAGTCTTTGTCCACCCAATTTCTGGATTGTACAAAATAATCACTTAAGGGGAACTTGAAAGGGGAAATAGTGAAGAACTAAAGGTCAGAATAGTCGGTCGTTCAAAACACCACGAAAGTTGTAAATAAAGTAGAATAATGATCAAAGGGGAATGTCAGAGGAGTGAACTTAAAAACTAAATACCACTGAATCGTACAAGCTGTGGAACAAACACGAGACCACCAACCCGTCTAGGGGCATCGAATGGGTGGAGAGAGGAATTTCCGAAAAAGCATTTCAAACGGGACAGTCGTGGGGAAAATGAAGCGCTTGTAAAAGTGTTGTGCAACAATCACCAGCGGCGCTGTTAAGTGGCAGTAAAATCCACCCAAAGAACGTCCATTTGCCACTCTAAATTTGGTGACCTGTTTGCTATCATCAATCCTGCCTGGTGGTGGAAAAAATCACTCAAGAGGAAAAAAACCAAACCTATTTCTGCAAAAATGTACTTTCCACTACAATGAATTTCGTTTTTTTCTTGAAGGGAAAAATATGTTTACAGTGTGACGGCGAGAGCAAACAGTTAATCGGGAATAATTCAAGCGTGCCATAATTGGCAGTAAAATATTTGTTTTGCAACAAATTGTTACCTAGGGTTAATTGTATTCCAGTAATGGCGAATACGAAACTACTTACAAAAATTAATTTTATCCGTAAGAGGGTACTTAATTATGAATAAAGTAGCATCTACTCATTAGTGACAGAGTGGAATAAGGCGATGGTAAAAGGTGAGTTTAACTGACCTCCCTTTGAGACTGGAAGGCAATGAAACCATCGTAGATTTCCTGTGCCCGTAATCGTTGCAAAGACTCATCAGTGAGCGCCTTGTACTTTTGACAGGCGATCCAGAATTCCAAATTTTCATCACTAAATTCGCCTTGGAGGAATTCTCGAAATACCAGAAGACCATCTATAAGAAAAAAGCGACGCTGATAACACCCAAAACGGCTTGAATAAGGTCAGTGAATTGGTTGTATTTATGCAATTGCCAGCCCCCCCGCGAGAGCCTGTGATGTGAGTGAATGCTTATCGGCGTATAAACTTGGCGGCAGACTATTATCTCTCCTGTAGGTATAATTAAAAATTCTGAAGCGGTTGCATTCGTTTGGGATGGTGTTTGTCTAGCTAAGGCTATAATAGCAGATATTAAAATTTCGCCAACATTGTGGGTAGTCCCATGGTTAGCATTATTTAAGATGGCAAAAACCGTGGTACTGCATGAAATTCAAAACAGAAAAGATAGAAAGACAAATACTAGACAAATGGTGCTATGATGCATACACACATACATTTCTACATAAATATGGGTAAATGGATAGAAATAAGCAGACATTTATGAAAACAAAGGACTGTTTATCATAGAGAGGAATAACTATAAATTTCTAAGTGTCTACAATTAATGATTAACCGCTATGTATACAACTAAACAAAAACATGCTTAGTGTCACGAAATTAAGTCAACTGAGATTTTTTAAAAGCAATTTAATCGAATTCTACACTCCAATTTTATCAGCCTATCCATCTCGCAATGACTCCCCTTGATAAACTTAACCAATACTGTTTTCTAAGGTCATGGCGCCCCTGTATGAATAATTGGCTTGCTAGCTCACTCCCTTGTGTGTAGTTAAATGTCTCATGCGTCAAGTCACTGATATCACTGGCTAATAAAAACAAATATTTTTTGAACGACGAGTGTCTCTTTGTTTGGCGACTATGGACGGTGATCCTTTGTATATATGCGCACGTTGCTACGTATTGTTTCGGAGTGGAGAGACAAACATATGCGAAGAACGGTAACTTGAGTACTTTTACATTAAAAATGAAAGGCTTTATAATAATCTGTTTGTTAGAGAAGTTCATTGTGGCAGACGCAAACTGATCATCTCCATGTGAAAGGTGCATTCAACGGAACGTGCATGATGCGGATTAAGTGATTTTGCCTGGAGGGTAATGGATAGGAAGAAATGAGGGAAATAGTCGAGTAGGAAGTAGAACTGATAGTTTAATGCAGTGGGAAGATGTTAATTAAAAGCCTTAGTCGGAAATGGCCCTAAAAATTTGATTCTGATGGTAAATTGGCCAAAGATGCATCACATTTTATGAAGGTCCTAAATTGAAGAATTACATATCGCATTCCAATATTCATGTGTCACGAACACCTAACATGGGGTGACTTGATTGATGGAGTGACTCAGTCACACCTATGTCAGTAGGGAGAACGTGGTGGAAGCATTATCAGATAATAATAATAAGCTCGAATGATTGTCACTTCGTCCTTCACTTGTACTGAGAAATAACTTTTCCATTCAACTGTTTTCTCAGCAATGAGCGCAACATTGGTGGTCTCTAAGCCTTTTGCTCTCCACTCAAAACCCACAGCTAACCTTACAAACTTCCGCAATTCTGCGGCATTCTCTACTCCAAATCCGCAGGACAGAGCTTTGCCTTGCTTTGTGTCTATGCGTGTGTGAGTGTGGTGTAACTGCAGACAGGATTGTTCACTCCATGAAGGGTAAGCGGTGGCAGTTGTGATCAGTCTACCCGAAACAATTAATGTGAACAAGAAGTCCTTACTAGCGAGTTAATCGGGCAAAGAGGGATACTTCTCCACGTCTTCAATGTTATTTCCCCAAGTTATGAAAAATCAAATAAGTAAATGAAATCTCGACAGAAGGACAATTCGCTAGCGCATTAATGAATAACCCATTCCAAGTCCAATGTGCAGTAATTTATTTTATTTTGAAATAATTCGCAAAATTAGTTGCCATTTAAATAATCCAAACAACTACGGTAGTTTCTACCGAGGAAAAGGTAAGGTCCGTTTTCATAAAAAAACTACCAGGCACGGAACTTTAAATAAAAAGATGGCTAAGACAGAAATTGCAGCAGGTTAGCATATTAAGGGCAAAGGTTTCAGAGCCAATGCTTGTGGTCCCAAGATAATACTTTAATTACATGTTTAACTCTTGGTTTTGGTAACGGGCCACACAGGGGCTCTACCATTATACCTTTACCGGAAGGTTTGGTTTCCAGACCACGTCGGTAACCCTCATGCCCCTCTCCACGCCAACAATACATATTCTGCCCAAGTGTTATGGCTTCTTCCACCCTCAGAATAGCCTCGCGACAAGCGAATCCAGTTTTAAGGGACAGTTATCCTGTTCTCTTCAGCTGGATGGTAATTCTTGGTGGGACAGAAAAAGTGCATATGCTGCGGATGGGAGAATCGGTGACGACTCCCAACAGGAGGGCGAAGTTATGTCCACCCTCGGCACCTACCCCAGTCCATTGTTCTGCCAGAAAGGCATTAACAACTGAAACGACCGTAGCCGTGCGCCCACTAGAAAAGTTCGTTACGCAGCTGTCTACCGTACCTGCACGGAGGTGTCAATTATGTGAACATGCGATACCTCCTCTACCTCTCTACTAGCTGAATGTGATCAGTATAAATATATGGCTGAGCAGCAACGAAATGAGAACAAAGTGGCAAGAAGGGATAGACGCAAAATCTAATCCTCAAGAAACTATGCTAAATCCCGTCGCCTGTTACATGTCTCTGCCTTCAGGTCAGTGTCCGTATGATTAACGATGAACATGCGCCATGACAACCCCATTTCGCGTCCCTCCAATACAGTTCCCAAAGAGAGGTCCAGGTCCAGTAGAATTGCCAGGGGAGATCAGTGACGTTGCGGTAGTGTACTATCTCAATTGCATAAGAATTTGATAATTGGTGTGGCTGACTTGTGGATTATTTTCTTACAGCACCGATTGCGCTGTAACGGCTGGCGCAGGAGGTTGATCGAGGAGGCACCGAGGCCGACGCTCAAAAGCGGGGCAGGGGGCTGTGCAACACTTTGGTTGTTTGCTTAACTCTTCGTTTCGGTTACGCGAACAGTGTAGGCCATGGTCATTGCAGCTCCGCCTTAGGGCTATGCCAGTAGCACCGATCCCTTCTGTATGTCAAAAGTGCACATTTTGTCCAAGTAATATGCCTACATTTTTGTCTTCAGGGCAAACTCGGGGCGCTGCATTACCAACGTGGGCTTGCTTTCCCCCATGTCTTCACCTTAAAGGCATGACTTTACCCCTTTTCAGGCAATTTGAGACCAGTTTTATTCAACAAAAAATGAACACGTCTTTTTTATTAATTTATGAACTAGTGAAAAGAAGGGAATAGGTGATGTGAAATTTAATATAGAAAAAGAATCTCTTTTATGATAAGGTTGAGGAAAGTTTATGGTACATAATTTACAAGGATTTGAAGAAATTTTACTAACTAAATTTTATGCGATTTACGGCTAATGGTTAAACTTTCACAGGCCCATTTATCTTAACTCCCAGTGATGGCGCCAAAATAAATTTGTGTGACTCGTTTGTCACTGAGGGTTGGGTGAATTCGGGGCTTACTTAGCCAACGATCTCTTGACGGCGAGGTTCATACCACGGAGTAGGCTGGATTTCCGCTTACCCTGTCCAATTATATGCAAGGCTTGCCACCTTTCTACTGAATGCTTTTATTTAAGTAGTATAATGCTTCGACAAACTTTTTGTTCTTCATGCCACAAACGTTGTCATCCAAGTTTGTTTTGCGCTTTCTTCTGCAATATTACAAGAAAAATTTCAAAGCACACGCATTTAGCTGCAAATGAGTTCCCATAGCCGATCTGGCGACTCATTAAAGCGTACCGAGAGCTCTTCATATCCCGTGGCTTGACAGTGTCGATGAATCCCCCTCATGTCAACATCGGTTTTTTCTGCTCTTATGTGCGCCAACAGTTCAACAGCCTTCCAAACCACCTTCAAGAATGATTTTGAAGCCACAATCAAACTTGAGAGAAATACAGCTTTGAAGTCAATGTGGATGATCGCCCTACTGCTGTGTTCTAGAAGAAAGGCATCCTCTGGGAACGGCGAAATTGTCAGAGGCTCAGTTTCTGCGCAATGGTTTACCAAGATGCAAACCAGGTATTAAATGGCTTTAAAAGGCCCTTCAAAAATCCTAAATGTCAAAAGAAGGATGCAAAACTCCTTGTCAAAAAAACCGAGGGTAGATCCCAAGGCCATTACAATTGCATTTATATGACAGCAAAATGAAGGCATTTTTGTCCGTAAAATGATTTGACCCTAGAATGAGTGTTTTCATAAATAGGGGGTGGTGTAGTAGAACACTCCCAGAATGCGCTCCACCAGGCGGACGTGACTGGTGGATGCATCGCTACCGGCAGGGCATAGCATAAGCGCTGCAACTGAAAGTTTGTTTTTTTTCGCAATTCCATGTTTCAACATTTTTTGCTTCAAGGTGCATATTTCACTGAGTAGGCTCGGCGAGAGCTGATGTCGACACGGTAGCATTGACCTTTGACCAGTCTGAATTTCATGAGATCACACAAACGCTCATTTTTACTCACCTCTTTGGGACTGACTTGTCTGGTGAAAAATGAATTAAAGGATACTCCTGCATTCGATTAAAGCTGAAGTTAACCTACGTGGATCCTGAAGGAGGTTTTGGAAGGAATGCTGCCAGCAGGTGACCTGTTGGAGGGTCGGCCAAGAGTGCTTAAAAATGCTCCTCAGAAGGCCCTGAACAATCACCTCCTCGGAGTTCAAAGCACTGCTGGAAGGAGATGAAGCCGCTGCCTCCGTCTGTTTTTGGTGTCGCAGTGCGGCTGCTGCCGTCTGTCGCCAAAATTGTGAGATCCTTCCACGCACGTTTGATGTTCTGCATCCAGATGCCGTTGAAGGTGGTTATTTTTTGGTAAGGAGCAATTTAGAAAACAACAGAGCAATCACAGAGTTGGGTGATGACTCCTTCTCCCTTAAAAAAGACTCACCAATTTCCACATCACACCTGACAAGAAATACTGCGACAACCTCATAAACATATTGGTATTACAAAGTGGGGAAGACAAGGTGAAGAGCGATTATATGGGGATACTTCACTTCCCTTTTCTTCATAGGCGAGAAACTCTGGGGCAGCCTGTGACAACATTAATTTTACCAAATAATCTTGCATTAACTAGAGGGAGGACTTAATTAGGAGTAAAGGCTGCTTTCACATGTTAAAGCAACCTTCAATTATCAGGGGACATGATTAGGCCAAACATTACTGCATTGGCCCAAGAAAAAACTCCACCTACCCACCAAAAAAGGGAGAAGAGGGCTGGTCGAGGTGAGCTGGACATCGGTTTTGTAAATAACCCCTGTTTTTTCATTCACTTTTTTGGAGGAACTATTTCGAGCATCGGTGGGACAACGGTCTCAAACATCATGCATGAATAATGCTTTCGGTTGTCAGGTTAATTTTGAGCACAGACCGCACTTTTTGTCTTAGTTTGAGACAATATGTCCACTTTTTCATTAAAAAAAATGTGAATTGACCAGCTTTTTCTTCCAAGCTAAATGGCTAAATTTGATCGTCCTCCAATTATCGTGCCGTGAAATTTGGATGCGAAGATGGGCGGAGAAGAGAGGCGAAGCCTGGCAGCAGGGAATGAGAGTCGGGTAACAAAAGGCGTTGTTTCTATCCTGTCTCTTGTTTTACAAAGGATGAATGTTTATATTTAAGCACCGTCATCATGCAGAAATTTTAGGCTATTAGCACTACGGCCGCGGTCGGCACCACAAAATACAAACGTGGTGATAAAACAAAGTTCTTTCAATCAACTAGCATGTCACCAGCAGGACGCCATTCAACAGGTTCTTCTACCGGTGCATTCAGCCACTCAGAATGCGGGCGAAGATGGAAAATTCTTGAGCGTTGCTACTTATTTTATTTGAGCGACCGGCTTCCTAAGTTCTTTTTTATTTCAAAATCTACGCGACTCATGGAAAAAAGGTGCCACAGTTGACTGAATTACCAAAACGGTGGTAACATGGGGTGCCAAACGCTCTTACCTGGAAAGGTAAGTGGGTATTTATAGTCCCCAAGGCAGGGGATTTACCAAATGTGGTGGAGGATGTAAACATTGTTGATTGGTTTGGTAAATTCTTTTTTGCTTCTAAACTACTTTTCTCTTTTCTGTAAAAAAGTGATTGATATATGCAATATATACACTGAAGTTTCCTCCCCCCGCCCCCCTTCCCCGCTGACAGCATTGCTGTCACAAATGCCAACGCAAAATATGACTCAGAGAGCATCCCGTCTAAGAGGCGCAAGAAGAGGCAAATACGAAATATTACAACATATTTTTGTTTGACTCAACTGCCAATTATTATTGCGTTCAAGTAAACCAAAAAAGAAGTGAAATTGTTGAATATGTAACCAATAAGATGGAATACTTCTGCCACTACTGTTGTCATCATCACCTTGCTTGACATGCCAATTATGAATTGCCTCTGCCAAGGAGAGACATTTATGACAGAAATCACGTAAGTAGACAGTGATTTTCGTGCCTGAGAACCTATTTATAGCAATCCATGAACACAAAATTATCCTTTTACAATTGGTTAGATAGGGAGCAATTGCACCTCCTCCTCCCCCCCCCCCATAAAAAGAAATACTTAGTGAGAGTTTCCAGAAAATTCACAACCCAAAAACATTTCTTTATTTGGGCGTAGTTCATTGACTTGCAAATAAAATATTCACCCATCGGGACAGATGGGACACTGGCAGGAGTATCACAATACCTCCACTTTTACCGCCTCCTTCTCGATGCCAAAGTGTAGGCTTTCCATATTTACAGCCTCCTATCTATCTTTTGCATGAATAATTAATCTTCCCCACCGATGATACGTCTCGCAACATTTTCTGCGGGACTGAGTGATTAGCAGGGGTGGGAAATTCCGACCCAAACAAAAGCCTTCCCCATGTAGATAAATGCGTACCCGCTGGAGAGAACAGGCGATCCAGCGGAGATTGACAACGGTGAGATTAGTGTAGCCTCGTTTCCTTGCAGCAGCCAACACTTTGTCAAGCCTCCTCAAGGCGACACCACAATGCGTGTCTACGAAAAAACGCCTTAACAAAGAGCCCGAGTAGTGGAACGCGATGTTTTGTCCCATAGATAAGCCTGAGTAGACCCTTCAATCTCCATAGTCACAGTTGCCCCCTCAGCGCCATGGGGTGCTGAGCTTACCCGCAGTCCCTCAAACCCTTTGTACTCGGATGTCTTATTATTGCATTAGAAGGTGGTCCGAAGTGCGCAGCTCTAAGAGAGGCCACAAATGGTCCACGGTCCTACAGAATTTCCCCACGTCCGATGGGTGTATTTTGAGTAAGTCCTGTCGGGATTTGTTTTATTTGTGCTGTTTTGGGTGCCATCAAAAATTACTGTCTAATGTCTAGCAAACAATAAACGTTTATTAACGGTAACCCTGCTTTCGCCCTCCCCTCCCCTTCCCCGTTGACCCCTATGCATTACATCGGGCTAACATAAAATTGTGCATAATCCAACGCAATTTGGGCAAAGTGGCACTTATTCCGGTCATAACAGAAGTGCAACTTTGCCAGGCCTCTAGGCCGGGCCACTCAAAACTGTCTCATGTGAAAAACAATAGCAGTAAAATTGTTGGTAGACTTCACCTGCCTTTGGTAGAAAAAGCCGAATCCCTTCCATGTATATTTGCTACTTTTGTCTATCCATTAGCCAAATCGAGGAATAATGGTAAGCGATTTTCCTAATGGCAACACAATATAATCAAAAGTGCAGTTTGTACCCCAATTAAATCTACACCCACATCATTACGTCGTCCCCAAACTTCTCCCCTTCCTTTTTTTTTAACTTTCGAGGGGGTAAAAACAGACCCGGAGATTGTCGAGGTCATTGCTGAAAAGTGGTAGGAGGAGAGAGAAATCTGTTCCCTATTTCGGGTCACCGGTTGGTGTTGTAAGGTCTCATCTGTGCCGATGGCCCACCTCTCAGCCTCCCCCCTCCCATCTTTGATAACAGGCTTCTCCCATAATAACCAGGTCTTGGAGCAAAGCAACAGAAATACGAGGACCCTGGTGCAAAAAGCACTTTAACTTTCGTACAAAATAACCAACTTTTAATGCATACATCTGCTCTAATGTATAATCGAGCCATATATGGTATTTCCTGGGCTAATTTTAGCATTATAGGTGCGAGATATGCTCAATTTCATTAGCTTCGTTCGGCATAAACGCTTTGCAGATTTTCACTTCCCTTTTGCGGTGTACTTACTTTGAAGTGGATAGATTAGCAATAGGATAAAAATAGACGGAGAGAAAGACATTCGCCTTGGGAGGTTAAAAAGCCGGAAGACATTGAAGCAGATCAACTAGGCAAAGTGTTACCACAGGCATGGGAGTTAGCTCCGATGCCTAGTCGAGATGAAGGGCTGGGGGGGGGAGGGCGGTTCAAAATGATCTCCATCTGCTGAGGGAGGTTTAGTGTTTGACATGTCATTAAAGCACACTTATTCAGAGTTGTTTCATTAAAACCTCACTTGATGGAGAAAATCTCATTGAAATTCATGAGATCCACCACTAATGAGGAAATACGAAACCTCATTTCCCTTTCATATAATCGGTTCTCGGGTTTCGTGTGTGCCTCTAATGCACCTAGCAACCTTCACAATACGGGAGGTTATCAAGACCAAGGCAGGAGGGGAGGGTTGCGGTGGAGAGTGTGGATGGTCTTTTTTCTGTAGACCTGCCTGACATTACGCGGGTAATCACAGTTTGCCACTTGGCGAGTAGAAATTAGCGCCCAGTAATTACACCCTAGGGTTTTGAAAGGAATTGTACAAGAAATATTGCTTTCTAGTTTTAATGGATCGTTTACTGCGTTGGCGTTGTTTTTTTAAAATACCCTGTTAAAGACTTTTCTGTCGATAGCGGACCTCCGATGGCCATGGCAAACAAGCACATCCTAGTCACAAGTTCTGTAAATGAACAATGACGCATTGGATAGTTAAACCATTAATTTATGTCAAGTAGACTGTACTTTTGTGAATTTGAAATTCGCCTTGGCCACACGGACTCGCCAGCCTCCTCGAGTCGAACGTCCGCTTTGCAGCGTAACCGTCCGACTGTGAATGTCTAAGATTGTAGTCTTCACGTATTGTTTAGCTGGCAATTTTTTAATCTTCCTGTCAAAATATTAAAGAAATAGCACACGGAGCCTCCTTCCAATTCCTTTTGGGAGATCAGTTAATTTAATCATTCACTACCCTTCTTCTGATTCAAGCGCCTCAATTTTGTCATCACCTGGAGTCGGTGAGGGAGAGGAAGGAGAGAGGGTGAGACGGTTCAATTTGAAAGCACCAATGTGGACTTGGTGTATCGGTGAATGAAAAGAGGGCAGCAGGTGTTGTGACCACCAAAGCATGTGCACACAGATGTAGAAGCGTGTGTGTGAATGTGGAAATTAAAAAGCTCCATTCTGGTCAAATGAAAGACGAAATAAGCGCATCAAATCTTTTTGACAATAAAACTTAGCTAAGCTGTGAGTACAAGAGCACGTTTAGGAATTCTTCAGCAACCTTAAAAATCCCGTTCATGGCTACTAGACACATCTAGGAAGCTCAAATCGCCTTTTCTTCTTCCGAGATGGGGCCAAATGCCTTAGGATCCTATCGCCAGCTAAAGCACTAACTGAAATTATTAAAAAATAGGGCAGTATGGTTGGCAGGAGTGTATTTGCTGGCTTTGGTGCTAAAAACAGAGGCTGTGATAAATTGCCACAACCAGTCCGAAGAGGTGGACCGAGATGCCCAACGCGTCGACTGAGGCCATGATGGCTTCCCCCTTCTGATGACGATACAGTCCACCAGTAAGGCAATAAGTCAATCCAACGTAGAGAGCTAACCAATGTGTGGGAGTTCTATTGCTGTTCTTACACAGTGAGGCTATGATTGACTCCAGTGGTATAATATTCTGTACCATAGTTGCACACAGTTGGAACGCAGCCATAAAATCGGCTACATTAGGCAGTCTGTCTGCTTCATTATGAATCGCATATATGTAAACGAAGTAGAATAATAGGCAGATGTGAGCCAGTACCAGCATATAGCTATCTTTTGTAAAAACGGTGCAAAAAAACAAGTAGAGGAGATTGGCAAGACTGATCACCCCGAAAACATAGAAAATAGCGGTTTCCTGCGGTTCGGAGTACAAATTCAAGATGACCTGATTGAAGGCTACAATAGCACCGATCAGATAGGTCATTACAGTAGTTGAGGAGATAAATTTGGTTTTCTTAATGACTATACACTCGAGAGCTCCCATGGTCACGTAGGAGAGTGAAGCAATCATGTAGTAGGTGGAGATGGGAAAAGCGAGCATATCATAGAGATAGGCAAAATTGTCCATTGTGGGAAGGAAAGCTGAGATTTCGATGCCATCCATGCTTGTCAACAAGGGTACTAGTAAATATTGATTTCTTGGATTTAAAAAGAGGTGGATTTTGATTGGCCATTTTTCATTTAGCGCGCCAACTCTGGAAATTTTGTGGGATATTTGATTCGATCGATGTAATCATCCATTTAAAGGTAATATATGTGTTCCTTAAGAATTACTTAGGCGGAATTTTAAAATTACATTAATTTATAGCCTGCGATAAGGCGGGAGTTTTTTTCTAATGGACGGTAATGTGCTACATGAAAAGCCGTCGGATTACAACAGCCGCGTGGTTAAGCGGAAGTGGACTTCACTGATTTTTAAGGCGTAGATAGTCCCTGCGAAACTTTGATACTTTGTGACCTTTCCCACCCCTTTCCCATACTACACACTATGAGATAGCATCCTCTAGACAGTCTTGACGATCCACCAGTCTGAAACTGGAGATGGGGGATAGAGACTACAATGGCATTGCATCACCGCCAGGTGGAATAAAAATATGTATTTTTATCATTCACAATCAGTGTCTACCTTACAAGTTTAAACAACTTAAGTGCCTTTAGGTCTGATAGCAACAATTTTAGGAAAATAAGTGGAAAAAATGAGAAAGAGGAACGGTTCTTTTTTTGGTCTGAGTAGGGTAGAACCTGTACACGACCTAACAAATCCCACAGTACGTAGGGGATCAGTATAGACCTAGCCAAAGTTCGTAATATGTTTGAATAATAAACAAAAATGTCTCTGAAGTCAATATGATGAATGAAATTTTATTTGATGTATCGTGAAGCTTTGATGTATGTGCCTCCCAATCCCCTCAGTCACACTCCATTCTTTCTTTGTGGTCACCGCTTAATAATTCACAACACTAACATCTTTAGTTCAAAGTGTATTTTTATAATACTTTCCGAGGTGATTTTTTTCATCTTCGCACGACAAAAATTTCTCCCCTTAGCGAATTCAGATTCCCTGTCGCCTATGAACGATGGGTAGACTGTATGGGGAACAACCACTTTACACACATTTTTGGGGTGGGGGGGCTGGTTTAAGTTAAGAAATGCAATATCCCATTCGAAATTCGCACGTCGTAGTACATTAGCTGTGTGTAGGAAAAAAGAAAATACCTTTTTTCATCATTTGCTTATGATAATCACTGATGGAATAAAAAGGCACATAGCGATGTAAGCCTTAGCCCAGTCATTAATTAGCCGGACAAAAAAAGGAATCTGACGACGTGATCTACGAATGGAAAAAAAACCCTAAGTAGTTTTAATGAAAACTACGAGATATGACAAGCCCTCAGCTGTAGGCGAGGTTGACATGTGTCCCAACGTTCTGGCGTGCGCTTAAATGAACTGCTGGCTGGGCAAGTTTGCTTACAACCCACATCGGAAATGGGGGCACGAAAAAGCATAAAAACAAAAACTTTTCTGATTTATAACACACCTTTTCTTCCAATCGCCGCCAGCAGGGATGCCCTTGTGATCTGTATCAAGTAGGGGAGAGGTGTGCGCACCACTGACCACCGCCCAAGGAACTGATAGATGTCGAGGTGATTCAAAGGGAAGACCAGAAGAAGGCGCCGCATCCTTTGGAATGGACGACCACTGGTGCTCCCTACTTGTCTGTAAGAGAGTAAACAAAGTCCTGTAACCTTACCCTAATGGGCAAGGTTTGAGCTCTAAAAATTGCTCATTGTGAGGCAAAATTGGGTGAGTCAGAGCCATGGCAAAAAGTTTGGTTGACAGTGCTGACAACTGGATGCATTAAGTGGAGAGGATAGGTGTAGATGTGGCCACACACACACACACATATGCATACGTATGCATATATGCTTCACTTAAGGGTGAGATGGAAAATTGAGGAAGGAAAGTGTAAATGCGTAAAACCCTCCGTCCTCGCCCCTCACCTTCCCTCCCCTCTTCAAAACGGCCTCCCACTAAACCATCCAAGTCATTTTAAGAGGGTAGAAAATTCGTCATATGCTATGATTTCAGTAAAAAAGTAAAGCTACCCCAAGTACTGTCCAAAGTCCTCCAAAAATATGACCAATAGTAAGCGTTACAAGTTATCTAAGTGTGAATCTAGTCTGTGCATTAAAAACCTCATTGTAGGCGAAATATACTGTAGACATGGCCCTATTTGGCGTGAGCAGTTGATAGGAAAAGCTACAGCGAAATTAAAAATTTGAGATGTAAAACGTTCATCTCATTGCCTTTTTAATCTGTTAAGTATAAATTTATGAGCAGTTAGTCCCGAAATGGATGATTCCCTCGAGTTTCAAATAGCCGTCTCCTTTTTTAGGGTCCCGCTGGAGAAGATACGCTCAAAAAAGTTGCCTTTTCATAGCAGTCACACCTTTCCTCTCTTTCACTGCTTTTAAGTCACTCACTCCGTTTGCGACAGGACCCGCTTCGCCCAGGCACCACCAAATGGGAGAGAGAGAGCATGTGTCACGTATTTGTGACGCTGCTGGGTGACGTGATGGATGGATATTGGGTCGTAAACCATAATGCATATTAAGGAGGTCAAAATATTCTGATAGGGTTTTAAACATAGTACTTCCCCACTTTTCTGGAACTCCTTCATTCCTGCTGTTCCCCCAAACCCCTTCGATCCACTGAGGCATGGGATAAAAATCCTCCCAAAAAGGGAGCACTTCAATTATTCCTCTTGTTGTTTCAATGCATTAGTAAATTTGAGGGATGCTTGAAGGTAAAGCAAGTGGACCAAATGATCGAGAGCTCACTCATGCTGCATGTAACTACAATCAAAAAGTAAAGCTTCAGTAATTAACTGTCCAGACATGACGTGACACCTGTCAACTTGGTTGGAGTTCTAAAATGCTACAAGTAACCTTTTCATGTACCATTTTCCGTTTTATTTGTAAAGTGTGCCATCCAGAGAGACCTTTTATTCCTAAAATGTGACAACAACGACGCTTGCTTTTTATTGCGTCCAAACCCCATGACGTAGTTCCAATTACTTAGAAAATGTGGATTTCATTAAAAGTGCCCTAAAACGGTTTGCATTAGACCTTCGTAGGGGTACTGGAAAGTCAATTAAAATAGGCAAATTACTTAAGCAAGATTGCATAAATTAAGCCTTGACAAGACAAGAGTATATATTAATCGAAAAGCGACTTCTTCCCTGCCACGCCAAGTTTTAGCAGTACCTTCACCCCAGAAAAACAAAACCTTTTTAAGAAGAAATTTAATGTTACTTGTGCAAAAACTGCAATAATGGGACCCCACGAAAACAATTTTTCTTGTCACCTCGATCTACACGGTGCCAGCTTAGTGACTTTCGCTTGTCCCTCCTGCCCCCAGAGAGCAGCGCCACGTTTTACTGTTCCTAGGGTCACCCTGAGGTCAATAAAGTAGCACTAAGCACTGGCCTTAATACAGAATGCCTACAATAAATTTATTTCACTGTAAAGAAAACACAAAATTTGCCTGCTCGTTACTTACTTGTCAATTTTCTTTTAATTAAATGGACAAAGCTCCTATTCATCTCCGCCTCTTTTAAAGCAATCCTCCCCAACCTAGGAGAACAAAAGCGGCTAGCGCAAATGCGACAAAAAGAGGGTAAGCCTAGTCAACACAATGGTCTCAATGGTAAACCAAAGCTTGTCGGTGCCACGTTCGAGCGACGCAAAAGTGCCTTTAAAAAGCCCCACTTTATTGGCTGCAAAGGGGTAGGCATTAACCCCAACTCTCACAAGCCTTCTCCCTCTTATAGTGTCTCCTTCCTTCTCTTTTTTAAAAAACAGGTTAATTAACATTTTCGTATAATACTCTTAAATAGGCATTGGGCTCCTGCTAAACAATAGTCACATGGTCTCTATTGGCAACAGGTTTGGATACTAGGCGGGGGGAATGCACTACCAGCGGATATTTTAAATGTCCTTTTCTCTCCTCCAAAAGCGAGAGAGACTTAATTATATTTGACAATATAAAGTTTGCATTAGAAAAGTACAAATCGGAAGGAAATTAATGCAGTGCATTAATTTTATGCCTTGAGAAAAAATCACTTTAAATGCACTCCACTAGAATAAAGCGCTTAAACGGAAATTGCACCTTAAATAAACAAAAAGTTATTTAAACATATTTGTATTAATTCTGTCTCATTTCACTTTTACGATTAACCGGAAGTATGCCAATTGATAACTGATATGGAGAAAAACGTGGCCTTACAAGACAGGCGTCATGTGGCTCCACGTCCAGCGTTTTTGCCTCCGCGGCAGACTTGCCAAAATTCGGGCCTTTTGACTTCTTCTCATGAAGAACATTCAGCTGTAATCGAATGAGTTTGATCCATTTCATTCTCTTGCTGTTAATCCCTTTCAGTTGTGTCATCTCCTGTGGCACTTTTACCGGCGGCGGGAAGGCATTCTCCGATTTCGAGCAGGCCTCCAAGGCATTAGTCTCCTCAATTTCGGCAATATTTACCTCCGACGAGGCTCTAGACGGTCTAGGCAGGAGGAGAGCTGGCTGAAGCAGTTGATTCTGCTTCGTAACACGCTCTGGTGAAATTTCGCAGTAGGAGACGGGACTGCTGGGTCGAGAATTAGGCATTCCTTTTCCATCTGTGAAATCCTTCATTTCTGGGGTGGTGGGATGGGACGAGGTCATGACGGCGGGATGTCAGGCGTGTTGTAGAGCTGCATTGGAAGGCATGTGGACTTGGTCGTTGGGATTTTCAGACAGCGGAAAACGCCTGCAGTCTGAATGCACTCGTGCTGCCCCCTGTCGTACTGGTTCTTCGTCTCCTCTCATTGGTGGATTTCTCACGCCACTGATTGGTTCTTTTGGAATCGGATTCGTCATAGGCCTCATGTGGGAACGAGGCGGCAATCTCTTTTGTTTGGTCTGTCATTTGATCTAATCCCTCCACTGGGTTGTGACCGATAAGGCGGGGTGAATATATTAACTCGTCAAAAAAATGTTTTCTTATTGCTGATACAAACATATGGCACTTATTTACGGAAAACAAAGTCCCCCTGACAGGGCATTGTACTCATTGCCATGACAAAGACTCCAAATTCACCTCGGCTTTCTTGTAGGCATTCAAAAACATCTCGCGAGATTTTTATTGCCTTATAATATTAAGATTGCGATTTGAGAATTTAACCGTCTCCCAGAATAGCATTGACATTTCAAGGTTTATTCCGGTAAAGCATTTTTTGGAAGAAAGAAAATGATCGGCTTTTTCGGCAGCAGCGCCGACCCGACATAATTTGTGGTTAGAGTCATGAAGTAATTAAACTTGAAACTTCCTTTACAAATTAATCAACCCCCAAATTAGACTAAATTGTCACACAAAAGGCTTTTTTGCTTCATTTACATTGTATTTGCACGCGGAGCTCAATTTCGTGTTATACGCAATTTCAAGAGATTTTATGTAAAAAATTCAACTTTAATTATTCTCCAGCTTCACTAACAAATCAAATCTATTCACCGGAAAGCTGTATTTTTTTAACAGAAAATTTAGAAAATGACACTAAACGTCGGAGGTCGCGAGATAGGGGCGTTTGTTTCCGTGTGAGAAGTGAGGCACTGAAAGGAAACGCCTTGATCTGCCTCACAAAATGTTACTTGCATTTACCTAAAAGTGCCCATCTTCTCTCCTTTCCTTTTCAGGAAGCGGGGGGGGGGGGGGATCAGGATTTATGCTAAAGACAAATAAAGTTTCGACCACTTGAGTTTCTGCTATGGGTTGCCTAGGCTCGGGTGGTTTATCAAACGAACTGGAAGTGATACTGATGCCTCTTTACATCTTCAACAGGTCCTATCTCAATTCAAAGTGATTAAAAACTTCTACGGTGTCCTTTAGACAGTTAATCAAGTCGGGTTGGTTCGTATATTACAGGAAAAAACGAAACACCTCTACAATCAGGGAAGATAATGACTTAGTTATGGACTAAATTGCATCGTAGGTGTTTTTTGGGTGATGCCAAGGAAAGAGAAGGTTTGTTAGCGTTAATTAAAGGTGACTGTGATAAATGCTACGTAAAAACGAGCACAATGAATGCTAAACGGAAATGAAAGGTTGTGCAGTGCTGGGTAAAAGTGGAGTTCCGGTCTAAAATAAATAAAATTTCTCATTTAAATCTACGCATAGGACCTGCTTTATGGGCTGTGGGGTTGTTAAGAGTTGGTAGTTTGTTTAAAACTATCATTAACTCCGTGGGCACTTCACTCCTTCTAGGGTGTATTTCCACTCGGCGCCGTGGCGTTTGGGTCATGTCAGTAGACAGCCAGCACTTTCAAAAGACTCGGAGAGCTGAAGTGGTAGGACTGGCCAAAAGGACAAATATCCTGATTTCTACAGCTGAACAACCAACCCCAGTGTCACGGGTGAAGGGCATCTGCCACGAATTGGTGAGGCTGTGAAGGCGCCTAACGAAAAGGTTAAAAATGACTCCTGCCTTTGGCAATTGCCCCAATCCCCTGCTCTGAATGAAAGGTGGTAACGCCTGAAGGAACACCAGGCTTGAACCGTTTGAAGAAGTCACTTGTGGAGCTGGCAAAAGATCCTATCTACGTGGAACAAGCGCTATCGCCCCCTCATGTCCGCTACCTGAAGGGAATCCAGGTAGCGAGACAAAAAGACGAATGAATAGGTGGCACTTATTTGAGAGCAAAGTGGTATGGCGGAAGGGACGCAACCATTGGTCCCATGAGGCTACTTTAGATTCCCCCTTTTATTCAATGTCTCCGCTTTTGGGTCAACTTCCTTGCGGCTGGAGATTGGCATAAAATAAGCCCCCGTTGCTGGGTGTCGTTTGGTCTTGCGTAGTAAGAAACCGGTGCATTTCCTCCGCCTCAGTATAGTTCAAAAACAGGATTAGGTCTTGCATATAAAAGTATCAAATGTGATTAAATGCCTTCCCACTTAGGGGAAAATTGAATGATTGGCGTTGGTTGTTCAGCGGCTGGGGGGTGTTCAAGGCACCGACGTCAAGGTGGTGGCCAACTCAGGAGGTTGATCAAGGAGAGAGGTGAGGACAAGGCTTAGAAGGGGGAGAGGAGCTATACAATGGCTGGACAGTTTTCTGAACTACTCGGGCACTTCAGACTCCGCATGCCATACCTCCGCTTCTAAGGCATGACCCTCAGAGGCTGCTAACAGCCTCCCCATGTATTCTTGAGGACTCAGCGAGCTGCATTTTTTATGCTTATATGCTTTTTCTGAATATCACTTTAAATATGTTTGTTTAAATGCATAAATATGGCATTCTTTTAGCTTCAATTTCGTGTTAAGGCGAGTCTTTTAACGATTCTCGACCAAAAGGCGGACCCGAATAGGCGATACAGTCCTAAGCATCCTAGCTCATTCCTCTTCCAAATCTCTCACCAAGATCTAAATATATCCTATAAACTCCAATGACAATTAATTTTTAACTCTGAACTGAGAAAATTAAACTCATTTTAAGTTGTTTTTGGTCCCCTAAATCCTTTTTTTCCTTAAAGGTTTGTGGATGTGACTATTGGGATATCCACGTACCAGATAACACCTTGGTGAAAGTTACTCCTTGCCTTGAGAAAGTGAACAGCTAAACCAAACGAATTTAAACACAGACTAAGGCGACAGGATAACTGCCACTCATTAAATGATAGTGAGGTTTAATTTTCTTAGCAAAAATCAGGTTGTCAAGTGGCGTTGATCATATCGCGTATTGGGTGACCAAGATGGGTGGACAGTTTATGGCGAAATCACTAAATTAACTCACTGCAACTTGAAAGGACTTGAGAAAGGCATGTTAGTTGGTGTATGCATTATAGGGCATAATTATGCGTCGGTCTTTGTGGTGCTAGCTATCACCTTCCCGCCTGGAGGATGTGATTCAAGCTTGTGCTCTTGAAGAACTGAGCTTGCCTCACTGCCATGGCTACAGAGGTAGTCCTTCTCGTGGGGATTTTGGAGAAAGCTCCGAGCAGAAAATGATAAATTGCTTAAAGGAGCGTTGCCTCTGAAATGAGTCTTGAATTTTGATATCTCACAATTACATGTCACCCTTGTTAAGAAAGTTTAACCAGGGGTCACTTGATTGATGAGGCAGCACCATCACGGCTGTGTCGATAGGCAAGATTTCGTGATGGAAGCACTAACAGACGACAATAAACTTGAAGGACTGTCGGTTTGGCCTTGCCCTTGTCTTTCACTTCTTCCACACAGATGAAAGTAGACTGTTCACTGACTGGCTAATTTAACTGACTTGTCATGAGAAATAACCTTCCTATTTCACACGCCACTAACCGCATACATTTCTTCACAAATCAGACATTTGTCACTCCATCTCTACAGGACAATGCTTTGCTTTGCCCATCTCTATCTGTCTGCCTGTGTGTGCGTGGGTGGTCGACCGTAGACAGGACTGTCCTCGCCCTGGAGGCCAAACAACTAGGAATGTGACCCATCCACCGGAAACAATTTACTTAGGCAAACAGGCAGGCCTAATGGGTCAGTCAGGCGAATGACCCACTGGCGTTCCCGCAAGATAGAGCATGGAACGACCTAACGACGCATCACATGGCCCAATAGAGGACTACCAGTAATGGAAAATTATATGATCACCTGGAAAATAACTTAATAGAGCGAATGAAGGAGAACAGTAATGGAAGCGCCTAGGACCAGAATGTTTTTCCTTTATGCCCTTACGCACAAAACATCCCAAAGAGGTGGGCTTAGCAAGCTTGTGCGACAAAGGGAAGTCTTTTTCCCCTTTTCATAGATGATTATACCAATAGAGCAAAATCTTCGGCTAGGTTTTTTTTGGATGTTATTTATTTGTTTTGTGCCTTAAATATTTCATGATTACGTTGGCGCTTGGTTTAGAATTTATTGCGTGCTCCAAATTCTACAAGGTTTGCGTTAATTTAAAGCGTGATGAGAATTAAGGAAATAAACAAAAAAAATGCAGAAATACTATTAGCTGCGTGATTTCTACACTACATTTTACTTCGCTTTTGTTTGTTGTTGTTTTTGTTCCAGTAGGCACTATCACCCCTATCTCCCCTTTTACCTCTGAGAGGGTCATAAAATCAAGTAACACTTATTTGCCCACCAAAAGTACTGACTTATGACTAACTGACATGTACTTTTAGAGGCAGATTTCTTTAAAAATGCATTTTAAAAGGAACAACAGATTCTAGCAATTTCAGAACCTTTTCCTTCCTCCACGTGTAGAGAAGCTTAAAATCTCCCGAAGGCCTACATCAAGTCCTCAGGTCTTATTACCACTACACGAGTCGGAACGTAATTTCGTTGTAGATCACCAGGGCTACCAGGCGACCTCTCATTATCGGGGTTGACGTAAAGTGATGGCTACGACAGCACGACGGAGGAAAGGGAGTGGCAAAGTCTTCCCCCTGGATGTAAAACTTAAGCAAATGAAGACCAATTTTGTGAGTATTTCAGAGGGAAATTCCAATTTATCTCAATGTTCCGGGAGAAAAACAAAGTTAATTCAAATGCCACAACTCGGAGGACATTGTGGCTTGAACGGCAAGTAGTTGGCAAAAAGACGTTAACACTGGTTAATGCATGTTTATCTTTCGCCAATTTGAGGCAATGAACATTAGACAACAGAAAGAGGGGCGGGAGGGGGAGGAAGGTGGGGGTGAGGGGGAAAATGGAAGAACGGTAACTCAGAGACAAACAACCACAATAGTCAGGATGAGAATGCCTGCTGATGTCCGCTTCTCAGGCCTTTAATCTTCCCAAGCGTGACCTATTGGGGCAAGAAGCAAATAGCAATAATTCGTCTTTGATTTTTTTCACGCTAAAGGCCTGCTTATGGTAAAAAAATGCATTGTGTCTTGAAAACTTATTTTTGTAGGCAACAAAGAAGAGATGATCGTTATTTCTTAAGTAAAATGGATTACAGTGTTCGAGTTTGTTAAAACAAAGCATAAAAATGAAGCGCCATATCTCTTGAACCACCTCGTCACTAAACACACGTGGTCAAGTCTTTTGTCGAGGAGTTTTCAATACCCAAGCGATTGCACTTGTTGTTTAAATCACCTAATTTAGACCGTGGGAATTTGGATTTCCCACATAAGTGGAGTCCTTTTCTCTTTCAAACGTCTTGAGTCTCCTGCTCAAGTGAAGTGTAACTACAAACCCCAGGAGGGGTGACAACACGGCAAGGATCTAATTACCCACATGAAGTAAATAAACAAGCGAATAACGCCGATGTTTAAGTGCCTGGCATTCATCAATCCCCCTCTCCATTTCGCCCCACTGAAGAAACTGGTTTGTCGCTTAAGTGTAACCCACATCCGGTCCTGGTTGTCTCTCTCTCTATCAAACTTACGATAGGCATATAATTATCTGATTACACCGGTGAAAAGAGTCCGTATAATTACGCTATGAAGGGACTTGAAAATAAGTAAAATAAGACGTGCATTTTAATTGATCTCGCTGGCGGTGGACTCGAGACTGTCTCATTAGCTTTAAGTGTGAGTTGTGAATTTCAAAACAGCGCTTTTAATCAAACTAAATTATTCATTAAATAAAAATACGATACTTTTTGAAGTGGAGTGAGGTAAAACAAAACGGACCGGCCAGTTGGAATCCCAAGTCGAAACGGTCATTTGATAGAGCTATCAAAATTGGGTGAATACGCAGGCTTCCATATTTCACGGGATTCTACGCATTCGGGCGGCTAGGCAAATGAGTGAATGGATTGATGGAGGAGTGGCGGAAAGGGTGAACGAATGGATGGATGGGTTGATGGAGGGACTCTAGGAGGCATGGATGAAAGGGCGGAAGGATAGACAGCTGCTCAGGTGGATAGACGGATCACTGAATGAATGGGCGAAGGTGCGCAATGGACGAATGAATACATGGTGGCTGAGTCTGTTGTAGTGGTCACAAACTTTCTGAACTTTTTGGATGCTAACTCAATCATGAATACTCATGCTTGCATCTTATTTCTGCGTGGAAGAGTATTTCATCCAATTTCCAGATCACCCCAAGATCCGTTTTCCTTCATCAGTAAATTTTCCCGTTTTAAAGGTCACTTCAATGTGTTCAATCCCATTCAGGTTTGGGTCAAATGTCGAATGTCTTATAACACGAAGACGCCACATATCAGTAGATCTAAGCTTTTATTTTATTCCCACCAGTAAGCAATCAACTGCTTCAAAAACTCTTCCATATTTTAGGTCCTATTTTTTCATTTGTCCCTCCCGTCTATCAGTATAAGTCTACTACGTTACGAGTTACACAATGCTCTCCTGCAACGTGATTTTATCATCCACTACATTTTCGCATGTTAGTGAGCAGTTTACCAAACACCTATCCATTAGCTTGAACCGATTTGGCATCGTGAGGCGAAATCATCAAGGATCAAAGCAGTCCACTCACTTAATCTCTCCAGCCATCAGAGGGTCTATGGCATACAACCACTCGTGTATCTCGTTTCTACTTGCGCTTGGCCCAGTCTTCATGAAAATTTTTCGATCGGCGTATTGGAGAGCAAATATCATCGGATGTTTGGTTGGTTCCACCACCTTTGACCTTTCGGGGCTCGTTTTCTTTGGACCGAATATTTCACCCTCCTCCGCACTTAAGAGACAGGTGGATGAATTAGACAATACCAATTACCTGTACTCTAAATGAGCTACTTTAAGGTTGATAATCCGTCGTTCTAGAGTGTCTTTCTCGTTTTCATAAATGTAGAGAAAGGGTCGTCGAACCATGATCCAGCGTGGCACCCAATTGGGATTTGATTCATCTGCCACTAGAAGTAGTCCTCTTCTATTCACCACCGGACTAATGCGTACCTGAAGGTAAGGCAGAGTGTCAAGGATTTTTAACATAAAATGACCCGGTAAACTATTTAACTACGTTTGCTTTTTCTCACATGGAGAGTGAGAATTCTGTCCACATTACCTATGGTGGTGGTATTATAACTACCACGCATGTTCATAATCAAGTCTTCTTAAGAATCAGATGTCAATTGACAGCTTTAGGGGTAGCCTAGATGAAGAATTTCCTGTACCTCCATCTCCTGTGAAGGATGTGACAACGTTCATTGATGCCTTACAAGCAGCAGTGGTTATGCAAAAGGGGAACCTTTATAAGAACAATATCCATCCTACTGGATGAATTCATCAAGATCTATGGGGGAAAACATTTGAGAATTGACAAACAGCAACCAAGATATCCATGTTTGGAGGTGGAAAATTGAAGGGGAGTAAGAAGCAGTCTCAAAAACTGGTATTTGTCATGAAGTCCTGCTCAGTCTACCCATTCTTCCAGTTTCCAACCTCTAGGGGTGTAGGCAATAAAAACTTTCTAATTCGTACCGCCAACAACATCATGAGGCAAATAAACGGAGGGGGAGGAGGTCAAAGTTCTAAATGTCTTAACGAGGAGGTAGGGGCTGTTTAAGTAATGGTAATGGTCGCAGTGTTCTACTTTGTTTATTTGAGGAGTAGAAACGCTGTGCCTTCTCTCATTTCCTTTCCACATTAAGTACAAAACTCTGTAGAAAGTCAAAACTACTACTGCATCATTCGTAGATGGAAAATAGCTGAAGTCTAACGAATTACTTCTCTAACTAAATGGGCTCTCTTATATGTCCGGTGTATTCACACTACACTCCTATAAATTGGTAGGTGGGCCATGAATAAATAATTTACCTGAGATTTCCTATGGCTATTCTCTCGGTGGGTATGTGGAGGAGTCTTTCATAAAAATATATGACAGAAAAAGATGCCGTAGATGTGAAGCCACCTCAATTGTTCTTGTCAAGTTGGTATAAATCTTTAGGTAGTGCTGGGTATGAGATCGATTCCCTCCTCAAAGTAGGCAAGTCTGCCTTTTAGAGGGAGAGAGGGGAGCACTTTCCTTCATTTTTAAGTGATAGTTTAGCTTCCACTCACATCCAAATATGATAGATTGATAGGTTACAAGCATCATATAGCCTTAGGTGATCAAGCAAAAATCGCCGAAGTACATTTCATTAATTGCGATCGGAAGTTCTTCAGCCCTGGGGCAAACCTGTCACGTGAGCCTTTTTTCCCATCCCATGGTCGCCTTTACTTCACTACAATGCTGTCATGAGGAGAGGAGAGGAAGGGGGAGGGGAGCCAAAAACAGCATTTCATAGGTCGTACGAATCACTCTATATGAGAGTAACATGAAGTTCCACTTATTCCATCTAAGCTATTACTCTACAATAATTATAGGCTCATCTTTGGAGGCAATTGGCCCTATCTCACCACTGAAACGGCTTTCAAACTTGGTTTCCCATCATGAGACTGCATTCAATCAGTCTATCCACAGCCCAAATTTCCTCAGACATCTGTGGAAGTACTATGCTCCAACTTCAGAAGCATGCTTCAAACACTCCTCCATTCCATCCTGAATGAATACGTCTTCAAGCACTGCCTTTGCGCGAGTGACAGATGGTGCAACTAAGAAACAAAAAAAACACTTAGGGGTTTTCAGTCTTCTACAATTCAGACTCCGTGACAACCGTGCTACCCTCTCAGCTCCGTTGGACGTTTGTGACAAAGTGAATAGTAGAGCTACACCTCTTGGATGTTAATTATGCAAAATAACTTCCATTTGCGGTGGAGAATAAAGGAGAGATCAAAGTCGTTCTGAATAACTTCCAGGTCCCCACTTTGGGGGTAAATGCGATGCCTTGTGATGGCAAATTCTTACCTCATCACATCGGGCGCAGAGCATGTCGTTTTGAAGTTCACCGCACTGTAGAAACACCGAATCGGCATTCACCTTTGGCATGTAGGCATCTAGCAAAGGAGAAAGAGGCGAGACAGGTTTGAGATGAAGCCCCCAAGACTGGCGGACGATGCGTGGTTGCTACATTAGTTGCACGACGCCCAAAAACCAATGCATCCTATGCCCTCTGGTCAAAAATATTTATTTTTTGATCAAGGAGGTGCATGAAACATACTCTTCTTTGGATTGCTAGATTGTGGCTACAATTCCACCACTATTCATTCGCCATTGATAATGAGGATGATGAGAACAATTACTTGAAGACTAAGAATGTCTTTTTTTCTGTAAGCATTTGTTTGTTTTACCTTTTTAACCAATTTAGCACCCACTGTTTGAGGAAGGTCCAATATACCTGAGGGGTGTAATCAACACCTCCATTCGACAGGCGGTTACATCTAAATAAATCAGTAGACAAAAAAATCCAGCCTTCCTTCCTACCCTCCACTCCTTCTTTCTGGCTGCCTCCTTTCTTTCCTTTTTTTCTCCCTTCATTAGCGATTCACCTGCTTCTCTCACCAATTACATTCTCGCGCTGTGGGAAAATTAGAAATTTTATTCTAATTTGGTCGAAGAAATTCTCACGAAAATGCTCCCACAACCTGGGCTATTTACATCTCCATGTGCTAGATATGCTTTGGATATGTTAAAACACTTTTGTCGAATTTTTTTGGTTGTTTTAGTTGGTTTCCTTGAGAAACTTCACCTTGACGGAGGGAATGACAACCCGCCGAGAGTCGCTTTATTCGCTGCTCTGCGACTTCATTTGCGCAGCGTCGATTCCACCGCAAACTACACCCATCTAATTTACTGTCAGCTGGCTCAAAACACAAACCTTGCATTTTTCATAGGGAATAGCAAAATTTAGTCGACAAAACTCCAGTTTTCCATGGAAAAATACCAGGACAATAGCAGCACGGAAATGCGATGACTAGACACATTTATCATTAATGTGAAAGCAGTAATTTTTTTGCCTTATTTTTGTTCCTTTTTTTTGAAAAATTTGACAAAAATATAAAATCCTGCTGGAGATGTCAACTTTGATCAACTGAAATAACGCTGAAACAGTCTAGAATGCCACACTCTCATTCAGCCTCTCCTGATTGGCCACCAATGGGGTCAAGGTCAATCCACTTCCATCAAGTAGGTGAGATCGGGAACCATTCCGGGGCTCCAATGCAGTCATGTGCACGCACATCGAAGCCCTGCTTACCCACACTTCCTGCGCTAATAAAGACGTTCGTACCGAAGCTGCTGTTGCCTGATTACTCGGGTTGGAAACTCGGCAGGATCCGATATCCAACTTTTCGCTATTTTAATTGACTTCCAGCAAAATAAAGTTAAAGTAAAGATGGACAAAATGAAAGGTATTGTTACCCTCAATGAAGCTGGAACAAGCGTCACTTCCATCGCTTCGAGTGATGGATGAATCACTGTCCCCACCATCGATGAAATTGCCTTCCACTGAATCCGTCATCGACTCATTTGGAAGACTCTATTTTTTGTTTTTCCAAAAAAAAGTAAATTTAGTTGAATCGAAAATACTGATCAAGAATCTGATCTACCAAAAATGATTGATGGTTTACTAGGCTCGGGAAAAAAACTGAGATTGGGCACCCATTCATCTCTGGGATTTAAAGATTATAAATTAAGAAAAAATTGTTTACTTTATTTTAACATTCAGCGTTCTGGTCAGACCAGGACTTGTAATTTCACAGATAGGAAAAGGGACGTAGCGCAAAATGTCCACTTCAGACATCGTTGATTAAAGGAGGTAGCGCCAACGGTCGCAGTGTGACCAACAGGGCGTGGAGGTAGAAGCACCTGTGGGCGAGGCCGTAAAATTCACGTGGATTTACTCAAACACTCGACGCTAGACCACAGAGGGATAGCTGATAGGTGCAAGGATCTCAAAATGACCCAGTGTTCCTGTTGACATTTTAACCAGGTTCTGTACCGATGGTCGACGCGCCACTAAAGGGATAACTTTCCCGTTGGAGCGCCTGTTTCAAGCGTTTTCAACTGTACTAACAAACCCTACCGTGGTGGATAATAAGCCCACAAGTAAAACACGGAGTTATGTCAAAAAATGAACGCAGATTATTCTTCTTCCTTTTAAGGAAATAAAAAAGGTCCCGGTTTGACCCGAACGACTCTGGATGTGGAGTTTTTTTAGTGAAGCGTAACCCACTTACAAGATTACTGAATCCAAGGATATTGACACAAGTGAGGAGGAGAGATTTCTTGTCAGAGTTTATGAATGTCGACTTGTTCGTTGAAAGCGAATTCGGTCGCGCAACTCCCTTCAATGATGTGGTGTCCGGATTTTCACTAAAATTGTAAAGGGAATCCGAATACTGTCTGTCGCTTAAATGGCTCGGTAAGCTTCCTACGCGACAAATGCTTTATACGAATTGGAGGTGGCAAGGCTGAGACCCTCTCCCTAATCCATCTGGCAGGCCAACTGTACCCACACTCTAGCGTAGGAACCTGTGCGGTAAATGTACCAAAATTTATGCATACATTCAAATCCCATCTTTTTGCCCGAGCGCTGAGATTGCATCTTTCCCTTTACAGGTATGGAGGTAGAAGCAGGAAAGAGGCTTTTTTTTCGCTCCCTCCTGGATCTACGGAAAGCGTACTGGTTGGAGAGATTTTCCACTACATCTAGTCAAACGGAGAGGGGGGTAGAGAAGAATCATGAAAAGATTTCTTGAAATGAGAAAAAAATAGGAAAGTTTGAATTTTTAAGTTGCCATTAGATACGCTATGCCCCTAAGAGCTCCATGCAGTGTGACTTTCTGTGTGCCTTCTTTCCAACTCCAACCAATATGATGTCCTTGGCTAATAACTCCTTGGAATTGTTTGAACAGTTCTTTGTCGTCTTTTAGCAGCTTCAGCACCCGCTAGAGACTGGGCATTTGAATTCATATTTCGGCATCCAGATCAAATGTTTCTTTTTTAAAGAATAAATAAATAGAGCCTTGGCCGGCGACAAAATCACTCAAGGTGAAGTGAATTGGGGACTTCTAGGGACTCAGCAATACATATTTTTTGGCACTTCTACTACAAATAACATACATCAACAGTAAATGACAGAGTGGGCAGGCGAAGAAGACATCACATGATCACATTAAAAGCCCCACTAAATTATCAGGAGCAAATAGGCATTTTAGCCCTCACACGAAGGACATTACTGCACTAGTGACCTTATCTTCAACTTTGATCACGCTTTGATGGAGATAGGACCCAGTGCTGGTCTGACCAACTACGCTGGAGGCATGTGACATGTGGCATCCACTGTCATTCGTGTGACCGTAATTATCGTGGCCTGATCTACTGCATTAAAGATGACACAAAAAAATGCCCATTTACAACGATGTGGTGGCTGGCGGCTTGTGACAACCGCCGTTGTTTAAAGCAAGCAAAGGTGGATGATAGAGTTAAAAACAGGAGCTGACAACAATCTGCAATTATTCATGCTAATTTTACCATATACTACTGATAAGACTACTGATAACATACTCGAGTAAGGATTGGTTGGAAGAAGTTGGCCTTTTGAAGTGTGAAAGAAGATCGTACCACCGATTGCGTTGCAGTTGTCTGATCATTTTATCCAGCCTTTGCAACAAGTCATCCCGTTTCTTGGCTTTGATTGCTTCACGCAAAGCAAGAAATTGCTTTGTCTTTTCAACCTATAAAACGGAAAAACAGATGCTGACAGTACTTCAGAATTAGCCGTAAAAATCTAAAGTTTAACCCGTTGATTCATTTGGAAGGTTTGCCAGGAGGAAAGGTGCCTTATTTCGCAGGTGAACAAAGAAAGGAAAGATCACACCAGGTAGGAACCTGTACTTATTCCCTTCCATCCTTTGGCCAGAAAGACACTTTGCCGTCTCAAGGGAATCACCGAGATTGCAGCAACTGCTTCTCAGTTCTCCTTTATAAACAAACAATGCGATTTTGCATTTCATCTTTAAGTCAAAGCCGCAATGGGGGCGATTAAAACCGGACCAAAAAGTTTTAACACGGAGTGACTGAGAATTGGAACAAAACAGTTGTCTTCCGACAGGCTTTCTTTCAGTCGTGCAAGACAGTCAGACTTCGTGGGAGGCCTAGAGACAGGAGCCGCACCAGATCCAGTAATCAATATATTCTTGAAAGCAAAAGAATGAATAGTAGTTGTTGTGGGGGAGTAAAAGGTAACCATTCTAGGAAAAATTAGGCAAAATAAGTAACTTCGACAGGAGTGTTCCAGCTGCCAGGAATAGACAGAAGGACCTTGGTAGTGGGTGAAGATTTGTAGGGAACCGGGGGGCAAATCCTCAGTTTTTGAGGTTACTTTCCCCCTCTTTCGGTCGGTTTACTTAGTTCTATTTACCTCATCTAAATTTCCTGTAAACTTCATACATTCCAGAGGCACCGTCTATTCATGCATGATTTGAGGTGCATCCAACTGGAGTCTTCCATGTGAATCACTTTCAAAGCCTCAGTTAATGTATGGTGCGGTCATTAAAAATTCCAACTCTTCATTCAAAATGTGAGTTGTCTAGTCTGTGGAGTAAGGTTATTTTAAAGCAAAACTCGTCTGGGAAATAAAAAAGTTATTCACTTCAAAGAGTAGGGAACCATTCGACTAAAATTGACTCTAAAACCCACCATCTGAAGGTTCTTCATATTTGACAGCCTTTTGTTTGGGGAGGGGGTGGGGAGGGGGTGGGGAGGGGGCCGAGCCTTTGTTTACCTCCGACTTACCGATTCAATGAATGCGAGTCTTTCCAATTTCATTTGATGCTCCACTATGAGAGAATCACTGCGTGGTCTCCATCCTCGAATATTCTCCTCACCACGTACATAGGTGGAATTTAGCATATGCCTTGGTGTATGACGAGCTTCGGCTAAGATAAATAAACATTGAGGAGTAATTATTCGCTTGACAATCAGTTGACTGTTACCTGATGAGAGAGAGACTACTAAATTAAGTTGTTTTGAATAAAATAGTCCATTCGGATCAAAGACTAGCACCCTGAAAATACATTAATTGCTTACATTGGTTCGGCATCCTCCAAAATTGAAGGTCATATATCCCAGTTACATGGCGTAGGTCAACTTGATTCAACAGGGAACCAATCAGGGAGCGAATCGGTCTTGTTGTTGTAATAATTAGGAGAGAGGAAGAAAAAAAGTAATTACATATTAATCTTTCAAGAAGAGATAGGACAGTCGTTAGTAAAAAAGTCGTTTGCCCACTTCAAACAGATGTCACGTTGGATTCAGAGTGTAGTACACATGAATTAACGTGTTTGGTAGGTTGTGTAATTCATCCTTATGGCAAAAGGTTGAAATTTTCTCGGTACTCTCAGGACACAGCTACTCAATTTAGCCGTCTTTAAGTGTCTGTTCAGATGTGGAGGGCTTGATACGTCGAGGTCTCTCTAGCCTCATTCTCGACCTGCATGCCTTCCACCATCATAACTCTTCATTATCTACACGACTAATTACAGGCACAAGTCCGGTTCATAGATAACCTTCACTTCTTTGACCTTCTTCTCACATATATGAGGGTTTGATTACTAGCGGACAGGGCAAAAGTTATTCGTCTAGATAGACGGATGTGTTAAATGAAGGATAACCGCATCTGGCAAAATTTAGCCTGACTGTACCAAGTAGACCTTCCTGTCACCCCTGGTAATGTCTGTGGAAAGCTAATATACACTAAAATAATGGTCCTCGCTGGCCTACAGTACACATTAGTTTGACCTCCAGAATGTTGGACTTGATGCCTCTAGGTATACCGCCGTTCTCTCCTTTTATTCCCTCCTCTTTTTCTAGCCTAAGTAATAGCTCCTGAGGTGAGTAAGATGGAGTTGGACGAACAGGGAAACTGGAGTACAGTTTATTGCCTTAAAGGTCAACTTTTGACATTACTTTAGAGAAAGTAGCATAATGGAGAAGCAGTTAGGTGTGCACAGATCCGACGTAAAATGAATGTACAAGGTGGGAATCAGAAGACCTGTAGGACCTGTACTGGACAAGCCTGTTATGTCACTCACTGATTTAGAGATGCAATTTGATTACTTCGCATTTGTTTAAAAAGCAAAATGATAGAAGGATGCCTGGAAAGCTCTGCTGATTGCCCACTTTTGGTGTATTTTGCTACCATATGCGGATGACAAGCGAATTGGGCTCGTTGTGAGAGAAATTCCACAGAACTGGAAGGGGAATAGAGTGGCTATTAAAATGAACAAATATCGCCTCACTGCAATTCTTTCTGCTATCCTCCAACAAGATTGCAGAAGCCATTCATTTTGTCCCTCGAGTGGGCACGCATTGCTGATACTCCTCCACCTTTCAAGTGGCCTTACGGTGCAGACTAAATCAAATCGGACTTCAATGGCTTTGATGCCCACCTTCATTTTGCCACCTTGAAGGATACCGGATATGTGGACAAGAAGAGCACATATTTGTCAGTGAGAATGAGTTATCAAGAGGCGTAATATCGTCCGATCTATGATAAACTCCTCCGATCCTCCTTGCTCCCGAATGAGGAATGACTTGTGAGCTTGATCAAAAGTTAAAGGAGGGAGTGGCGGTTAAATAAACATGCCTATTTGCAGCCACAATCCCTGAACTTGACAAGAGAATAAGAGCTATTAGGGCTTTACAGGTACAACCCACTTTCATTGTATCATCTTTACTCAGCTAGTGAATTCTAAAGTGGAGTTTCGTACTTTAGGTTCTGCAACTCATTCTTGGAACTTCTAAACAGCGTTCCCTTAAGACAATCCCTGGAAAACCTCCTTTGGAGGCAAAAAAGCAAGTGAAATTTTAGGAGAAATTTGTAGACAGTCATCTGTTGACTTCAGATGCAACTCACGAGGCGTAGAAGAAGGTATAGAAGGAGAAGGAAGGTATCGGAAAGGAATCAGAATCTGCTGTGTTACTTATTTTTTGACATTACAAACACTTTTGATTCCGCGCCTCATTTGTTTTTACGAGCTTGGTTAAACACAGTTTTTATACCAACATTATTTCATTTCCGTGCCCTAATTTCTTAACTTGAAGAAATGGCTACCCTTCAAAAAGAAGGTTTAAAAATTGGATTAAGTAGACAGAGAAGGCAAAAAGTCATTTACCTGGGTACAGTAATGGTAGAGGAGCGTGGAAATATGATCATGGCAAAATCCTTGGTAATACAAATGGGATCAAGGCTACAGCTCAGTTGAACGTAACAGGACATGGTGACGTAGACAGTATGACCTTTTGGGGTCACTCGATTGAGAAAGCCACAGCCGTGCAGTGAGCTATCCCAGGCCGCTTCAAAACGGTAGAATGTTCTAAAAACAACAGCAAAAATCAGCAACACTGAATGTAACTACAAGTACTACCTTAAATAATGCACATCAGAACGAATAAATCGTACATTCCACTCATTTACTTATCTGTGCCCTTGGAAAGGAGTCATGTTCCCCTTGGCAGGGAACCAAGGTATTTTTAGAAAGGCATGACACCGAGCAGAAATTGGTCTGGTGTTCCACAGTTCCCCACCCCGTATTGGCCTATCTGGACTATTTATCTAGGGCTTTCTGCATCCATGCCTATTTTTAGCTAAACAGGCATTTCAACCTCCGCGAACCACCCATCATGCTATGATGCCACGATCTTCTGTTAATGTCATTTCTACAAACAGCCAAATAACATCTCTGTAGATTTATGGTAAGGGTTAATACAGATTTGTGCACATTGGAACCCCGTCAGGGAGACTTGGAAGGCTACAGTGGAGGTAGTGACAATCGAAGACGATCCAAATGAACAACGCTACGGGTTTCGGTTCAACGCTACGATGGAACATCATGCAGATTTGAAATATTCGCTGCTCCGGTTGGCGGAGAAAGTGGAATGAAAACTTGTCCACTTTAGACAGTTTCTATAACAACCCCTAAAGAGATATCTCTACGTAATATCTACCAATCCTAAGCAGTTACAAGAGAGTGAGCCTCCAGGATGTGACCTACAAAAGCGGTGGGATGTCTTCCGGCATTAATAAAAAAATAATTCATGTTTGTCTCACCAATAGTTTCGAAGCATGGTAAGAGGTAGAAAGATAACTGTTTGAATTGCCCTTCAGTCTCTGCAATTTCAGTGGTGATGTTCTGCCCATATTCCTCCTTTTAATGGCCCACCACCTCTTCCGTGTATCCACAAACTCAAACTCTTTGCAATGCCTTCAGGGTGAGCTCGTATCCTCAAAATAGCTTTTTTGGAAAGCATCGTACTCACTTGTTCCAAATTCCCTTCTTAGAAGTGCTTTGACGACCTAAATCTGTTGATATGTTAGATGGTAAGATTGCCCTTTTCTTGGACGATTTCCGTGCTGCTGTCTAGGCGGATTACTTGGTCAGCAGAATCCGTGATAAATGAAACTCGTTGAAGTCGGCCTCAACTGTTGAAGCTCAAAACATTCTTCCACCCTGACAACTGGCTGAAAGCCTTAGAAATGCAGATTCTAATCAAATCTCTGGAGCCTTTGACGTTTTATGCGGTGGCGTATCCATATAAAACTCGGAAAATATGCATAAAGTTAAGTGATCAATACTATATTCCCTTTCACCTTTCATGAAGGTGCCACTTCGACTTATGTTCGATGCCGAGGTATCGCCCTGAGGCCTAGGGACATAGACTTCAAATTTCCGACAAAAAACCACTGTGTGGCACTGGAAGATAAACGAAGAAGGGAGGTAAACGTGAGTTAAAGAAGATCTCATAAACTGTGCTTTTTTTCAAAAACAACGCAATTCCTATTTCTCACACACGCCAAATGAAACAAAAGATCTCTTAATTTCCGACTTTACTGCAAAATATGGTGGTCACGAATTAAGAACTTCTCTAAATTATGTAACAAACAATTCAACAACTGTGAATTATTTAAATGAAGCGCTCGAATTTTCGTGGAAGTAGAGTGTACGGCGGAGCTGGGAGGCGACTAGCATGGCCCGAAGGATGTGCCGCCGTAGAGCGGAAGCAGTACTACCCGCGGAGACTGAAGCGTCTGCACAGGCCAACACCCCCAGTTAAAGAGGACACCAAACGCAGTGCTTAAGTAAGGACACGAACTTCTTACCTTTTAAGGGACTTTAAACCACATCTTCTGTTAAAGGTATTCACTTTCCATTTGTTAACTCAGAGGCTATTTCGTACTCAGGCATTAACTTCTAGCAAAAAAAGTCACAAATTCCACCAATGCTGTATGGTGTAGAGACAAATTGGACAAATCAGTGCCACAAATAAACGATTTGCTCCTAGCCTGGGAAAAAAAGTAAAGCTCTGCATTTTTGCTTCACCCCGATCTTTATGAATTGTTATACAGAACTGTCAAGTTCCCTTTCGGGAAAGAAAGAAGAAGAAAGCAAATTTTACTACTTCCTGTTTACCTTATCTAATCAAAGACACCTAAACAGTTATTTGTAGAACGACCTTAATAAATTCGGCAGATGATGTAAAGCAAAGATCTTCCACCTACTGGATCGCCATTGGATAGGCCTGCTGGACATCGATGGGATCATCAAAGCCAAATCGTGAGCATCTCAAATGTTCAGGCACTTTATCCTTTCACCCAAGCAACATTAACAAATGACATACTTGACCTTTTTAGAAGTGGAAAAAAAGTAATCCACTTTCAGTTTGCCTTTTTTTCCCTGTGCCCTGCTTCCCTCCTTTTTCGGTCCACCCCTCATTCTCCTCATTATTGGTTTAATGCTCAAATGTGACGTCCGAGTTGCCTCTTGCATAATTTATAGGACATTGAACACTATAAATAAACTTTATTAGAACTAATTAAAAGTTCTGGCTGGCTTTATGAGTGGGAGGTATGATTGCAACCGGTGGGATTGTAAGTTCACTTTAAATTTGCTTGATGTCGCGAGTGAATTCCGCAGACAGAAGTCGGAAAGGCGTACTCAACTGCCAATGTGACGATGTTAAAATGTCATCAACAGCGTTGTCAATTATTTCTTCCCCTTCCTCATCTACCTTAGCATTTCTACGACACATGTCTTACATTTAGGCAGCGGAACGTTTTTTTCTTCCTTGGATAAAAACAGTGATGTAGTAGATATCAAATGGGGGGAAGGTTTCTCACCTAGTTCATGCCTACAACCCTTCCTGGAGGGTCCATACTTTTCTACTTCAAGCACGTAATTTGTTTTTTTCGCTCATTTTCTGCTTTTAGGAGGTCAGATAAATGTCTGCTATTGAATGTTTCATGCGGAGTGTTCGATGTAGTAGACTATTCGACAGACCCCCAAGTTTCTGCTCCTTTCTGCCAGACGAGGAGCTATAACTTAACTATACTAAGGCAACAGGAGATAAATTTATTTCAAAATACAAGTCTTCGCATGATTTATGGCCCAAGTTAGAAGTATGGAGTCATTTTAAAAGAATAAACAAGGTGTATTCAATGGATCAATTTGTCATACCCATAAAATTGCAGTCTTTGCCCCGTCGTTATAGAATCATAAAGAATGTACTCACTATATGATGTATGCTTGGAGTAAATAGGCCTCTTCAATCTCCTATTGGAGGTAATGGATCCCTGGTACTAGTCACACGGCCCTACATTCTAATAATAAAGTCACTACAAGAGGTAAACAATGTCGATTTTGCTGGCTAGGTGTAATGACAAAATGGCGGAGTTGGAGGGCATCTACCATGGATGGTTGAGCCAACAATGGGAAGACTGTGACAGCTACCCCAATCTTGAGTTCTCCTTTGTAGTAGTAAATGGAACTAGACCTGATTTTATGGAAATTAAGAAAAACAATGCAGTGGGCACACACACCTGACTGAAGCTCCCTTTCTCCTCCATGTAGCAATAAAGCCGTAACAATATGGAAAAGCGAAAGAAAAGGGGGATACAGTCTTGAGATGTCTTTAAGAAATTGTTCTTTGAAAATGTTCTCACTGCGAAAAATCTCTTGGTTCTAAGTAGCACAAAACAAATTAATTCGAAGCAGCTTCAAATTCATGCTGTTGTGGAGAAGGGACCGTTGGGGGTGCCTGTAATGGTCCCACCACTCTCCCACTCCCTTTTACAGTTATGTGAAAATCACTTTCTGAAGTCAGCACTTTTGCGGCGCTTTCAGATGCATCACAGAGGAGACTGCAGCACTACACTGTCATATCATTCTTAACCGTAAAATAACAGTGAAGTGCCACGAACTTACCTGTCATCCCCTGCCGGCGGTAGATAATGAGTGGGAAACACAGAGAGTGAAAAAATTCGTGTATGCGCATCGGTGAAGTGGAATTCCGGCGTGTCTCGTGCCCTTCCAACTACCACTTTCGGCAGGTCAACAAATTCCACCGGTGGAGAGGCACTTTCCCTCGCCTCGTGGATAATCGTCACAGCGAACCGGCGTTGAAGACCCTGGTGAAGCATAAAGACACCCTGACTGGGCGAGTCGCTAGATCGGTGCACTGGAACGGAGGTGTATCTTGAGTCAAAAAGAACAAAGAATTCTTTTCGATGTCACCTTTTCAACGGAAACAGTTTTTTGCAGTAACACTCTAAGGAAAACAGTTGATATGAAACAGAAAAGTGATTTTCAGTGGCATTTTTAGACAAAAGAAGCAATTAATCAAATTATGTAGACCAAAACTATTGAGGATGTTGTTCTATCACTCAAATGATAACTTGTTTACGTTAAAAGGCGGCTGATAAAACAAGAGAACGATTGGGTGGATTGCAATGAAATTGCGATAAAATACGTATTTGCAGTTGTTCAGGCACAAAAACGAAGCGTTTTTAATTACACTATGGCCTAAAAATAGCTCCAAAGAGACTAATGCAGCTGATCGGTTGTCAGGCCTATCGCTTACATCTCCTCTATAGTTTGTTTGACCTTCTTGAAGTGGACAACATCTGTTTGAAGTCACAAGGCCACTGTATTCCCAGATGCCAAGGTTGCCACCTTCAGTTGGTCAACTTCTGATGAAGAAAAACAACAAACTTATTTTCTCAAGGCTTGAGCAGTTTTGTTTGTTCATGTCTTTCGTGCAGCCTCATCGCCTTGTCCCCTCCAAAAAAGTTGAATACATTTTAACTGAACAGAATATATACTACTTAATTAGCTGAATGAGTAGCCAAGTTCTTAAATTTTATACCTAAATGGGAGATTTCTCAAATAGCCTTAAATCAGACAAATTAGGGTGTTCATAACACTGAAATCCGGGACTCTTTCTGTAGTTTTTGTTGGCATAGCTGTCCCTAAAGAACTGGAGTGCTCTATTTTGCCATTATATTCTCTCTTTAGCACCTGGTAGAGGAGGCATGAAAGTCGGCTCATCATACTCTCTTCAAAACTATTTCTACACCAAGGTTACAACTCATTTTGAAATTGCAAGATCAGTCGGTGAGCCAGAGAGAAGTGGTCATATGACTTATTCAGGTAGGACTAATCACTAATCCAATCCTTCCACCCTTACCGTTTTTACCACGGATGTGGATAAGTTGAAATGATAGTGAAGAAAATCACCAAAATTAATCGGATTTAAAAATCCCTTCTCGTTTAGTTGTGCACGACTTATTCTCACCGACAGGTGAAACGTTTCATCAATGCAGCTCAAGCACTTCCAGTTAGTGTAGCTGTTGAGTATTTCCACAACCTCCAAAGCGCTTCTCTTTAGAGGTTCTTGCATCTTTTCACAAGCTTCCTTTTGTCGAACGTCCTAGGCACATTTCACTATTTTCCTCTGATTGGCACAACAAGGTCATGACCTTGACTCGGGATGCTGTGCTCCACTTGCACACAGGATGTTTACACCAGAGACCTCCACCGTTCTTGGAGCCTCCACCTCTTGATTATTTCGATGGGGAAATCAACAGACTCTGCGCTCACACACATCAACAGTAGCTCATGGCAGTAGCGATTCGATATTTTCCATCACCCCGTTCTTCAATCACTGAAGGCTCAACTACCATTCGATAAATCCTGCCAAGTAAATTGACTCCCAGACCCTCTATGGGTACACTGTAAACCTTCTTCTTTACCGATATGGCTTGAGGGATTGCGTATTTGTTCATAGTGTCTTTAAGGGAGATTTAGAGAGAGTCTTGGAGGAACACAGCATGCCTAGGTTATAAGGCATAAGGTAACAAAATGACTACATGTAATTTTCCTAAAAAAATAATGGCTGCAGGTGGTTTTTGGAAGTGCTTCACTCATTGAAATAAGCCAATTTCTACAATGCACAAATTTGGGTAATCCGCTCTGTGCCACAGAAGCGGCCAGGTGTCAACACTTGCGTTTCTATCTCCCTTTCATTCCCTAATTGTCTCCCCCTATCTGGTATGTAATCAAATAATTGTGCTTTTTCAAAAAAGGGCTGTACTCAATTGAGGAAATGGGGAGGAAGGTACTGAAACAATATTTGCCTCCCTGTCCATAGGAGGCGGAGGGAGTTGTGGATGTCTGAAGTGTGAGCCTTGTAGAAGTGGAAATTTTTCCCTTACAAAATCACCGTTCCCAGCTCTGATAGTGAAGTAGTTGCACTACTTGCCCAATTTTGGGTTGAAGCGTTTCAAATGAGTGGGTGGCGACGCCACCTTTATGGCAATAAGTAAGTGAACAGTTCTGTCGGCAATCAAATGTGAGCACAAGACAAGCAATGTCATCAAATAACCTAAAATTCCCGATAAGCTTTATTCAAATGCAGTGAAGTGAAATGCCAAAGGACTACTTTTCAGTAAAAGTAATTATTAGATCACCACTGAAGTGTTGAAAATCAGAGGCAAATTCAGTTCGTGAAGCAAACAGGTTGGAAGCACATCCATAACCTCGTATCCATCCATCC